TTTAGTTTACGTTTAAAATATCTAATAATCTGTTATTTTTATGTTGATAACTTAATCTGATTATTTTTATTTTATTGTTTTGTTTTTTTAACGACATGCATTGATTTGAGGTTACTTTTGTATTGATTTTATAAATAATAATAATTGCAATACTCATAACAGCTTCTTTCTAAATTAAATTTAACACCGACTTTCCTCATTTAAATCATCACGAATTTCACCGCAAATTGACCGTTTTACTTTTAATTATTATTTGCTTCTGGCTGTCGTTCCTATATCTCCTATATCTTCTCATTCTTTATGTCTTGCTTGGAAAAGAAGATTAATGACAAACCAACTTGCGCTTTTTGCAAGCTGCGCTATGGGAACATCTCTGCGCTTGATGTGCTCTGTTTGCCTGGCTTGCAAAATTTCTCTTATTTTTATCCGCGTCTCTTTGTCACGCGGACTGTTCTGTTTTCCTTTGAGACGGCGTTTTATTTCATTATTTTTTTATATTCTCAACTTTTAGATTCTTTCCAGCTTATCTTGGACTTGAAGCGCAAAAACGGCGTCTTAATTCCATTGAGACGAATTTATAAGAGGCTTTTCAGCACTTTAAGGATCATTTCACGTCGATTCAATTGTCCTGTACTTGAAAATAAAAGTGGCGCCGATTGACATGCATGCAACGAGAAGTAAAAGCTGATTATTTTTTCCCGATCGCGCCGGAGAAAGTGCCTGCAGCGAGTGTGTGATCCTGGCATGTGTTTTTGTTGTTCATGTGCAACATGCTTGTATTTATTTATTGCTCTTGCTGAGAAAACAATGCAAATGAAAATAATGTATTATAATGGTTCACGATGGAAAACGGCCCGTTTTTAATTGCAGCATCCAGCTGGTTTCACCACAAACTGGACAAAGCGCCGCGAGTGGATTTGATAAATTTGCATATATAGAATCTGGACAGAGTTTAAAATAAGGAAGTACTAAAAATCTTAGTAATTTGAATAACCATCGAGAGGAAGTTATACACATATTATGAATGTGAGAAATTTTTCAGAAATCATAGTAACGATTTATTGAATTTAAAAATTTTTGTTTACTTTCCAAACTCTGTTTAAGAAAATTGAAAGATGTATTAATATTACGTTTGTTGGAATTCGTCCTGCAGAAAACTTACTTTTTAACCTCCTTAAAAATTGAAAGTACTCTTCAATTGTATTTTTTTTTATCAGCTCTACAATAATTATTTTTAATCCAGACATGCGGAATTTCAATTAGAAAAAAAAATTGTTTCCTCCTCAATTCAACCAATTTATGTAACTCCGGTGAAATTGCAACTGACGTTCACTTTGGATGATTAACGAGTCACCGATTCGCACTCGCAGTTAATTCAAGAATAAATGACGTGTACGGCATCGGAACTTTTCCCTGTGGCGGAGAATTTAATTGAGGCTGGTGATCATTCCAATCTAATTAGCAGTAGAGAGCGACAAAAAGTTGCACGCCGTTTTCACGGTCTACGCGACCCAATGCACATGCAATCAATGAAAATAAAAGCGATTAGGTTTTTTTATGCAGGTGAGTGGGCGAAAATTTGATCAATCTGGAGACACGTTCGGCTGTGCTGACATTGCAATGTCGTCCTCTGAAGAAAAGTCAACTTCTATAATAGAACGTTCGTTCTGCCAATTAAAGCAAAACGTAGTGCGCAATTCATTGATTTGAACGATGGGCTGGATGTATATTTTCACGTGCTACAGATTGAGTTAACAGTCGCAGGAGGTTGTGAAAAGGGACACCACGCCACGCAGGTATTAACTGATGATGAGCATCACGACATTTGCCAGAGATAGCCAATGAAGTGTGTCTTATGTTAATTAAGAAAATAAACTTTGCATCGCTTTGCATCACAAAAAATCTGATGATGTTTTAATAAAAATGGTAAAATAATTCTTAGGCAGAATTTTTAATCGCCAATGATAAAAATTATATTTAATTTTACATTAATAAGATATAATAAAAAAATCAAATGATTATAATTTAATTTTCATTCTTTCTTCTTCCAGCAAACTTAAATTTTTTTATTCTTCTAATTTTCAGATGCCATAATTAATTAATCATTTTCATGTTTTTATTTTTGTATGATTGATCTCTGGAACTCTTTCAGCTCATTCAATTCTTGACGTTGCCTACTCAACACCCGCCGTTTCTTTCTGCGATCCCTTTTGTCGACAGTCTGTCTGCGATTCGGAATTCGAAAGACAGCCAATGTGGATGAATCATCAATCAGCCAACGTACAGAAGTAAATGTCCCCGTCAGTCAATGGGCCGAGGGGAGCAAGCAAGGCTCAAGCGATGCTGGTGCGTGAAATAAAACGTTTCGAAGTGATCGACCTTGCCACGCCAATCGGCCGGGCCGTGACACTCAATTAACGGACAAGTCGGCGACCGTCCCAGTCTCAACCACTTGTCACGCTTTTTACGAGCACAAGTTTTTGTGTTTTTATTTTATTTAATCGCTGGGAACCGGGTAACGCACCAAGAAGGAAAGGCAAGAATTATGCAAATCAGTGGCGACTGATTTTGAAATAATGTTTCATTTGGTCGGCTCCGAGGGAACAGCCCAGAACCTCAGAATGTGCAAACGTAAAAAATACACAATATGAAAAATTACAATTTTAAAGGGGTAGCTGATGATTCCATAAAAAATTTATTTGTAGAACAGGGGGCTTTTTGGAGAAAAAAAAAATAATAAATATATTGAAAAAGTGTGAATTTTAGTAATAAACATGAAAATATGTATATTTTTTGTTGACATTTTTATGTGATTTGAATTTTCTGTAAAATTCATGAAATTTTATTAGTTACAGAACTAAATAACCTTTCATTAAACCTAACCTAGCACTCGGTAAATAGGAGCAAAATGAAAATTTTCAAGAATTGTCCGATTGAAAGTGGTCTAGTCTGGTTTGGTCCTTTCTCCGGACATCCAGCATTCTAAATTTTCCTTCGGCAGCATAGCACGCTTGGATTACCACGAAACTCGTTCACCTCTTTTAATTATACTTTTTCTGCGAACGTCTGTCAAAATAAATAAAAAATTTCACCCATGCCGCATCGAGACGGACGCTTTGTCAGAAAGTAGCCTCTCCTAATCTTATCGCGAATTCTCTCTAATTCGCAAACCGGCTCCGGTTTTACTTTCTAACTTGTTTCGGAAAGAGCGAAAATGCGCCAGAAGTGTCGGGATTAGAACTATTTTGCATGTGAAGAAATCAAACTGGATTCCGACGTGTTTGCTTTGGGGAAAGAGCACGTCTATGCGAAACTAGGTCGCTGCTATTTGTTTTTGCGCTGCCGCAAGAAGAAGCGCAAGAAGTGTATCAATAGATTTAGATAAATTATTGTAAAGAATGTAAGAAACCCACATGGCCTTGCTCGTCAATTAAATATCGATTTGTCACCGAGTTGATCAAACTAGGCCGGCTGACTTTGAGATAAATACGAAAAGTACAATGGAGAGAAGCGCCGCCTTTTAATTGATAAGTCTGGCCTTTTGAGTGATCGTTCTCGACCTGCTTGTTCAATTAATGGAATTAGCAGGGCCATATATTTCAATTACTTGTTTGACTTTTACCCGCCCACTTAAAATAGTGCTTAATTTTGGTCTAGAGGAAATGAGAGGATGAGAAATTCTCACAGAAAAAATATCAAAAACATGTATAGTGCAAAAAAATCGAGCGAAATAAAATCAATTACTTTTTTTTTCTTTTTTCTACTTCTAGAAACACTTCTGAGGTAGTTTTGAACTGCTTGAATATTGGGTTCAGAGGTTGATGCTCTCAGCGATGTCAGGAATTGTCCCACAGCATTGATATATAAAATCGCAGCAAATATGTAGGATCTTGTTGACAATTTGGTGCGTGACCTCGCGGCAACGAGCTCTGAATTCTAAGCAGGTCCCAATTCGGAACGCCAAATATTCAAGGGGAAACTCTTTCTTCCCTTTCTTTTCAGAGCGAAATCACAATTTCACCTTCTTTTGGCTCGGCTTTCATTAAACAATGTTTTGCCAATTTACTTTGCACTTTTAAAAATTGCAAATCAGAAAACATCTTTCTTTTTTGAGCAGTTTTAGCATTGCTTTGCGGGCACAGCAAGGAAAAAATATTTAAGTGCTGAATTTCAAAATTTTAAATAACAATCATGCATGTAACAATCAGAGGCTCGCGTAATTGAATTAGCAGCAGGCGCACATTCATGGGGATTCCTTGACCGGTTTGTTTACCCAGTGTGAGTCAAATTGGCCCCGAACCAGAAATAAAATCGCATAGGTACCGATCCGAGGAGTTTAAGTTTACTTGTTGTGATTACTTAATTGCACACTTGAATCAAGTCCCATTGAGTCCCATTATTAATTAAGTCGCAAGGTTTGCAAATCACAAATTCTTTTCAAATACAAAACTAGATTTAATAATATCTTCATCGAATTATTTATTTCATCAAATGAGTTTTACCAAATTACTTAATCAACAATTTATTAAAGTGATTTAGTTGTACGTCAATTAATTAAACTAAATTAATCAGTCTAAAATATTAAAATTTTTAATTTGTGACGTTATTAAAAGCTTTTTGACTGATTACCTCATTTTTTTGACAGATCAAGAAATAAACTAGTAATAATTACTAACGGAAATTAACTACTGATATATCATACTTATATAATTAAATTATATTATATAATATTAATAAATTATGCACCTGAAGTACCTGAACAGTAAAATTATATTATAATTCGGCATGCTTTGCAAACTGCATCAACCTGACACAAAATCAAGTCATTTTAAAACTGATCAGATACATGAATACTTATTATTGTTTATTTTAATTCAGCATTCATTTATCTCTGATTTGTCCACTTGATGGCAACAGAAATAAGAGACAATTAGAAAAAAAGAAAATTAAGAGAACCAACGCGCCAAAATTGACAGCAAAGTCGAGTGAATGTTACGAACCTTGTAGACTTCGGAGAAAAATCCTGAACCAATTTTCTCGGTGCTGAAGTCATCCAGTCTGTTGAGGGAGGCGACGGCGTGTCTCAGGGCCTGACAGGACGACCCTGTCATCATTTTGTCAGGGGGCGTGCCCGTCCTGGTGGCCGCCGACGGGCCGCCGTTGCCCACCACATCCTCGATTTTGATGGGTGCTTCAGACCCCGGGTCGCAGCGGTCGCAGTAGAAGGCCTCGGGGCCGCTGCCCTTCTTGGTCAGCATGCCGTCCGGTCAACAAGGAGTCGTCGAAAGGGCTGCACTGATCAGTTCGGGCATCCTCTCAGCCCAGACACTCGCATGGGTCACCTCAGAGAACAGAAACGCTTGGAAACACAAATGCAAAACGAAAGGGCCACTCGGAGGCAGGTCACTGGTGTGCCATGTCAATCGCGCGGCGACTGGTGCTCGAGTATTTACTCACACGGACCATCGCTCCGCTGCCTCCGGTTCTCGCTCCCTAGTTTACAACGCAGCTTCTGCCGACGGCCACTGAGGGCGCTCAAATTCATTGATTTCCTGGCTTGCAAGGCGGCTGCAGCGGTGCTGACACCTTCCAGGACAACAGCAAGGGCCAAATTTTTGCCGCCAAATATTCTCCTCTGAGCCAGCTGTAGAGGTTGCAGTCTTGTTTGCTTTTTCGCACCTCTGGTATATTTTGTGATTGTAACTTATGTAAGTAATATTCTTTCTTGAGTCAACATAATTCTTATTGTTATGTATTAAAATTTCTTAGGAGTGCAATGTGTGACCGAAAATTGGATGACATCGAGAGGACGCTTGAAGAAGCGAAAATCAAAACCACTTGGCTCAATCCGGTCACTCAAATTATCAGGTTTGCCGATGAAGAGCCCGAGTACAAATGTCTGGAGCTCAACAAGGACTTGCTGGAAACCCTTGAATCGGGCCAGAGGTACTTTTGCTTTAAAAAAAATATTCATGATAAATTAATGAATTGACAATTTTTTCACAATTTATAGTTTGGTTATTCGAGGAGACAAAAACGACAACGCCGTTCTGTGCACAAGCAGCAAAACCTATGATTTAAAGGACACTGAGACATCAAATTCCCTTTTAATAATGCAGTCTTTGACTTATCATAAAGATATCAAACATTTGCAAGGAGACGATATTGACAGAACCGTAGAAATTAAAATTGTAAGTATCAAAATCATAATCAATTTTAATTTGAATAATTTTAACTAAAAAAAACTTTTTTCTTATATTTGATTTCAGGTTGACAAATTAGTACACAACTACTTGGAACCAAGACTCATTCAACCTCATTTAAAGATAATTCAAGAGCTGCTGAGCAAACGTCTTTTCAAGGGGCCCGAAAGGGAATCTGAAGACTACACTGAGGATTTATACAGTCTTGATAAATTACTGACTACAGTTCAGGCAAGTGAGGAGGAAATTCTGAACGAGCTATTTGCTCTGAATGCTATTGAATACAAAGGTACGCAGGCGTTGAACACTCAAATAAAATTTATTTTTTAATGATTTTATTTAGGATATTGGCGCCTGTTGGAATTTGAATATCATTTCAGAATATTTTCTTTCATTACCACATATATCGAGCAAGAGTCGGTACCTTTCGATGAAATAGACAAGGAAGCTTGCTGTGCGGCTCATGCAGAAATTGTCCCAAAAGAAATTTTTGAACAAGTTTTCAAATACTACACTGATCTTAATTATGAAAAACCAGGTATGAGAACTTTTGAAATTTTTTTAAAATAAATAATTCATACAGTTTTATCTTCAATAATCTCAATAGGTTTGGGATACTACATTTTGAAAAAAGACAAGGTGTGTCGGATGGTAGCTGAGAGCATTTTGAAAGCAGCAAGGAAGTTCAACCTCAACGAATTCCTCCCAGTCTGGCAAGAGAGTGTCATTCCTGGTAATGGTGTATTAAATCAGCTAATATTTATTTTGCTCAATTTCTTTTATATGCATATTATTTAGGTCTAGAGACAAATCTGAATCAACTAACTGGAATAGTAATAATCGCCAAAGATTCCAGCCCACCAGCAATTTGGTATTTTCCAGAGAGAGATTTGCCTGAAGACGTAAATTTGAGACTACAGCGTTTATTCCAAGAGAGGTCGTCCTGGCCTATGGATGACATTGTGCCGTACATGCAGTAATTACATATAATTTCTTAGGATTTCTCAATATTTCAATTGCAAAATAATTTTTAGGAGACTTGCTACAGCTCAGCTTCCTGTAAATGCTCTGTTGGCAAAATATGCTAGAATGTCTACCAAGGAGGGCATCAAGTATTTTACTGGACGTCATGCAAAATAATAACATAATAATTATATAATTATTTTGTCAATTCTTAAATTCCCTAATTGTTTCAATGTACAAAAAAATTAACCTATTCTAAATAAAATTTGCATCAATTTTTTGCAAATCTTTTTTTGACAAGCAGTTTTTTATTTACAAAATAATCAAAGTATTTCAATGAAATTCAGAAAGTAAAATTTTTAATTTTCTAAGTTAGTTGCATTTTTTTTACATTCAAATAAATAAGTCTTTATTATTATTAACGAAAATACAATAAATAAGTCTGAACGGCTGCCACTGCAATATAATCCATATAATCACAAAAACGTTGAGATAATTTGTAACATTTTAAGTTGGCAGCGTTGGTAAAACACAAATATAGTTGCCTACACTGATGTTTGTTGTTTGTTTACTTTTGTAGTTTTTGCGACTGGCTGATTTCTATAAATATTTTAGTTTTTCGAAAATCGTCAGCAATCAAGGAGAGCTTCAGCGTTAAGAAATGGGTGGAGGAGACTTGGTAACAAAATAAGTTTTATGGATATTTAGAAATTCAAGTCGATTTATCACCTTTATATACATACAAAGTTCCAAAAAAATTATTCCTGTTTTTTTTTTTTTAAGAAGTGAAAGTTCTTTAAGAATTCGTCTTTAAAACATTTTTCATTTTTAGAATTTGAAAAAATCATGGCACCCAAACACTATGAAGAACATGGAGAAAGTGTGGAAGGCAGAACAGCGTCAAGAGGCAGAGCAGAAAAAGATTCGAGAGCTGCAGAGAGAACTGCAAGAAGAACGGAACAGAGAAGAAATCACTAGCTATGCAGAAATGCAAGGAGTCATTGAGTATATCACATTGTAATTCATGGGTTCTTATTTACTAATAGTAATCACTCACCAGCAAAAAGGATGGATCAAAACTTGACTGGATGTATAAAGGTCCTGGTGGTAAAGTCGATCGAGAACAGTACTTGCTTGGGAAGACTATTGACAAGCCTTTGGAGGAACAGTTGAAAACTGAAAAGGTCTCCAGCACTAGTGTGGTGGACAGCACATCTAGGATGCACCCTGAATATGGTATAACTGGCAATTTTTATTTTTAGATTTTTAAGAGACTTATAAATACATATATTTATTTTTCAGATGGAATTCCGACGAATATTTTAAAAACTTTCGGCTCTGGATCTGGGCATGTTGATGTTGCCAGAAAAATAATGGAGGACCCTTTGAGTGCAATCAGGAAAAAGGAGGTGGAGACTAGAACTGAACTTTTGTCGAATCCAGTCAGGATGAAGCAGTTGAAAGAATTGGTTTGCTATTAATTTAATTCACTTCATTATTAGATGTGTAAAATACCTTTTTTAAATTATAGTTGGAGAAGCAAAAGAGTGGAAAGAAACACAAAAAACACAAGAAAGAGAAGAAAAATAAGAAGAGCAAGTACAATGATGACGAGGACTTGGACAAGCTTTTAGCTGCGAAGTACAGTAAACTGAAGCATGTCATGGAGCAAAAAGATCTAAAAAAAATTCTTGAGGAAGAGGCCAAATCGAAAAAGGCTAATGCAAAAAGAAGCAGGAGTAGATCGGAGTCAGTATCCTCAGATGAGGATAGGCCGAAAAAGAAGGCATTTGGTCTTGTGGTATGTATTTTGGACACAATAAAAACTAAAAAAGTAATAAAATAAAATTTCAGCTCCCTGCTGGATATTCTAAAAAAGAATCGGCACGGAGGGAACGGTCTCGCTCCCCTCCTAAGAAAAAGCCAGATCCGCTTCCTCAGAAATATAGAAGAGAAGCTCCAAAGAAATTATCTGAGGAGGAAAAGGCAGCAAGATTAAGAGAAATGCAGGCAAATGCAGGCTGGAGGGATAGCGAAAGGACCAAGAATGTTAAAAGATACAGAGCAGAGGATACGTTTGAGAAAGAACATCACAAAGAAAAATATGACAGCAGTTTCATAAAGTGAGTTTTGTTAATTAACCCTGTCTGTTATATATTTTATTATTCTCTATATATTCTAGCAAGCAGTTGGCTAAAGCAGCGGAACGAGGCACAGTCGAAGAACGAATTCGATCCAACAAAAACTACATCCAGCGGGGCTCTGGCTCCATGGATAAAAATTTTGCACGTCGATAATCTAAGCGTGTTAGCATAAGTATAGGAAAATAAAAATTACATTATATAATTAATTTGCAATCATGCTTTGGCTGTGTTTCATTAATGAAGTTAATCGGAAGATATTCAGTATCAAAATTCAAGACTTTTATTTGATTTGTAGAATCAGGAATGGAACAAAATAAATGATAAATGAGCTCTCTCTATGACCCATTAATTCAGCCTTTGTGATCAAACTAATCTTTCCAACTGTCCTTCCAAATTAGGTAGCTCTGGATGTCGTCGAATTGCATACCACCGTCTGAGTCGTATGTGGCACTGAAATATTGCATGGGATCATCAGAATCGTAATCAACATCTGAATCAATGTCATCATAATCATCATCATCTTCATCATCCGAGTATTCAGGATATGTGTCAAGAACTGTTATGCCAACTGATCTGGCCACAGTCCTCAACCAATTTGGCAAAGAGAAAGAAGTGCTGTAGGGAATGCAAATCTTGACTCTCTTCAAATACGGTGAGCGTTGCATTAACGTGGCAATCACCTTAAGAGAGATACAAATAATAATTTGATCCTTAAAGATATTTTCAAAAATACCTCTACTATATCTCTTTGGCCAACTTTATTTGGAATCCCCTTGATTTCGAGCTCTTCCAGTTTGTCTAGGCAGCATCGAGCCTCTTCCTTCAGGGCCCAAGCAATGGCTCGCAACTCACAGGCACTCTCAACGACCAGAGACTTCAGATTGGATGGGTAATGGAGGAAAAATAGTTTGAACAATTTTGAGATTTGGGCATCAACATGTTCAAATTTGGTGTGACGAATATTGAAGCTGTCGAGTTGAAAATAATATTTTTTTTTTAAATTCATCATCCATTCTTACCTTTTGAGGTTTTTGAAGTTATCGGCAGTTAACTTAAAGAATGAGGATCTGTCAATTGTTCCATTACTGAATTCAACTCTAAAGTGCTGCAGCCGAGGGCAGGCCAAGATGTAGCTGTGGATGCTCAGCTGGTTAGCTTTGCCCTTGCCAGCATGATTTAAACATTGTATGGTCAGTCTAGTAATTTTTCCTCCCAGTTCATTGAGGAAGTAAATTATTTTGTCAGGAGGGATAATGAGGTTTAGGGTGAGCAAAGGATCTGCAGGGGGTAGACAGCTTTTGTTGATACTGCCAATCTTGACATCTCCTTTTCCGTAAATGTTCAACTCTTCCACTTGCAAACACTTTGTCCATGGTGTGGTGATTACATCTTTGTCGCCGATGTTGAACCTGAAATAGAGACATGTCACATATTAAACAAAGTTGCACATAAAATCTATAATTATTAAGTTTAAAAGTTATAATTTAAGAATTGCAGATAAATTTTCCTATTCTAAACTCACCAATGGCATTCTAGAGTGAGATTTTTCTGTGGGTAGAGCTCAGCATATTTCTTGACGAACCAAGTGTGACATTCTTTGTAATACTCTGGAGTTGTCATGTTGAAAGTCTCGAGGTTTGGCACAAGACCAGCAGCATGGACAATGGCATCAAACCTTCCATAATCAGATCTGTTCGAACCAAAACTGAATCGCAGGCACCTCAGTTTTTGCATTCCTGACAAAAGTTGGACATCTTCAACAGCAATTTCATCCATTTGCATGGAGATCTCAAGAACACTAAAAATTTGAACATTTAGGGTCTAAGAAAGAAGATTTATTAATTTTTAGAACCATAAATTTGGCAAGTGTTGGCAAACAGCTTTGATCAGGTGAATCTTCCTTTCCTCCAGTTCATGTTTATTGGCATTGGAGCGCATCACATCAACACTTAGGTAAGTCAGATTGGGCCATGAGAAGGCCATCATGCCAAAGATGTCCTCATTGTACAGCCTTGGAAGCAGCGAGTAGTTATACCACACATTGCTAGTAACTTTTGCCTTTTGGATCTTGGGACAGTTTTGCAGCAGGTGCTTGAAGAACATTGCCTCTGAGTGAATTTCTGAACTTTTGAATTTCTCGTAATCCAGCTCCAGTACTTTGTCGTTGAGCACTTGCAGGAGGAAAAAATAAATTTTGCAATAATCAAGTGGATCAAGTGGACATGGATCGTTCTTTTTGGTGACAATGTCTGTAACTGAAGCCACCAGTTTATCCACAATCCCAAATGCTGCAAAGAGAAAAAGATACAATTAAAATTCATAGTTAAATGCAAATTTTAAAAAGCATTCAGCAAATTATTAATATAATTAGTAAAATTTAAAATCATAATTAGATTCCTGAAAAATTTGTACTTGTAAAAAACTTCAATCAATTTATTTTATAACAATTCTGAAAGAAAGCTGTTTTTAATAATAATTTTTTTCTTTTTCCACAAGCAATTTTTTTAATTTTGTAGATCTTGACTCTTGTCAGTGTGGCATTGTTATATATTTTATAATTTAATAAAAAAAAATTCAATTTATATCACACAATGGAGGACTCACGCAAGTCAGCAAATGGGTTGAGTTTCTGGTTGAACATGCACTTGGAATTCCATTCCATAAAGTAGGGATGAATCACGATTTTGGAGATGGCAAGTTCCTGCAACGTTTCTGGAGATTTTGCATTTGAGCCAAGTCTCCACTTGCTAAGGCCTTCGGTCATCTCCTTGATTGCCTCAGGGCTAAAACAAAATTCATGAAATATTTAAGACCATTCTTAAAATTCGCAAAATTTAAGTACAAACCTTGGCGTGCTTTTCGCGTCAAGCGCAGTTTTCAAAAAGGTGTCCATTGCTCGATTTATGTTGTCTCACAAAGTCACAATGCCTATACTACGTCCATAAGATTTCAAATTATGCTTTTCCTGATTAACCTAAAATTATCTGTGATATTTAACGAGATGCTTAATTCGCCTAACAAAACAACAACACCCACACCCACATTGGGATTCTTCTGCTTGTGAGCAGTGAGTATTTGAGTAGTCGCAGGTCGCTAAGGTCGCTTGTTCTTCTGCTCGTGCTCAATGCGCATGCTCTACTTGTCTTGCTAGTTCTCATTTCTGCCGATTTCTGCCATCAGGTGCAACAAGAACAAGGGGGAACACCTGGCGGCGAGACCGATAAAGCTCTAGCTGGGCCAGATAGAGGGCCAAGATCAGGTGGGCAACAATAAGGAGAGTAAAATCTATTTTACTCTCCTTAGGCAACAAAACTTTAAACGGCGCGAAGGCAGCACTTAATGCGTGTGTGTGGTCACAGTAGAGAGAACGGGAGAAGTCCATTTTTACTTTAGCAAGTTAATTGTGTACTGTGTCATACTGTGGAAATAAAATATTAACCTTCTGAAAATTTATAAGCATAACAAATATTTGAGGTAAAATATTACTAAAAATAACTTAACTCATATAATTAATTATTTTAAAGAAGATGTATGTTTATTTCAAATTTAATATTAACAAATGTAATCTCATTACATTTGTTTTCATCCTCCAGTTTCTCACTCGTTCTAACTGTCACGCCACATCAGGTAACTTTCTGGCCTATTTCTGGCCTTCAAAGTTCAAGTTTTTAATTTGCAGCACAAATAAAAATAAAAATAGACATAATTATTGAAACAAAAAAATTATGCAGTAAATCCTTAACACCAAAAGATATCAAAATCTGACCTTCCCCTACCCCAACCAAATCCACATCCTTTCTTAATCTATTTTCTCTCTTTTAGTTTTCAGCTTTGTTTGTCATCATCGCGTGGACCAAAATTAAGGATATGCCAGCAAAAAATGATGATTTTTTAAATAAAGTTGAACCCAAAAATAAAAATAAAAAATTATTTGGGTGGTGCCAATGAATTTCATAATTGAGGACGCGCTAAAACTGCCGATCCAAATACAACATGGGTCGATAATTTTTTTTCAATGATAAACACCTGTCCATAGGTCACCCCCAGGCCCCATGAAAAATAAAATTCAAATTTTTTTTTTCGAATTTATAGAAATTTTGTTAAAAAAACTCTAAAATCAAGATTTTAATTTCCTATGGGAGATAAAAACTTCTAAACAACTAATCTAGACAAATTTTGTAACGCCCGACAACTTTTCAATGGTGACCTAACGTGTACAAACACACGTATAAGGTCACTTTAAGACAAATTTTGACTTCGACTGAAATTTTTGAAATGAACGCTCCCTTCGATTTTTTTGCAGGTATAGGGAAAAATGTAGCCCATCTAATTTTTAATCGATATGGTTATTTCCAAAAATATATTATTTTTCGTTTTTATTTAATTAAAATGCAAACAAATAAAAACATTATCTCTCGGGCAAAAAGTTAAAAAAGTTTTATAAGTTAAAGACTTTTTCTTTAATCCTGGAGTCTTTGATATAATTTTTTTATTTTTAAACTATCATGCTATCGAATTAAATAATTTGATTGGGAAATTTTCTGTTAAAATTTAGCACTATATAAACTCTATTTCATGAGATCAAGAATTAATTTTCACAGAAGTGTTGGTTAAAGTTATCATATATGTTGTTGAAAAGTTTGTTTTCCAATTCGCACCCACTCCAATTGTCTGAAAAGATTAAATATTAAATTTTAAAAATTATTCGTGAAATAAATAATTCAGAAAATGAAAATTTTGTTACTTAGGATCATAAAATTAATTTTTCCCTTGATACATATCACGGCAAAATAAATTCATTATGCCAAAAAATCTTATTTTTTATTGTGAATATATTATTTATATTTTGTGGCGGGTTTAAATTTTTTATAAATGACGCACTAGGAAGAAAAAATGAGGGATAAATATTAAAAAACTGGATAATTTTGTGAAAAATATATATCGGCAACTAATAAATATTTTTTATCCGAGAGACTTTACCTTGGCACTGATCTCATGATACTCAATGATACTGAAGTAGGAAATACATTTTTTTACTTTTACGAAATGATAATGTATAAAACTTTTGATCTATAATAATAATTATAAAACTTAAATATAATTTTGTACTCTACTGTGTATTTTATTATCAAAGATTAAATTCAAATATTATTAATATTCACCAAAAGATCAATTCTATTGTTATTGTAATAAAAAATAATTTTTACTATATGATTTTATTTTTAAAACCCGTAAATTTTGAGGTATTGGGGTAAAACTATATATTTTTGAAAACCTCCTGACATGGTCTTTCTGGTCCTAAAATATTTTAAAGATCACATGACCCTTGCCAACGCATTGCACCTTTCACGATTTTTCGCCGAAAGAAAGTTACGCGGGGTAGCTTTTGTGCGTGCGTGTTTTGGCGTGTTCTGCGCATCGGTTTCTGTTATAGTACATACCGAAACGCCAAGGAGAGTAAAAATTATGTTTTTACATGTACACATATGTATTTATTTCATACTTCTACGCTCCTCTCCTATTATGAACACAATTGCATGCGGCTGCGGCACGCATTTAAAAAGGCACCCTTTGCAGTCATGCCGCAAATTGCAGAGTGCGGCGGCCTCTGCCTCTGCGGCCAGTCCAGCGCAGCATTTACTGGCCGCTCGCTATTTTCCTCGGGCCGCTGGCCTTCTCGCTTGCTGGCCGCTCACAAGACTGGAGGAAACCTAGAGTATTGATAATGACAGTTACATACCTCTTCAGCAGATTAATTGTTGAACAACGTTCCCTTAACAACTCTCTGAACTCTCCAATCCCCTTAAATCTTTGTAGCTTTTAATTTTGCATAATGCATGCATTTTATTAAATTAATTTTTCATAGTGATTCACCATCTTTATTATTTATTGTTGTTCCTTCGCTTGAGCATTTTTATTTATTATCATCAGAGCCGCGAATTAGTTTGCCGAGTGTTTGTTTTCGTGCCCAGCTGATGTGTTGGCTGCAGCGGAAGAGGGGCGCTCTGTGCGCCGGCGCCAGCAGCAAGAGAGAAGGAGTGGGAAGAGAAAGTTAGTTCCGCTGATTTTTACCCTGGCCTTTCTTATGCAGGCGAGTGGCGACGTGTCGCGGGCGCTGCGGCTTCGGCCAGCCCCCTGGAGTTTGGGCGGCCAATCAGAGTGCGGCAAGAGGGGAGTGTGGTCATCTCCTATACCTACAGCATTGGAAAGTTCGAGAACCTTCTAGAAGAAAGGTGGAGTTTGGGGTCTCCGATTTCCCAAGATCGTCGATATATGCAAATGAGAAGAAATGATATAAAAACCCGAGCCGCTCGGTAAGCGGCGCACTCTTTGCTCCGGCTCCTTCGGGAGTGGGGAGCGGAGACCCCCGGCGGCCCGCAAGGGCTGCCACCAGGCTGACCTGCGGGTCAGGCTGAGGAGGGCGGCCGGAGGCTATGCCGGTTTCCCTGCTCAGTCTGGCTGCAGAAAACGCTGGCTCTGTAAACCTGTGCACGGTTTATGGAGCCACGCGTTACGTTAGTTGAAATCCCGATGCAATAATGTTTCTATCCAAGCAGCGGATCCTGCAGCCAGAGGGAGGAGCCAAATCACCGCAGATCAGATTCAGCCTTGCAGAGAGATAGAGTCACCGGGGAACTTCGAGCTTCGAGAGCATCCAGCGTTGGAGCACCGCAGATCTTCCCTGCTCGTCGAGAAGAAAAGCCGCCTCATTGGGAGGTGCAAAAGAGCCTCCAGATCTTCTCCGGCGGCAGATAGAGCAGCGGGAAAGATCGGCGCCCCAAAAGGAGTGAGCTGTTGGCAGTTAAGCAGCAGATAAAGCGCAGCGGGACTTAGAAAATTCTGCGTGCAGCTTTTGCGAGTCCAGCGGCCGGAGAACTCCGTCCCGCCGAGGGATAGAGCCGGCCCAACGCGCCTAGAGTTCAGCCAGAGTCTCCGGACCATCCTGACAAGTGTGTCCTGGAGAGAGGAGTTGGAGAGTGAGCGTGATGGATCGTGGGAATAATGTCCGCCGAGCCCCCCGAATGCGTGGCGGCGTGCGCGATGCAGAGGAGAGCGAGCGCGGAGTGGATCAATAGTTATTCAATCCTTTATGCAATGAGCCAAAATTTCAAAAATTATTAGTTCTTACTTCATAAATGTATTATTTTTCCATTTATTTCCACGACAAGTAAATTAATTTTTTAAAGATAATTTATTCAAGCAAACCCATTATGTAATATATACTAATACAATACAATTTCAATTTTGTTAACGTACTGCTTCTCTGCCTAATCTTTCCTGTCAATTTTTATTCTTTTAACTTGGATACAATTAATTAATTTGTTAAAAAAAATCTAATGAATATTGGACATTTAACCTTTTCAAAATCGGTGGCAAATCAACAGAGGGCCACAAAGATTGCGTCTCCCTTTGTGAGAGCTGTGAAAAACGCTCACAAACTAGCGCAGGCAACAACAAAAGCTCTGCACCTTTCTCCCCAGATATGGTCGTGCAGGTATGGTTAGAAATTTCTCCACATAATTTCAACGTTGTAATTTAAAATGAGGGTAAAAAATATTCTCTCAAATTTTGGTCGTCAATTTGAAATAAAATACATTTATTTATCAGATCCCTCCAAGAGCCATGACCTCTCGCAACCCCCAAGCCCAAGGAGAAGCGCTCACCAAGCCTCCTCAGAACAGTGTACTAACTGCAGCAGGTATAGCAGAAGCCCAGGAAGAAGAGAACGCAGAAGGTCTCGATCTAAATCTGTTGAACGCAGACCCATCAACAGCTTGGAGTCCTCTTCAAAGACAGCTTTCCTCCTCACATCGCAGTCCACCAGCCTGGACGAAACGAAAGGGCAGACGTGACTCTTCATGCGCACTTCCAGCTCTGCTCTTCATGCTTATCGTTTTCAATTTCCCCTGGAGAAATAGTTGAGACTTGACTAAAGGTAAAAGACTCATATTGATCATGCTGCCTAAAAGTCCAAATGACCAGACGGTTTGCTCATTTAGCACGTACCTGACAGAGATGAATCGTGGGTTGAAGCAAGCATATCCAGCCAAGCTTTGCTTCTCCAGGATTAAGAGAAAGTACAGAAGGAATATGTCCAACCCAGCATCACAGTTTTTTGTCCCCATAAGTATATGTGTCTTGAGAGTATGTGCATCATAATTTGATTTTGATGATTTTCAATATTATGTGTATGCATATATTATATATATTATGATTTCAGATGCAGATAAAGCAAAATTGTGCTGAGGGCAGAGCTAGGCCAAAAAAGAATTGTTTGATTTTAATCAAGTGGATCCAAAAAGTGGCTTAGGGTGTTCTGCAACTCATTCAAAAGAGTCGGAGATAAATTGCAACAATTTTCAAAATTGACGAGTCTATATAGCATTGTGGTAATGGTAGTTTTCTACCAAAACGCAGTTTTGATAAAAAAATTATCGAGTTCAATGTCGAATCAATTTGTGGAATTTGGCTCTCGAGAGCATTCTCTACCTGCTTCTAACTATGCGAGTCTCTATCCTATGCAGCCTGTAAAATCTCTTAACGAACTTAAACAACATCATATTATGGATAATAATTAAATTGGTTGCTGATATGCCTCGAACAACATGTCGGAAATATCTATCACCACAAGACCATCATACATTTTTTGCTAGCAATCGACTTTGTATTCTTGGAGAAAATGTCCGCAGCTACCACATTCCAAATATTATATTAAAAGCAACTTAATTAGGCTGCTTCAGAAATTCCCAGAAGGTGTTCAAGCATCTCAGCTACCAAAACTTTAAAAATAAGCTTACTAGTATGTTATTTTCTCAAATTCGTCACTGTTATTTTTGTAAAATGAGCCAAAACAAACTAAAGTCATAGGAATATATATTATGTTTTATGATTAGTTTTCAATTGTTTTAAATTGCGCACGCTTCTTAATAATACATATTTGAGAAGGTATTGTTTGCAGTCCGAAATTTTGACATGCTCTGAAGATTATTGATAATCTTAATCAAACCCGCGCGCAAGTGAAGCTAATATATAAAAACATTTTTTAATTGGTCGCAGTTTAGTTAGGTAAAAAAATATTGACTGAAAAGATAATTAATTTTCAAACCTGCCAATGACCAAGACTTCAATGTTCAAAACTTTGGATTCCAAAATGTAGAGGAACTGATACAAAAGTCTCAATATTTTCAAGGCAGCTGGTTCAAATTCAGGCGGTGTCATGGTTAATTGTTGATGCTGCATCTGATCTTCCAATCTCCAATCTAAAAGTAATTTTTTTCATAGCTGAATATCTGTCATTATATTTTATAAACCATAAATTATCCTTTTAAAACACAGTATTTCATTTGAAAATCACAACTAGTGATTCTTTTTTGATATTAATTTGTTAGTATACTAACAAATTATACTTATATGTGATAAATAAAATTAATGATAAACAATTTTAGGTCCTAACACAGTTGGAGCTAACAATATGGTCAGTAGACAGTTCTCTGCTTTTGGCCCGAAGGAAACAACATCTTCCCTCAGGATTTAAACTTCTAGTGGCCGAGATGGAATTCTCAAATACTCAGCCAGAATTTGCTGTCACTGTTGGTGAAATTTTCTCTCCATCGCAATTCTTCGTTCATCAATACCAATGCTGATTTGGATATTGTTATGCAGGAATTAGGATCGATTAAGTGCAGAAAATTCTTAAGAATCTAATATTTTGTGTGTGTATGCTTGTGTGATTTATGATATTTTTTTCAGTTATTTACAACTCTAACAATGATGACTTGAAGCTTGAAGGTGCTGTTAGAGGGTTTGTATGTGGCTACCAAGTTTTGCAAAAAGTGGCTCAGGGCTCAAATCGATGATAATAGCTTAAAGCAAAATAATTTGAAATATTTGTGTGCAAAAGGATGTTGCAAGGAAGATGGCTTTGTTTTTTGGAGTTGTGGCTGTTTGACAACATTGGAACATTTAAATAAACCTCTTCTTGACTTGACACAAGAATTTAAGATGAAATTTTAAATTTATGCACCAGTTAAAATATCATTAATTAGGTTATCATTAAGAGGAGAGAGTAAATTGTTGTTACAATTTTGTTAGATCCTGCTGCTGTTAATCAAAATGAGTAGTGCCCTTCTGGGCAACTTTTCCCTCTATGCAGCCGACAGGCATGTATGGAGGTGCTGGTTTGATGCGCAGCAGGTACCCCTATCCAGCCTCACGTGCAGCTTACACCTCAAGGGATGCTGAATCCCGCTCACACCAATTTCTACCCCAGCGACCAACGGCGGCTATCACTCAAGGTAGAACACAGCAGAATGGTCGAGTCACCATTGACAGGAGGCCAACTATTAAATGATTTGGTGAAGTTGGAAAGACCCAATTAATTAAGTAGTGAATCTGATTGGACAAAACCTGTTCATTTAAAACCAATTTCGATGGTTTACTAATAAGTTTAAATTTTCTTTTAGTTAATGAACAAATAATACACTTGATTAAACTTGGAAGGAAGCACATCAAAATAAGGAACAGAATAATAATGCAACTTTCAAAGCGTAAAATCTTAAGCTATAAGTTTAAATCACAAATTCAGAGATAATATAAACACACTGCTTAGTGCTTATGTGTAGGTATGTGTATTGCCTACATTTAAAATAAAAACTTTCAGACGACCTATAAAAATTCAGGTGGCTGCTTATTTACCAACTGATGTAATGCAAAAATGATTGCAAGAAAGAATTTAAAAACATACAAAATTATAAGCATTCGATATTCGTCATTTATTTTTATTAAGAGAGAAGACATATATTTATAACTTCATATCATTATAAATAAAGAATTTTTTAAGACATTCGGTTTTCCAGTTAAAACATAATCTGAGAATGCATACTAAAAAATAAAATTTGGCTTGGAAACTCAATTAATTAACAATCTTAATAATGGCGTCCAATTCACCATTATTAATTGTCAGGCTGGCTGTCTTCCTTTGCGGACGGGTGGTGAGAAGGGTGAAGAGTCCATCCCTGCCGTCTACGTCGCCCTCGATGACATCTCCAACAGTGATAAACTTGAGGCAGGTCAGTCGATCACGCAGAGAGAGTTTGACGCTGTCGTTCACAGGTAGGTTGGACTGGAACTTCATGTGGGTGGCTGGAGCAGGAAACTTCTTCAAGACGAAGATCGAGACGGGGCTTCCAGAATAAATTCCCAGACTGGAAATGCACCAATCTGGGGCCCAACAGTGGTCTGCAGGTTGTTGAGGTCCCATATCAGAGAACTGAAACAAGCCTATCACGATGGATTTGCCATTTTGGCTTTTGAGCTTCAAGGCCACCGATTGCCGGCTATCCAGACCAAACTTTGCCATTAAGGCATCAAACACTGTGGTTCCAGGTTTTTTGAAAGCAAGCATTGTCCTCCAAAAACCACACTCGGTCGATCCAGGCCTCCTCCTGGTAAGCAGCCTCCGACGACCACTTTCTTCACCATGCCGTGCTTCACGAGGAGGCTCTCGGGAATTGCGGGTGGCATAGTTATGCGATCTGAAAAGAATTAATGTTTAATTAATGTGTTAGGATAAATAAATAATCTTAAGATTTTCGAAACAGGGAGCAAAAAAAAAACCTTTTGCGAATTTCGTCACCCTTGTCGGACGTGAAACCCATCGAGACCGTGCTCGAGACCGGTCGAGACCATTGGTATCGGTGGGTCTCCATCGGTCTCGACTGGCCTCGGAAATTTGTAACTTTATCATCGTAGGGCATTTGTTCCACATGGTCTCGGTGGGTTTCAGCCAGTGTCGGTGGGTCTCGGTGGGTTTCAGCCGGTGTCGGTGGGTCTCGGTGGGTTTCAGCCGGTGTCGGCGGGTTTCAGCTGGTCTCGGTGGGTTTCAGCTGGTGTCGGTGGGTCTCGGTGTGTTTCAGCCGGTGTCGGTGGGTCTCCGTGGGTTTCAGCTGGTGTCGGTGGGTCTCGGTGGGTTTCAGCCGGTGTCGGCGGGTCTCGGTGGGTTTCAGCTGGTCTCGGTGGGTCTCGGGTCCATATAAGCTATTTTTTTTTAATTATTTCGTTCAAAATATATTTTAGTTTTAATTTATCATCAAGTCAACTTAATACACAACTATCTTAATAAAGTTTCAGTTTAATGTTTATTTAATGTGAACTTAATTAATTTTTTTTACATTCATAAATTTTCGTAAATTTTATCAAAACTTTTCTTTATTTTAATTTTCAATAATTTCAACTAAATTAACATTTGATTAAAAAAATATTAAGTTAAAATTTTATTGAATTCATATAATATTTACTAATGCAGTCACATATAATTTAATTTTTTTAATGAAACGTCAACACTTATTCAAAATTCATTTGCCCTCTTTGATTCAGTTTCAATATGAAATTGATAAATTTTGGTGACTCTTCTATTTTTATTATTTATCTCAGTATTTACTTAAAAAGCATAGAATAAAATAATGTCTCGCTCGCTGATTTTTTAATAATTTCATTTTCAATTACTATATTAATATTATACAAGTTTATACAAAAATCTTACTTCAATACCTAGAGCAACCTATAGGATATATCTTAATACGTCAATAAAGAGTAATAATAACAATATTGATTAATAGCAATTGAAAATTAAGTTAAAAATTCAGAGAGACATTTTTTTATTCCATAATTTTATTTTATTTTTTTTTTGAAATACCGATAAATAATATATAGAAGAGTCGCCAAAATTAATCAATTTCATTTTGAACTGAATCAAAGGGGGCAAATGAATTTTGAATAAGTGTCAACATTTCATGAACAAAATTAAAAAATTACATCTCTACGCATAAGTAAATAAATAATATGAATTAAATAAAATTTTAACTTAATATAATTTTTTAATCAAATGTTATATCATTTGAAATTTTTGAAATTTAAAATAAAGAATAATTTTAATAAAATTTATGAATGTAAAAAAATTAAATAAATTCACATTAAATAAACATTAAATTGAAACATTATTAAGATAGTATTAAAGTTGACTTGATGATTAATTAAAACTAAAATATATTTTGAATGAACTAATTACAATTACAAAATTAAAATAAAAAAGCTTATATGGACCCGAGACCCACCGAGACCAGCTGAAACCCACCGAGACCCACCGACACCGGCTGAAACCCACCGAGACCCACCGACACCGGCTGAAACCCACCGAGACCCACCGACACCGGCTGAAACCCACCGAGACCCACCGAGACCAGCTGAAACCCGCCGACACCGGCTGAAACCCACCGAGACCATGTGGAACAAATGCCCTACGATGATAAAGTTACAAATTTCCGAGGCCAGTCGAGACCGATGGAGACCCACCGATACCAATGGTCTCGACCGGTCTCGAGCATGGTCTCGATTGGTTTCACGTCCGACAAGGGCAGTTTCAAAAGTTTTCTGCTCTTAAATTTAAGGGTGTTTCTACGATAATGCGGCGCAGAAGAATTGTAAATATTTTTATTTTTTCTGAAAATATTATTATCGCGCCACACAACGTCGGTGATTTTAGGCCGGTTTTCTGAATAGTTAATTAAATACCGGTATGTAAAATATTTTTGAAAAATGCTTATAATTTTGGACTGAGGAGTGGTATTATTATAAATATCGTATTTTTCCATCATAAACTAATGCACAAACCTAAATTTATACAATAAACATGTTTTTCGTCGCAAAAAGTCCAAATTTTGGTGAAATTAGAACTTACATACCGGTTTTTATTACACAATAACCGGTATATCTCAATATCTGTCAGAAGAAACCGAAATTTTTTCGTACCAACGTGAAGTTAGCCACTATAGCTTTCGAATGAGACCATAAAAACGATATGTTTCTTGCCTTTTTAAATTTTGGCTGATGGATATAAAACGGTTTTGTTAGTTTTCCTGCTTCCGAGATAGGGCTATTTTTGAAAATCGGCTGTAACTTTTTTTTGGGCAGATGAAATTTTCTGAAAATTTAGACACGTATTAAGGATGTGATAACGAATCGGCCAATGTGCCATATGACCACACTTTCTTGGCTTTCCCGCATTTTCCAACCCTATTTGACCCTTTTTGGGAAATTTTGGATTTTCTCAAAAATGGAAAATGCAAAAATAATTTCCTTTGGGGAAGTTTGTGCCTATGAGTGACGTCAAATTTTGGCTATCTCAGATTTAATTTTCCGGTTGCATACCTTCAGGGGCAGGCATTGAAGTATTTTTACCCTGATTTCAGGGTACTTAACCCTTTCATAGAAAATAATTGTTAATGTAAAAAATATTGGAAATTTTATCAGCATTCAGAATATATGCTCGTTTTTAACGTAGGACTTATACTTAATGAGATACAAGCGGAAAAGCAAACCCCTTTATAACTCAGCCATTTTCCGGAAAAGTCGGAAAAATTTTTCATAAAAGCTCTTATAATGGGCAAATTAAAGAGAAAAATTTGTTGGAAATATTTTGCAGTCATTTTTTCAAAATATTTGCAAATTCAGTGGGCGTACCCTACGATGATCGCCGAAACAGCCTTAATTCAAACTGCATCTCACAGGATATAAAAATACATGATACTCGACACAAAATGAGGGGCAAGAATTTTAAAGATCAATCAAATGACTCTTTACCTTTTATAAGAATCGAATTTGATAGAGGCCTTCTGAACAAAGTTTTGGTTGTTCTGTGTTGCGGTCGTCTGATGCGTTCGCTCCTTTTTTGACGACTGTTGACGACGGTGTGAACAGAGGGGGTACTGGGGGTCAAATGCAATGGCGGGAGAAGGGAGAACCCGGGAGAACCTTTGATCGCTAAGAGCTTTTCACTCATCCGCAGAGGGCACAAATGATTTCATGCTGTGTTGGTGCTGCGGTTTCTGCCGATAGGGGCGCGCAGGGACTCGCAATCAGCCAATAAAAGCAGCAAAAATTGAACTGTGATTTTGACTTCGAAAAATAATTATAATTTCAGAATAAAAAAAAAAATGTTCAAATTTTTTTTTTTGATAGATAATCAAATTCCAGAATTTTTAAAAATTTGTTTCTAGAAAAATCTTAATCAAAAGCGGAGCTATTAACGTTTCTCCGAGAATTTTTTCCGTCAATTATAAAAATATAAGAAAAAAATTTTAAAAGTAAAATCCCCAGTAAGTAAAATGTTGCCAATTAAGTTTCTTACAATTTCTTTAATAGGCTTCATGGCGTCAAAATTAAATTTACTCATGTACAGAAGGCTCAAAGTCGAAATATAATTTTTTAACAAGGAATAAAATTTTTTAGAATTTTTAAGGATAGCCAATCGATTGGAAATATAATTTTTACCCTTAAATTAGAATTTCATCAAAAAATATTCAGCCGTTTTTAAGCTGCAGCTTGCTTTCTCATAAGCGCTGTCGTCTACAAAAGCGCAGTTTGAGGTGCTATCACAAATCTCAAGCAATTTGAAACAATATTTTTTGATGAAATTTGAATCCTAGAGTCAAAATTAATTTTATTAAAGAGTTGAAAGTAGACTCAATCTTTTTCAATGCTTGTTCAAAAATAGGACAAAATTTGCAGCGAATTTTTCTTTCTTGCTATATAAAAGACCTAAGACACATCTTTGCAATACGCTTATATTTTGATGGGAAAAAGTTTTATTAAGGTCTTCTCTCTCTGTTAAGTGTAATATCTGTCCAACAATATGAGACCAATGGTTTGGACTAAAATTTAAAAAGAAAAACATTGATAATATAATATTCGAGTGTTCTCATATGAAATGTACATTTCTAAATTGAATGCTTACACTCGAAGTGCATTTTCTAATTAATAAAATAAATAAACATGATAAGTTGAAACTGTGCAAACAAAAAAGGAGGATTCACAAAAACATATTATCGAGGGAGAATCATATAATATGTGGGGGGGAAAATTATAGGACTATACCCATAATTTATTTATCTTTTTAAGTTGAATAAATGTACCTTTTGGGAGTTCCTGCAGCTTTTGTATTAATAACGCTTGAGAACGCTATTAATAATTATGATGTGCCTCAGGCAAAGTACTGTCTTCCATGTACATCAAAGCAAAAAGCCAACTTAAAAATAAAAAATATTAAATCTGAAATCAACAGAAATCATTATCTTGACGATTAATAATTTAATATTATTTAATCTTCTTGTCAGTCCTAAAACGCCAAAAATAGCTAGCAGCATTAATTTCAGATGCTCTACTTTTTCTGCTTACCATCTTCTGAGACTTCTGACCTCTGCAAGTCTGCAATGCAATGCATGGCTCAAGAAGGCTCAAAAATGTCAATAATTAAAATCTGCACTGTTTAATGGCATTTATTTTGGGTAAATCTTTGTTGTCTGAATGATAGCGAATTGGCTTAATTGTCTGTCTGTTATACGACTTGACTCACCTTGCAGTGTCTCCTAGCTTCTCCTTTTTCCCTACAGCTTGGTAGCCTTACATTTAATAGTGACAGTCTGACAGTGACAACACAAAAATACTTACACAGCGGCTGGAGAAATGAGAGATAAGAGAAAATAAAATTAATGAATGCACCAATAATGCGCCCGCCGGAATTTGCCAAGAAATTTAATGAAACTATTATTGGAGACCATTAACATCAATCCCGGCCTACTATAATTCTGGCACCAGGAAATGCTGCAACTTTGTAACTTTTATATATAATTTTTGTTCTCAGACAGCAAAACTGCAAAACTTTTTTTGAGAAAACTGCAAAATATATATGGCAATTAAATACACTAAGCTAATGTTGAAAAAAATAATAAATGTGTTTTTTTTAATCAATTGAATTTATTTATTCATTGTAATTTGAATTATATAATTATCTACATCAAAGTTTTAATAAGGTAAAATTAAACAAAAAATACCAAGATCAAAAGATAAATATCATGAGACTTAACCCTCCATTTAGAGATCCTAAAAATGTGGTGCAAAAGTAAAAAATGTGATGAGATTTTTTCCATGTCATTGATACTGTTATTGCATTTTAAATGTAGACTAATCCTGTGGCAAAGAAAAAAAATTTACCGACACTTATGTGAATTTAAATTTGAAGCACAAAAGCTTTGCCACAGCCATTATAAAAGCAGGCAAATATAAAGGAGGTCAGTGATTAACTTAATTCTCATTTCCCCTTTCATTACAATCATATGTACAAGCTCTCTTCAAAGAATTGGTAAAGTCAAGAATATAAATATATATGTGAGTAAAATAAAATTGAGAAGAGATCAGGTACAGGGCGAGCGAAGAAACAATACTTGGTGAACAGAAGCCTTGGTGTGAAGGGCGTTGCCAAGATTAGGAATATATGACTTGTGAGGTATTGCAAATTCACGAGGTGTACGTCCGAATGACGTCTCTGATGACTGCTCTGCACAGGGGACAGTGGCCGCCTCCCTTGCCTCTCCACTGCTGGATGGCGCATTCGTAACACATGCACATATGACCACACATGTAAAGTACAGAGTCAATTGTCCTCTCGTAACAGATGCTGCACTCGCTGTGGGTAACATTGTTCGCGTCGTTCCAGCCTGCACCTGAGGTGCCAGGGGTGCGAATGTTGGTTGCAGAATCTAAAGTGGCGTAGACTGGACTTGTGCGCACCGGCTAAAACAAAAATAAGAATAAATTATTAATAACCAGAATAAAAAAAAAAATATAATAGAAAATTATATGTAGGGTATTTTTAATAGTCAAAACAATACAAAGAACAAAACTGCAGTAAAGTTAAATTTATAATTATAGATAAATGATTTGTAAATAAGAAAATAAATTAAATGATAATTACCTCAATGTAAGTTTGACTATAGTTGGAGAGCAGGGTTCCAGAGGCATTGACTGAAGCTTGAGTAACAGTAGTGCCAGCAGGCAGGTATTGCTGGAAGACTCCGCATGGAGGCAAGTTGACGACCAGAGAGATGGGAGAGACGTGTGAGACAGGAGACATGGCTGTGTGGACAGTCGTGGCCTGCATGTGCCGCATGTTGGCAAGGTTGTTTCCAGTCATGTCAGGAGAATGTTGCAATACGTCACAAGGTTGATCCACAGGATTTCCTATTAAAAAACACATACACGTTAGTAAAAGAAAGATTTCAAATTATAATTACAAATTTTTGTTAATTTCTGTTGTGTCAGATTTAGTTAATTGTTAATTTAATTTTTATTTACCTAGAGATCCAAGCAGTTTGATTTTCTGAGTTGAGCCGTAAACATCAAAGAAAGCCCACAGGGCCAGAGATTGGTCGACGTACATGATGGAGCTAGAGGGACCTCCGTTTACATTGAGGGTAAGTTGGCCATTGGAGTGCAGCTGGAAGGCGAGCTCCGTATCAACCAAAGGACTAGAGGCGACATCCTTCTTCAAGGCCCAGAACTCGGGCCGATCGAGCAGAAGGTCACTGTCATCAGGGAGACAGTCAGGTTTGAGGATGCCGGGGTCGCACGAAGTGACCCCAAAGGCCAAGGCGCCAACGTACATGGGCTCAGTGGCCAGCACTTTGATCACAATTGTTTCTCCGATGCAGAGAGGGCGGGCAGTGAAGACGTAGCCGTTGCAGAACTCACTGTCCAGCCGACTGGCCACACACTGGTTGTAGCTGAGCCGCATGTTTCGGCCGCATAATTTGTGGAAGGCGAGTGGATTTAGAGCTGCCGCTGGAACGCGAGGGGGAGACTTTTGCAACTTGGGCTGCGCTACTTGTTGCTGCTGGAGCCTCATAGAAGCCATTGATGAGGCAAGGATTCTGTCGATATCACTAGATGTGGAGGAGGAAGAGGACATGTGAATGCTATCCGAGCATGACACAGCCGTATCAGCTTGACAAGATGAAGGTAGGCTGATGCGCGAGTTGCTCAATTGACGAGAGTCTAAAACAAGGAAATTAAAAATTAAATAATTTCCTTTCTTCAACAGAGGAATATAATTTATAAAAAAAAAATCTGGGAGAATATGAAAAAACTTTTACTTAATCTAACTCACCAATAATTTCAACAGCCGTGCAATTGCCGTAAAGGTCAAGGAGAGCCCACAGAGGTCCCCTGGTTTCCACTCCAGTGAAGAAGATGCCTTTTTCCTCGCCATCGACTCCAAAATGCACATCTCCAGTGCTGGTAACGTAGAAGAATAGGATGGAATCTCTGACGGCATAACGCTCAGCAAGAGCTTTTGCCCAGAAACCAACTTTGTTTGTAAGATCTACAAAAGAAAATTATAAATTAATATAATGCTTCCTTCTTGTAATTGTATAACAGAATAAAAGGGTAATAAAGAATAAATATCTCACCAGGACAGGCGTATTTTGGCAAATTTCCTCTCAGGGTGCTGGGATCATTTGAAGTGAAGCCAAATCTGATGACGCCGCTCCAGTTGTCAGACACTTCAATGAATTTCACACAGACCTATTTTACATCAGAAAATATTTTGTAAAAATCCTGAATTGTAATTTTTCTAATTTAAATGTACCTTTTCATTGATGCTGACCGGACGTGCTGTGAAACAGATGCCTTTGCAGAAGCTTTCGACGCGGCGGGCGATCGCACCATTTAAGGAGACCTGCACGTTGTCACCGTGAACAGAATGTAAGGTGAGGGGAGGCAGGTTGTTGGTTGTCACCAGTCCGCCACCACTGGAACCTGCGAAAAAACAATGACCTCTGTGTTAAAACAGGAAGTGTGGACATTGAATCTCGTGTTTGATTACAAACGACAAGATCGCCATTATAGTACGAGAGACGGGTTACGTGAGAAACATAATAAGAAATTATTTAAAAGTCGTTGTTTTGTTAATCATCTAATATCAATATTTTGAATTTACTTAATATATCAAGGCAAAACTTAAGGAGAGTGCTTCTTAAAAAAATGCACTTCGTAGAATTATTTGCATTGTTTGTTTAATAAAAAAATTTAATTGAAGCTTACTTTAGTTTTCATATCACACTATAATATGAACAATAGCATAATCCGCATAATCGTTACAACTTTTTACAACTGAGAGAGAACGAAAAAATTATTTAATTTGATTTTAAGAAAAAAATGTACGTTTAATCTGAAATTGCAGATCATTTTAAAAATTGGCAATAATTTAATTTTTAATAATAATTTCATATTATTTTCTTGGTCTACTGTCGACTGATAACTAGGGGATGAGAAAGCGGGGCAGTGAATGAATAGACCGGATCTCTCAGAATTCCTCCGGCAAAATAAATTTCCCCCTTTGCCCTCAAGTGGGAACGAAACTCAAAACCTCTCGCTCTTTATATTCCTATCTAGCGGTGCGACACTATGAGAACACCATGGGAAGCAGCGGAGCAGAGGCGAATGCATGAGAGAATCATCTCCCTCCTCCTTCTGCGCGAGCGGATATCCCCAGCAGGAGTAGAAAACAATCTCTTCCGCCCTCCCCCAGTAAGCAAAAAAGCAAGTGAACTCGCGATGCAGCCGCGCTTGAATTAAAAGAAGCAAGCGTCCTCACACAATTATTTCGTGATAACATTTTACGATTTACACGGCGCAGACTAAAAGCCACGCAAGGTGAAACCTAATAATAAAATTTTGCCTTGCACGTACTGCTGTTTTCGAGCCTGCGGGGCGATCGTGAGCCTTAAAAATCACACAACTTGCGGAGAGAGAAAAGTAAAAACGCAGCTCAGTCAATAAAGTACACAAAAAAGCGGTGTTTTTGTTTACACGGTGGGAACGCAATAAGGTGTTGTAAAAATTAATGATGGCATGGGCGGGCTAAGATGATCAGAATGGCCAATAAAAAATTTAAATATTTAAAATTATTTGAATTAAATCCGTGCAAAAAAAAATTGAATTTGTTCTTTCATCTATTAATAAATAATTTGAAAAAAAAAGGAAAATGCTTAGACAGATTTTCGGTAAGAATTGAGCTATAATCAAAAGATCCTTTAAAAATGCCTCTCAAAGGTGAATTCCGTTCAGGTAAAAGCTCCCGAAGGAGGCCCCCGTTATACACGAGAGAGTCTTGTCGGCGTGAGAACAAAACTAGCAGGCTCTTTAAAGAAGCAATTTTGTACCGATTTTGATCTTCTTCTGGATCTTCTTGAAGAACTTCATGCCGTTGCCGGACTTCTGGTAGCCGAGGGCCCTCCTCGACTCCTTGGTGAGGGCCTGGTTCGAGTGCAGGTTCTTCCTGAGGGCGATGCAACTGACGGTGCTCATGGTGGCGATGAAGAAGCCGCACTAGTTCGGCAGTTGCGTTTCTCTTTGTCAAGCTCCACGAAGCGTACCGACGACGACTCCTCCGTGCGCAGTACCGTGAACTCGGCTGCGTGCTGGGGGACTGACTGAGTTGCCCACTGGGAGTCGTGCAGACCGACCGGCGGAGGAAGCGGCAGCTGCCGTCGAGGACTGGTGGGGGACGAACCACGCGCACCCGGCGCACCCCTCGTTTTCCTTCTCAGCTGCCGCCCGCAGATGCAGGCACACGCATAAAGGTTTGAATTCGAATGTGGAGAAAAAAAAATATAATGTATACAGGGCCAGCTGCTGTTGCATTAATTGCTTGTGTGCGTATGAGCCATGTGTCTAATGCACACCACTGGCGGCAGGTCCGCATCTGCTGGCGTGCTGCCGGCCAAAATCCGACATCAAGTGAAAAATTCCTCCAGACGTTCTTCTTGAGCGCTCTTTCCGATCTCTTGACTCCTTTGTTCGATTTTTATTCAGAAATTCAGTTCGGCTTGAATGAAGATTTGTCCGAGAAATTATTAACGCACTTGAGAAACCAGTCAGATAAAAATGTAATAACAAATTTTGGGCCGTCTCAGTTTTAGTCAGATATAATTATTTTAATTTTTGAAGGCATTGTTTTTTTTGTTGATATATGTGCATTGCATGGAATGTTTCTTAACGTACAATAAAATTAGAAGAAAAAAAAATTAAATGAAATTATAACAGAAATAAATTAGGATTTAATAAATGTTTGTGCCATGCCATGCTATAGAGTCTAAAATGTAGGTTATTAATTTTATGAGTGAACAACAACTCCGCAGCATGATAGGAAATTTAAAAAAAAATAATAATCAATGCATACCTTGACATCCTAAGCTGCTATCAGATTGGCCCATGGTGATCTCTTTTTAATCCGTTATTTGCATGCGATTTTCCAGATCGTCAAAGATCAGCAAAAGGTGACGACGTGTCCAATCACAATTAAAGGTGTCCTAAAAACAAGAGTAAAAGTTAATTAAAATTCTTATGGTTTAAAACAAAATAGTTTCTGAAAATTCTGATTATAAAAATGTGTTTCATTTCTAATAGATAATATTCAACCACAATTTTACACTGTTTAACCTAAACTCGGGTAAAAATTTAATACAAAAAATTATCAAAAAAGTAGCTTTTTTCCTTACGAGATCTAAATCTAATTAACTGTGTCAGTCTATTTAATTAACAATTATAATGAAAGTGAAACGTGGTTAGATAACCAATTAGCTAATTTCAAAAGAAAATTTTATTTTGAAGAAGTGACTTGTTTTTTTATTTCCTTTTAACAAGAAGACGTGTGACTTCAGAACATTATTGTAGACTTCTTATATGTAGCGGAACTAGGAAATGGGGGTTCCGGACGCCGGAAATAGCACAATAGTGGGTGGCCAAATTTTAACTTGGTACACCTTAAAATTTGGAAGCAAATGGTTGCAAAGCGCGAAATATATTTTTAAAAACATCCCCTTGGGGAATTTAAAAGTCTCAGGAGAGTCAACCTTGCGTTGGGCAATGTTGCATGGGCTCTTTTTAAAGAGGAAAAAATTTAAATGGAATAAAAAGGTACAAAGGTGAGTCGCAGCAGGCGCACGCCAGGCGGACGGCCCTGCGCTTTTCGGAAGCATCTGCCCTGAGAGAATGAAATGGGTGATCCTTCAAAATCAGCGCCGCTGCTATTATTAGAGAGGCGGCCTGTGGAAAAGCTGCTGCTGGACCAGGTGTGTGCCACCTGCGGGACAGGGCAAAGGATCCACTTCGCCCCCACCACGCAATGTGGCACGCGACGGCACGTGGAAGGCGCAAGCAAGCCGACAAAAATAAAAATACATTCAGAGAGGAAGAATAAAAAAAAGGGAGGAAACGGCACAACTCAAAAAGCTTGAGTGGTCCACGAAGAGAAGAAGCAGACAGGAAAGACAATTATTGTCTCTATAATAAAAATTTACATAGAAACCTAAAAAAATGAGGCACCCAATTTTAGTATTTAATTTTTGGTTGAATTTCGGATTATTAATGACTCCTGTTCTTACGTAAATTTTAATTGCCGACACACAAATAAAATCTATAAAGTCTAATCTCTTTATATTATTCTGATATTGCATCAGATTAGATTAAATGGATATATTCTGAATTGATATCATATGTAATAATATTTGATAAAATATTAATATGTAATAATTTTCCCTACATTTTAAATTTTAAAGCTGTTCGGTGGAGTATTTATGAATTGCCTCTTCATAAAAAAAAATACTTGAAACTGACTTTCTGTTTATCTCATAGAGATATTTTTAAATCCTGATTTAAATAAAAAAAAATTTTACCTCTTTTAGGATGTATTAATAAGAACAATAATTATTTCATCAATTCGCATTTGATTTTTAAAGCTTGAATTTGAAAAACAATATTTACTTATTGGCTTATTGGCATTTCCAATTTTTTCTTCCAAGTATTGCATAATTATAAAAATGGCCCAAAATAATGATCACAACGATCGAGACAGTGAACTTTTGATTTATTTTATTTACACCCTCACGAACACCCCGAGGGAAATTATGTATGACATTAAACTGTGCAGCCGAGATTCCTCTATAAGAAAATGTATAATCATAGTCCTGAAAACAAGCCTTTGAAACGAAAAACGTCGGTATAGAGGAAAAATTTCAAAGTTTTGTTTGCTTGGGCGATTAGGCAAGCGTGGGTGGCCGATTTTCCGGCACCGGTTAATCCACCTCCGTTGGCGAATTTTGATATTAAATGGATTTTCCGAATGATCCATCAGTCCAATAATTTGGCCTGCGCGTGTTTACCTGCGTTTTGCTTGTCAATTAATCATAATCTAATCGCTCCTCTGGTCGGGAACTCGGAGTGGTGCGGGCTCACCTTTCATTGTTATCTCAATTCTCAACAATCTCAACCTCACATCGAAAATCGAATCAAAACATTGAATGAAAAACGTGGATAAGCGCCATCTTTGGAGAGCGCAGGTGGCCCGCGAATATTTAAAAATACGCACGTGTGGTCAATAAATTGTGTAAATTGCGAAATTGTAAAGAAAGCTCGAATTACAAAAATGAATATATAATATTAATCTCAAGTTTCACAAGCTATGCCAGCCAATTAACCTGCCTTTCTGAATTCTATCTGTGGATAAATTAATCCAAATTCAGACCAATTGCGTAATGCAATTTAAAACTCGCGGCTTCCATGAAACCAATCGACGGACGAATCCGTGGCTGTTGTGGTTCCTCTTTTCATTCACCAGCTGCTCGACTCGTCGCCGCTCTGCGAGTGCGATTGATACAAATTTATTCTGTTTACGTTCCCTACATCTCTGAAGTTTTCTAGCGAAATGCAGAAAACCTGCAAAAATATGTTTGCCCTTCGAACACAAATAAGAAAATGTTCAGCCCAGGCAGCTTTGGCGAATCGTGGACCTGCACCATCGACACAAGAATCTCCGCAAACTGCTTTATTTGATATGGGTGAGGGAAACAACCTTCCTTTTTGTTCACGTTGCCGTAAAAACTGCTTAATATAAATGGGGTAAATCAGCTTTATTATGATTATGTATTTGTATAAATAATTTGGCTTAATTTAGATTTTATTGGACTTGTAGTACGTAAATTCCATGCACAGATTTTATTATTAATTTAAATATTATTTAGAGTTCAAAATAAAATAATAAAAATTCATTGTGTCATATATGCTTTGATGATTTTTATATTTTAAAATATTAATATCCACATAGTCATATCAATAAACAATTTGATAAAAATATCATAATAAAATAAAAATGTTTTTTCTACACAAAAAGTTTTCAAAAACTTATAACTTGTGTTAATAATACACTCAAAACCGTTTAAAACCATTTTTTTTTATTAACTTCATGAATAGTACCGATTCGTTGTTATTTATTACCATTTATAAGCTATGTAGGAGTGAGATTATGAGAAATCAAGAACATCAGTTAAATTTGCAAAAATTCTTTTATTTATTTATTGATTAACCTAATAATACAACAATTTTAATTATTATTTTCCTTGCTTATTAAATTAATATTAAAAAAAGTGCAGGAAGTATAAAGGACGATGGATATTTTCTGGAATACATAACATTTATTTTGAATAAGTTTTCTATTAATTTAATTCTCTAGTCGCATATTATTTTCTATGCTCGAAGATAAAGCTAACAAGAATTAATCATTTTGTAGCATGGAAATAAGAGAAAAGGGGCAAAACCATAAATATTATGGTCTAATTAAAAAAGATTATACCATGTTAAAAGTGGTTAAGAGTTCAATTTTCCTCTTATTTTTTACCCACAAAATTTACCTTGAATTTTAATTTCATTATATTGAAATAGATTTTCAAATTTTCATGTCTCAAAAACAAAGTAATAAGAAATAAATAAATAGAAAATAGTAACGTTATGTTCTGATTTTCAAATCCTAGATCTAGGATTCAGACCCTCGATGGTCAAGATTAAAATTGAGCAGGTGGCTGGCGCAGCTCATGGCGGCAGCTGCTTTTGCACTGCCCTGTGGCTTTTTTTTATAGCGACTGATTACCAAATCAAGCAAACCACTGAGGGCTCCAAAAAATGGGCAGATAGCCAGATATATCATCAGCTTAAACAATTGGCTAAGATTTTTTTCCAATTTTTTTATTGATTTTAGTACAAACAACTTTATTATAAAAATCAATAAGAAAGAATAATTATTTGTTATAAAAAATACCATTAAAAAGATTATTCTATCAAAGGCCAAAACCGAGTACATTTATGAAATAAAAAAAAAAATACAAAATAACCATCGTACTTTATTATCCTGCATATTCATTCTATAAATTTCTGGAAGAGCTTTTGACTGAAAATTTTGAATTTGTGTACTTGAGAAATTACCTGAAAAATTTCATGCGATTTTAGAGCCCCTGAAGCAAGCCGATTACTTTGGAGTGCAGAAGCTGGTAAAAATAAACGACCTGTTTGAAGCCAAGGTGCATTTGGGACACATGGAGGGGTCTCTCCACCCAGCCATGCGACCCTACATGTATGGCTCGAGGCTCGGCCACTGCGTTTTTGACCTGGATACCACCGCGTCGCTGCTGCGGAGAAGCCTTCATGTAAGGGTGAAAAGTTGGTGGAGAAAAATGAGATAATTACTGGTGGTAAAAAATTCACAGGTTCTGGCCAATGTGGTGTACAGAGACGGCGTGGTTTTGTTCTTGTCTCCGCCAAGTCAGGGACCGACAGCCAGAGCCACCGAACTCTGTGCTCAGCGCTGCAAAGAGTTTTCGCACGTCCGCAAGTGGAGAGAAGGAACTTTCACCAACTCTGAAAAAAAGGTGATTAAGGACTTACCTTGACGTGGGTGGGAATTTTTTTGACCCTATTACAATATTTCAGTTTGGTCTGGTTACGAGACTGCCAGATTTGTGCATTTTCATTGGAACGCCGCACGACGCTATTGTAGAATGTGCTAAAATGAATATTCCCAGCATTGGGATTGTCGACTCGAATACAGACCCCACATACATTACCTACCACATACCTGGCAACGACGATTCGGCCAGCTCTATCAACTACTTTTGCAAACTTTTCTCCAACACCATCAACCTCGTCAAGGCAAAGAAAAATGACAAGAAGTCAAACTAGTGCTCGATGTTCATTAAGCTGTGCTGCATTAGGATTTCAATAAAAGAAAAGAATAAATAATGAATTTTTATACTGAAATAAATTCCAAATTCATCAGATTAGGGTTGCCATCTCCGTCACTAAATTTTTTTAGATGGCCTATGGCTTTTGAGATTTTATGTTTGCGGAACATTATGGAAACCCTAATAATAAAATTGTATTCCCGTCTCTATGCAACAGGCGGTGGTTTTCCTGTGTGAAAGCTTGCCTGCCTGAATCATCCATTGCAATAGAGAATTGAGAAAAAATCAATATTTAGATTTGAGGCGCATGTGTGAATTTGATTTGCCGCAATGTAAAATAATATTCTTTGCCAACTGGATTAAATTTAAAAAAAAAAATCCTTCTAATTTTTTTGCCAAATCCTATAACTACAAAAATTGTCAAATTCATGACTTGACACTTTTAATGAGAAATGGATGATTAAGACCTTGGGCAGACACTTTCGCACAAATCCTTTTTTAGCTCTCTAAATTATTGAATGCACCTGACAACAGTCCTGAGGATTTTTACCTTATGGCACTCATCAATATACCTTGATCCTCCCACTTTGAAGTCATCATTCAATGGTACGGCATCAGGCAGTTTTGACATCGTCTCGAGGAATAGCTTTAGGAAGTGGGTCAGTAAATGATGTTTATGTACTTGACAAATTATTTTGCGCAAATTAATTTATTGCGAGAATTTGTGTGCAAAGTATACCCATATTAAACTGATATTTAAACACAAGCTATTCTTTAAAGGGCACACAAAATGGTATTGGAATAAACCCTTCATGACAAAAAAAGACTAATGTTAAGTATAATTAAAACCATGCAGCGCTAACTTCCTCTGAAGAATGGGTACCTCACTCAGGAACCTCTCTAGTCTCAGAAATTACTTGATTCCTCTGCGAGTTGGCTCTGAAGCTGTGGGTGGTGGAGGTGGCCCTTTCTTTTCCAAATCCTCCAGGAACGTCACAAGCATTTTCTTTCTGTCACTGCCAATGTGGTCTAGCACCAGGTAGCGCTTGTCCTTCTTCAAAACTTCCTCAATGTCGTGTAAATGCTGTGGCCCCTCTGACATTGATTTGTATGTGATCATTTTAGTCTCCTAAAAATAGCATGTTGAAATAATTTTTTTTTTAACAAAAAGTAAGCAATTTTTACCTTCAAAAGTTCCCTGAAATCTGCTTTGGCAGCAACCAACTTATCTTTCAAATATTCTTTGAATTCTCGTTCACATTTCTAAGGATTAGGAAGAACATAAGCTAACATTCAAAATTTAAAAGTAGATTAAACATACCCGTTCACTGGAGGAGAATTTGCTGTATCTGGGATCATCTTTGATAATCTTTCGGATTTCCTTCCAATTTGACGTCAATGACACTTCTGGTGTCTCATCTAAAAGCTCCCTCAATTTTTCCCTCTTCTTACGTGTTAACTGCTCAATGTGCTGTGTGAAGTATTTCTCTTTTTCCTCTCTGTCCAGCAGACTGACCAAATCCCACCGACTGTCCTTCCTCATCAGTCGCTTAGCCTCCTTCCAAGAAAGATCTGAGTTGCGCACCTGAGGACATTCAATTATAAATTGGCACTGCAAGGGAAAATTTCAGACTCACCAAGTCCACCAGTAAGGCAACAAATTGTTGCACTGCCTCATCATGTTTGTGCAACTCGCGCTCCTTGTCACGCTCACGCATGTGAGATGCTAAGGTTTGCCGTACCTCCTTCTCTCGTTCCCTCAAGCTGGCCTCTTGCCTGGCTTGCTTCTCCCTCTCTTTATCCTTTTCACCTTCATCCTCAGACTGTGGGACATGGTACAATGATAAATTAACATGGCAAAATTTATAGCTTTTTTAGTCAATAATTCAAATGGGAAATTTAGAATCAATATTTTTTACACTTCTTGTGCAGGAATGGCACAGGAGAACAAGCGCTCAACTTGCAGAAGCTCACAGTTCTCAGGCTGGCGAATGGAAACTCTTAACATTACTGGAGAGATTTTACCCTACAGGCATTTAAGCTATTGCTTGTGCGCGATTAATATTTTCCTACTCGAGAAAAAGCTGCATTATACTTCCTTGGAAGAATTTTCACAATAAATACATATTTCATATCTAACAGACCATAATTTGTTAAGTAAGGAGAAAGGAAGCTATTTAAATTTAAGATTAATGGACTACAAATTATTAAGAAAATCTTGGGAGAATTAATGAAATGCCTCACCTTCTCTTTGTCCTCATCTTCAGAACCTTTTTCATCCGAGTCGTTGCCCTCTTTGGAGTTATTCATTATAGAACTTACATTCTGGTCTGCATCTTTTTTGTCATCTTTTGATTCTGATTTGGCACGACTATCTGAATCTTTGTCTCTGTGTCTGTCCTTTTTATCCTCCTTCAGCGACTTGACATAGTCATAGAACCAATCTTCCCTAGTGCTGCTAGAGTCAACTGCTCGGTATCTGTAATTAAAGTTAATTTGATTATTTGTTCCATTTTGGTAAAAAAAAAAAAAAAAATAAGTAACGGAAAAATGTTAGTAATAAATACCTTTTGTCATCGTCAATCTTCTTCTTTATGTCTGACCACCTTGTATTCTTATCAATTCCATCTGTTTCTTTCAGCAGAGCCAAAAAGTCTTTCTTGCACTGTAAGATATTTAAGGATAAGCCCTATAATTATTTCAAAAGTTTAATTGAACTTACTGTTTCTCGCTTGCGCTTCTTGTCCTCCTTTTCCTTGCGTCTGACGTCAATAATGTATTCATTGAACAAACTCTCACGCTCCCTCATTTTCTCAATGTTCTTGAATCTTTCGTCTTTGCCGTGCTTTTGTGCAAAGTCACTGAATGTGGATCTGAAAAAAAAAACACTTAACACTTTAATTCTAGCAAACTTGAAAAAACCTACTTTCCACTCAGTTTTGCTTCCTCCATTAACTTGAGGAAGTCATCTTTTCTCTCCCTCATCTTCATTCTCTTTTCACGACGCTCCTCCTCAGCTCGCTCCTTTACATACTTCTCAAAAACTTGCTTCCTCTCTTTGGAGGTGAGCAGCAAGTATCGTGGATCAAATACAATCTTATGCAACTCTTTCTCCCAAGTTGAAAACGCAGATACCTATAATGACATAGTATTGAGCACAAAGAAAATAATCTACAAATGAAATCTTACTTGTTTTTCTTGCAGCATACTCTTGAATTGTTTAATTCTGGCCTCAAGAGGCACAACTGCTCTTTCCCGTGCTGCTCGAACCTCTGCTTCCATTGCTGCCTCTTTGCTTGTATCAAGAGGTTTGCCATTTGACCCATTTTTCTTTGAATCTATTTTTAGTACAGAGAATTGAAAAATATTTCAATTGAAAAAATTGAGGAAATTTTTCTTGCTCTTACCGGAATCATCGTCTTCTTCTACCTTTGCCTTTTTAGAGGCTGGTTCTTCACTCTCGCTCTCACTCGAAGCATCTGGCTGATTTTTCTTGGTTCCATCTGGAGCCTTCTCGAGAAGCTTGTCTACTTCTGGTCTATTAACCAAGTCACTTGGTTTTTCCCACACACTTGCCCGTTGTGATGGATTGTAGAAAAAGACCCTACCGTCTCCAGTCCAAACTACACACCTATGAAATTAAGTTATTTAGTAGGCAGATAAATATATTCAAGATGAGACTAACCATGGTGTTCCTGGGACCGGAGTACTAGAAACTGGCCTAGTTTTGTCCTGTTTCTTGTGGCTCGCAGAGCTTTCCTCTTTGATGACCGCTCTGGCTATTTCAGCACTCTTTTCTGTCTCGGCTGAAATTTTTGCCACATGTACAGGCTCTGGCTTTTTCTCGGCAATTGCCACATGCTCGATTTGTTTAAAAGGCTCTGGCTGTGCAGCCATTTCAGCAACTCCCCCCATTCCTGGGACTCCTCGGGACATTTTAGCTGCTGCAAATTTTTAATATTGTTGTTACATATTTGAAGGTTTTGTCATTACAGATGCAAACCTTCTAAATCCTTGAGAAGCTGAGGCCTCTCCCAAACCGATTCTCCGGTTTTGGCATTGTAAAAATAAGGTCGACCGTCTGGAGCTCTGTGTTCTGACCACTCAGCCGCCTTCATCTCAAGATCAGGTCCAGGATTGACCTAAATTTACAATTTCAAGTAAATAATATTTTATTTTTCAGATCTTCATACCTGAGGTGGCTCTCCTTCTTCGCCAGGGACCTGAGGCACACTGAAATTGTTGTAGGTATTCATAGGCGGCCAATTGTTTTGCATTCCAGGTGGCCCTTCATTATATCCAACGCCTGGAATGGGAAAAAAATCAAATTATAATTTGTAGTAAATTTTTCTGCTTCCATGTAATCGATATTTTTGATTTTATATATTATAAGATTGTAAGAAAAGAGTTCTGCTCAAAATATTAAATTTTTATGTCTTCATCAAACGACAAAACTCAATATCTTTTGATTTTAAAAACTCAAAAGCTACGAATTAATCAGGCGATGGCTCACCTGGCGGAGGCATTCCGAAGGGTGGTGGCATTCCTCCGTAAGGCATGGGTCCTCCGTACATCATCCCCATGTGGTTGTTGTATCCCTCCTGGTCCTGCTCACCGCCGTCCTCCTCTGAAAACTTTTGAGTGGCAGCCTGTGCTTGCGCTACAGCCGCTTGTGCGGCTGTCTGAGTTGATCCCCCTGCCTGACCAGGGCCACTGTTTGTTTGAGCTGCCATTTGCTCTACCTGTTCCTGTGAGAGGATCTGCACGGATGCACCCTCCGGCTTTGTCCAGGTCGTCTCCCTCGTCCTCGCACTGTAGTAGTAACTCTTGCCCTCTCCGGTTTTCGTCTCTACCCAAATCTCACTGTTCAAATCTACGCCTGACATGGGCTGAGGAAATAAAAAAGATATTTTAATAACAAGATGCCTAATTGAATGATCCATCTATTTTAAAAAACTGAATCTGAAGTGAATATTTTGATAAAATTTATTTTTGCTTACGCCGGATGCAGCTGGATTTCCACCCATCATGTGAGGTGGCATCCCATGCGGTGGCATGGGACCCCAGTTTGGATCGAAGGGGGCTCTAAATCTGCCCCTGCCAAAATGCCCAGGAGGCGGCGGCGGCCCCCTAAATGGAGGTCCTCTAGGGCCTCCAGGACCTGGAAAGCCGCGACCTCTGAAGCGGGGTGGCCCCATCCCTGGAGGTGGTACCCTGGCACTGAAGTCATTAGGGCCTCGACCTCTGTAAATGCTGTGAATATTAATTTTCGAGCTCTTGAAAAAGATGGAATTGTACCTGAAAATTCCTCCGCGCCCCCCTCGCATTGCACCTCGGAAGGATCCATTTTGGCCATCAGAATCAAGACCGGCCTCTCCAAACATCTCCCCTTCGACCTCCATCGATTCCATCTCTAAATAATGCAAACATACATGTGATTTCATTAATTTAGTGAAATAATGCTTTCATATTTTCATATTTAAAAAAAAATCATGTTCTTTATCTATGAAGATTATTTTGACCTACATGAAAAATCAAGATAATAATTATTTTATGTGTATGGTTCAGATTTCAGATGCAAGAAACAAAAATGAGACTTTTTCGAGGATCAATGATTTTCAGAAGAATACATAATAAAATAATTTTTTTCCCTGAAACACACCCAAAGATATAAAATGTCCTCTCGAATCAGTCGAAATTCCAGTCATTATGCTTCACCATGGTAACAAATCCATCGTGAGTCCCGATTGTTATTTATTTAGTTTAGAAATTTGCTTGTTTTATTGAAATTTATTACCAATCATCAAAATTGTACAATGCATTATAATCTTAAAAGACCAAAGGTAAGAATTAGTGGTCACAGGGAACTTTATTTTCTATAATAATAATGGTATAATGTTTTGCGGAAATAGAATCACAAGAAGTGATTCGGAAGTTTGAATTCTTTTTAATCGGCGCTCCTCACATTCAGCGACGAGCAAGCTCAATAACTCGTTCATTCTGGATGCTAATGAAAGTCAGATTATCAATTTACCTAACTACAGGACGGATGCTGTGGAGTTAATCTTGATTTAGGTCGTTTTGTTGATGTTTTCCGCCCGCTTGCAAGTCTTTTCGGCTTTTCTTTCGCCGGGCAACAACTCACGCGTACAAGCAGGAGGGCCACTGCAAAGAACTCGTCTCCCGACAGGCGAAACTTGTTGTAGCGTTTTGTACATCAATGACGATGCCAAGGACGTTTTACAAGTTTTACACGATTTGATTGGCTGTGACGGGTCGAGTCTTGTTCCCTGCAGCAGGAAAATTATCATAAGACTGTATGTAACGATACCCCCACTCCAACAAATTTCAAAAGTTACTCATCGCCCTCCTTGCTCCTTTTCAAACACCCCTATGGTGGGGTCGTATCAATCCTCCCGCATCCTCCATGATGAATTTTCTGTCAATTTCGCCCACTGTCATTCCTGTCGTCTGAGGTGTTTTAGCATTTTTTAGATTTTCTTCGTGTATGCTGTGAACCACCCTTGAATCGCCTCCCTTAGAAGCTTTCCTGAGGTTTGCAACGGTATTTTAAAAACAGATTTCAAAATAGAAATCACGCTGTCGTTGCGAGTTTTCGATTTTTCCGAGATGTTTACCTTGGAGGAGCGGAACATGATGAATAAACTTGACGCACTGAAAGATATCAGGTGACTCACGATTTATGAAGCGTTCTTTTTCAACTTCATGAAATAAAACGATTAAATTATTTTAATTTTGACTAATTTCGTGAAACATTTTCAGGTCCAAGACCTTGCAGCTGGAAAAAATCAAGGCTCGAATAATTAAGCAAGTCTCCACAACTCACCAAGAGCACCAGAGTTTGGCCGAGTACCGACAAGAAATGGAATTGTTGATGCAGGAAAAGATGGCCCACGTTGAAGAGCTTCGACAGATTCACGCAGACATCAATGCTGTAAGAATTTTTTTTTTCAAATCGCCACCAATTGGTTAATTTATTATAAATTTAAAATTATAATATTTATAACATTTGTATACATATATAGTAACAGTAGAATTTATATTTTTTTTTTATATATTTGGAAAATTACAATTTTTTATGAGAATAAAATTAATCAAAGAATTGATCATAAATTTTAGATGGAGAACGTCATGAAGCAAGCAGAAGAGGCTCATGTGAAAGCTCTTGAGACTGCCAAAAGGCTGCATGACGAGTACATGCCCTTGAAGATGGAAGTGGACAGAATGCGCCACGAGTGCTTGGGTCTGGATCGCCTTCCAGAGCTGCACGAAATTGACTGTCGGCTCTTCTCGCCAGAGTAAGACCTTCAATCCAAAATTCTTTTAACTTTCCTTTTCTATCCAATGTTCAAACTATATAAGTGCCACTCAGAAAACTGTCGAATTTCAGCTTTTTTGAGAAGCCTGTCATCAAGACTGCATGGCCTGTCGAACGAGAGGAGCCTGCGCCGATGACCCCGGTCAACTTGATGCATCACGTTGTGGCCCCTTCGTCGTTCTTGCAGCCACCACAACCACCTGCACCACCCCCGATGGGCAACCAGCAGCCGGTCAACAAGGTGCAGGAGCCGAGGACAATGCTCTCTGCCTCGGCGCCGTCATTTAGGTATTTGTAAATAAATTGTTTTGCATAGTGCATTTATAATTAATTATTTCAAAATCACAGGCAGCAACCACCACCGATGAAGGCGTGTCTCTCGTGTCACCAGCAAATCCATCGCAACGCACCGATATGCCCTCTGTGCAAGGCCAAGTCTAGATCTCGCAACCCGAAGAAGCCCAAGAAGAAAGACTAAATTTTTACATAATATATTTTATGTACTTAATTACATGTTGTAATTAGTGTCAAGTTTTAATTAAACTAATCGAAATATAAATTGACGATTTTTATCGGTCCAATGTTTGATTGCAATGCTGCAATATGTGCCAAACGGATAATGTAATATTGGCTGCCAAACTTAAAAATTAATTTCCACGTAAACGTGACTTCTCATAATGATATGAATGTAATGATAGGTAATTAAGCAGTTGCTGCCCTCAAGAAGTGTGCATTTTTTGTGTCTGAATGGGCTACATTCAGTGTTCTGTATTAATAAAATTATTGACGTATTATTATAATACAGGGAATTTGTTGTCTGATTTACTTATCCCATAGTAAAAAAAAAACAGCAGAAAATTAAAATATATTGGTTTTGTCATTTAGTTCCTTTGCATATTTTTTAATCCCTCTCTAATATTCAATCAGTGATAAATAGGTGGCAAAATTTAGCAACATGTCTGTGAGGGAACGTTTCACATGGTATCAGGTTTCCAACTTTTTTAACTCAAAAGTGATGAAACTTGTATATCAAGTCAGGAAAGAAGGCAGGTACAAGAAAAGTCAAAGAACTTTCAAAACTCGACAGTGGCCTTCAGGTTCCATTGAAAATTTTCAACTAAATCAAGTGATGAATGTGTAAGTCATGGAAGTGTTAAAATAAATTAAAACGGGAACGGGAGTCATGTCGACAGCCTGCGCTTGCAACAATTAATGGGAATATAGTTACCTGAGCTGCGCCCACGCTGGGCACAGAGCTCAGATGCTCTGAAAATAATACTGGGTGAGATAGGGCAGGACATGGAGGTTAACCCTAAAAGGCGTGTTGGATAGGATGTAAGCTGAGAAAAATGCAAGGTGTCAAATTGCATACGTAAGAGGATAAGCACTCATATAATCATAATACGTTCAATTTTTTGTTTGAACTCACACTGCATATCACCAAAGTGGTTAAAAGAGCAGCAGACCAGGCTAAATTATCAGTTCCCTGTTTTAGCTAAAGCAGCGAGCAGCCAGGCTGAGGTGCCCAGTGCATTGCAGGTATGAGCATTTTTGCGGCCCTCCGTTTTGGGACTTGAGTGAGGATTCCAAAAACCCAGGACGGGAACTGATTTTTAATGGTGGTGGAAGTATTTTTAAATCTCTAGCACCACTTCAAATCAGTGCTCTCATATGGGTACGCCAGCAGATTCTACACTTGGAATTAAATTCCCGTCAAGATTGTAAGCATATTGGGCTTTTATAAACTATATAAGTGCAAAATGCTTAAACTTATTGATTGTTTGACTAGAACAACTTGCAAGTCCACGTCGCACCAAATTTGCCTTTTTTCATTCAATGTTATTGATAAAAATCAATTTAAAAAATTTTAATGTACCGCCATACACTCATTGTTGAAGTTCTTAAGGATTGAAAGAATCAATAGAAATTCCTACTCTTTTTTAACCTTAAAAACAAGAAACAAAAATCATCAGATTTATGTGTAACATAATTTTTTTAACAAAATGGGTATAATTAATTATCATTTTTTTAACGTGAGAAAGAAAACAAAAGCAGTTTTCATTTTCAGGAAAAAGAACCTCTATTATTTAGAATAACAAGTTGTTTTTCCACTTTAACATGTCATGCAAATAAGTTCTTGGCATAAAGCTTTTGGCTCAATTTTCATTAAAAGCAATATGCGAATTTTCAAGGTTTCCTTTCCCTAACTTTTTCCTTTAACATTTATAGTTATACTCTATTCCGCGTGCCGAAATTTGAATATTAGTGAGAGCGTGGGCCGAGCGAGACCCACCGCCGTCTCTGCCACATACATACTTGAGGGAGGCAATTTAGCCTCCTCGTGCGTGAGTTACCAGTCAGTCAAAAATATTGTGGTTAGGGGAAAGAAATGAGCATTCACATGAAATATACTTTGGAAATTAACCGAATGATCGATATTATGATTTTAATGTAAAATAATTTGCTGATTATTAATTATTAAATAATTATGCCTGTGGTAAATATGTCACAAGTTGTTGTTGTTGTTTTTTTTTACCAGATTTGTGATACTTTGTTTAAACGGTACAGCAAGCGTACCAAGAGCAGCACAAATATAACCGTTCTTGCAGAATAATAACATTTTCTTACTTTTTCAATCTGTACAGGGTCAAGCCAAGTATTCACAAAACTGAATGAGTTGGAGCTTGCCACTGTCATTCATTTTTGTGACCATTTGTTTCTTGAGGGATAGAATTAACGAGCATCACGTCTCCCATGATGATGTCAGAAGCTGGCTGGCAAACTGATTTATCCATAACATCCCTATTATTACTTATTGATTTAGCACTCTCTACATTATCACTAGGGCTGACTCTTCCCTCAGTCTCCTCTGCTCCATCCTGTAACACAATTTAAGTATTCATAATCTTATTTCGTTCAAATTAAAGGAAAATAAGCTTTTAATTTGCTAAGTAGTTTTTTTCCAAATTTTATACCCAGAAAAATAATTACCTTATTGGAAATAACCGGGGCATTCTTTTCGCCCTTCCTGGTCCTGGACATGATCATTGCTACCCTCTTTCTCCTCTCTTCTCGCTCTTCTTCTTCCTTCCTGAGACGCTCTGCAATTTCTTGTCGTTGTCTAACAATAAAAAGGCACTTATAAATATATAGTATCATTATTATCAAAGTTCCGAATCGCACCTCTCGGCCTCCTCTTGTGCTTTCTTTTCCTGTTCTCTCTCGAGAGCTTGTCTTTGCTCTTCCTCCTTTCTTTGGGCCTCTGCCTCTCTTTCTGCCTGTTCTTTCAGAAACCGCTCCTCCTCGTCTTTCCGTCGCTGCTCCTCTTGTCTTCGCAGCTCTTCCTGTCTGTTGTACTCTTCTCGTCTTGCTTTTGCTTCTTCCAATCTCTTCTGCTTCTCCTCCGCCTCCTTTTCAAGCTGGCGGGCCTGTGAAACCCAGTAGCGGCGTGAAATACAATACTTGTAAATAAACACACCAAAACAAGCCCACCTTCATTTCCTTGGCCAGCTGAGCTTCTCTCTCCTGCTGTTCACGAATTTGCCGCCTACGTTCAGTGAGAGCTGCCTTTGCCTCTTCCTCACTTGCAATTTTCTTTGAAGTAAAAGAAGCTAAAAATAATATAATAATTAATTTACTTAGCAAAAGTTGTTGATCAAATCCCAATAAATATTGTCACGTATAAACATGAAAAAAGTTTCATTAATTTTTAAAATTGCAACTCACAGGTCATATCACATTCAGGTAATTCTTCCTTGCCGTTCTCGACTTCGGCAGGGGCTGCTACTGGCGTAGCTGGCTCGGGAGGTGGCTCATTCTGTTCTTCCTGTTGCTGCTGCTGGTCAGCTTCAGGGAAATTTTTGATTGATTGCACCTCTTCAACTGGTTCCATTGGTGTATCAGTCAAAACCACTGGGTCATCTGGCAAAGTCACTGGGACATCCGACGAACCCACTGGTGCATCTGACAAGACCTCTGGTGCAACTGCCGGACCCGTAGAAGTTTTAGCACTTGGGACAGTATTGGTCTTCTGCGTAGGTTTAGTCGGCTTGATTGGTGGTTTCTATTTACATAAAATTTAATTATCCAGTATAGGATGTTAAACTAAAATCCCACCTTCTGCTCTGAGGGAGTGGTAGGGACTGTTTTTGCCTCGCTCCTCGAAGGCGGTGGGTTGGATTTAGTAGATGACTTCATTGGTGTGCTCGACGAGGAACTACTTCGTGAAGAAGAAGCTAGATTCTTGGACTCTGGACCTATACCGTCTGAAAAGTTTATCCGAAACTCAATACTGTGCTTAAAATGAATAATAAACAAAAATCAAATATTCGGGTTAGTAATTTTTTCAATTGTTCATCCCCCCTCCCTCTTCCAATTTAAATATTTATAAGTCTCTGTTCATTTTAATTGATTTCAAGCTAATTATGTTCAGTGGTAGTTGCTCGAGCGTGCATACACGTACAAGCACACACTGTTTAACACCAAATAAAGGCAGGGGCTCAAAAAAAAAAATGAAAGCTATTTACAGTTTTGTAGTTTTACCTATGTTCTTCAACTCCTTTGACACAGCTATAGACAAATTGATTCCGGAAACAGCGATACTGTTAGGCCGCGGTTTGACTGAGGATCTGGGTCTGTGGATGACGCTTGGATGCTTGTCTTCTCCCACATTGCTTATGGCACTTTGGGGACGAGACACTGATGGTGTTGTACCTGAATAATCCAGCAAGGGTCAAGCAAATAGGGATGTGCTTGGTATAAAGGACATATCAAGGAACAGCACCATCTTACTGACTCATTAGCGCAAAAATTATTTTCAGGCATTATTTAAATTTTTCTTATACGCAACCAAGAAAGAATGAAAAATCATTTTCACTCAAAAGAAAATTTCCTAATCAGTAAGATGGTGTGTACAGCAGGTTCTCCTCTTTATGTCCTAACAAGCTGGTAATAATTTTAATGGAGAAAGTAAGTATGCAAGCCTATTGAAGTAATTATGTCAATATGTACAGTACACAGCAGCATACATGATTGCCCATGAGACGAAACGCGGCTTGTCAGAGTGCGACAACGAGCCATTACAAACGCTAATTATCTCAAGTTGGCCTGGACTCTACTTGCATTGTACGGAGGAAAGTTTAATTGGAAATTTTGGTATAATAAAAACAAAGTAAATAGAAAAGGCAAGAGAAAATGTGAGTTTAAGATTGAGCAATTTTTAAAAAGTTCAGCTTCAAATTTCAGTTTTGCATTCCTTAAAAGCCCAGACCACCTTGCATATTATAGTACAATAAAAAATGTGATGGTTATCGAGTTAGTTTAAAGTCACCTTCCACACGACATCCCATTACAAACATGTATTATTTTTGCATAAAGAAAAAGAAGACATGCATGTTCTCTCATCTCTTTGATCTACCTGCAGAGCGCAAGAAGAAAGATCTGCCGGTCTCACGCGCAGGTGATGTGAGTGTTGGTGTCAAATCGGTTTTCATTTTTCGTACGTTCGGGGTAAATGAAGTTAATGGTAAGTGATCAAACGTTTGTCTCTCACCCGCGTCAGTTTTATCTGCATCTATTATATCAAATTTGACTCAAAATTATGTCAACTTTACTATAATAGGGTCCAATCTGGCTAAAGAGAGAAATTTGCAAAAACTCCGCAACTCCAGCACTTCGTTAATGCAGTGGAATTGTCACGGACAACTAATTACGCTTTCAAAATTGCAAATTGCCCCTTAGGCCAAATTTGTAAATACAGGAGCTGATTTAAGAGATGTGATTCTATGGAAAGATGGAATCTAAAAGTTTGCTTCAATGTCTTGCCAGAAGAGATCAAAAGAATTCAAAAATGAAAATCTAAATATAAATTTTGATTTTGAACCACAATCGCATTGATTATGAATTCAAATTACGATTCTACAAGCCAGCAGAAAAGGCAGCAGATGAATCTTGTTCCTTGAGAGCAAGACAGTACTAAATAATTATCACAATGAGAAGAGTTGGCACTCAGAGCTAAGTGCTTGCAAAAATACGCCAAAGGCATGACGCAACCGCTCAATACCAGCGGTAAGTCAATAACTGAGCACTGTATCTTTCCACAGTATCACATCATTACACTAAGTTTAACCTAACCCAATGCGATTAAAATGAATTCGAATCTCTTCTTTATCCATTTTATATCAATTGAAACTTTTATAATGGAACAATCTTCAGAAATACGTAATGATATAAATTATTTAAATTTTCTTTTCAATAAAGGAGAGCAAGAATTTCATTTCAATCATTAAAAACAACTTGAGAGTGCTGACCATAATGAACAGATAAATAACCTATCTGTTCTGTTCAACATGAATAAGTTAATTAAAGCATTAATAAGGAAAACCACCAATTTTTTTGTAGGATAACTTGGATGGGTAAAGAATGTAGGAGTAGTAGACCATAAAATTCATACCACTATCATCAGGTTTGCGGTGAAGCACATGAGCTGAGGTAGCTCGTTGTTTCTTGCTGTTGCTGTCAAAGTTGAGCTCTCGTTCGGACATCCGACGTGTCAGTGGTGCATTGTAGCAGCCAACATTAATGGTTGATGCCGCCCTGCGAAATAAAAATAAAGACTTTTCCTCAGCATTTGATAATCAGATTGAAACGAGTTAATGGAAAATGACACATCTATAGGTTTCATTTAATTTAAAATCGGGGAATACTAATACCTAATACTCACATGCTAACTCGCTTATGGGATTTGCTGATGCTAACTTAGCATGTGAATATCCCCCATTATCTTATCTATTACACGCTATTACATAAAGCTTATCCATCATTGAGATAACCTCCGACTAAATAAATTAACCAATTACCTGCGGCCCCAAAATGAAGTGGAGGTAACTGGATCAAGCATCCTTGGCGTTGAGCTGCCGAACGCAAACACAAGAGAACTTCGCTCATTCCGTCTTTTGGCTTGAAGTCGAGCTTCTCTTTCCTGCAAGAAAAAAATTAGTATTTTTGACACGCAAGTATTTTTCTATTCATCATGCCTGTGCTTTCCTGAGTATGGCGTCTCTTTTTTCCTGCTCGGCTTCCCACAGCACCCTCTTTCGTTCTTCAACTTGGTTTCGTCTCTCGGAGTCTTTTGACCTCATATCTTCAATGCGTTGACGCCTCTCTATTTCTTTCTGCTCTCGGTATTTCTGAGCCGCAATAGCCTGAAACATAAGTAAATAAAATTTGAAATTCAATTTGCAATGATTTTGAATGATATATGTTGTGATTACTGTGCCATTATGAACTGCCGCTGATCAAAGTTAAATAAATAATACACCGCTTTTAACCTTTACCAAATGAGTCACGGAAATGACTCACCGGTAAAGTCATCAAGTATGAGGAGTTGTCTATTTAAATAACACTGGCCAAATAGAAGCAAAATTTAAAGACCGAAGCAAACAATCATTTCTCTTTAACCCAGCTCGAAATTCAAGTTTTAATTAAATTGCGAATTTAATTTTACCTGCTGCTTGAGTTCTTCCAGCTTTTTAGCCCGATCTTCATTCTGTTTCTCCCGGAGAAGACGTCCCCGTTCTTCCCGTTCCCTTGAGGTAATATTGGGAGTAATGCTCCCGGGCGGGTTTAATCCAATTTGTGAGATAGCATTGGTGATTGAACTTTGCGATGCTGTCATTCCGGCTGTGCAAAAACAGTGCAATTATGAGAGAAAGAATAATTAAAAATTGCGCAATTGAAAATGATAATAAAATAAAAATGTGAGCTTTTTACATTGCTTCTTGGACATGATTCTCGGTGTTGAACCCTCCATTGGAGCAAATTAACAGCAAAGTGGTGCTGCGAACATTAATACAGAGGTCTTAATTACCAAAGTAAACGCATACGCACGCACGCAAGCACACCCACACAGCAACATATGTACTACTCGAATAGCAGAGAGTGTCATCAATGGAATGCCGTAGAAGGTGCAAAATTCCGCACGATCACCGCGATAAGCAAAATGCGCGGCCCAAAACTGGGTCATTGCGGTCGAAAGGCGCTCAGATGCGATATTCGGCCGCCTGCCGAACCACCGCGGAAGGCGAACCGTCCCGGAAACAAGAGCAGGTGTTCTGTTTACGAAAGCTACGAGAGAGATCAGACTCGGTCGAGACGGATCTACCTGCGAACACCTGCGAATTCGGACGTCCGACGCGAGCCGACAATTGTCGGACGAGCGGCCCACGGTTGATTTTCGCACCTCCACGGACACACTCGAGCTTCCCGGACGCACACTAATGAAAAGACGACTTGCATTCGAGTTCATACATGATTGCTCTTGTAGTAAATTTACGGTGTGCACCTCCGCTGCTAACGAGCAGTGACCGCAACTCGGCCCAAAATTGCTCTACCTGGCCAATTTGTTGCTGTTGCCGGACCTCGCTCGCGTCCTCGAGTCGACACCCTCGGCGAATCTGGCGAATTTAACGGGTTTAGGGTGAAAATTAATTGCTGCAGATAAGGACTATCATCTGGTGTCCTGTCTTGTCTTTTATCATTCGAAATCACCAAGGTGGGTGGGATACATACTTGTCTTGCCGTGCGAAAAGCAGCAGCACACGTAGCTCTTTGACTAATTTTGACAAATCGGCGCAGTTTGGTTGGCAGCAGCGATGACAAAGAGCAAAAGTTGGCATAAAAGCCGCTACATTGATGGCAGCACCTTCGTTTGAAAGACGAAAAAAATGACAAAAGCGTGTTCTGGTTCTGGCTCTACAACACCCCAAACTATGGCGCTGCAGTCAGGGAGATTTTCTCATTGCTCTAGAGAGAATACGTAAATGGCATTATACATAATAATTACGGGCTATATGACTTTATAGTAGGAGCACGAATGATAAACTTTTGTTTGAGGGTTTCAAATTTACATAATGCATAAATATGTATTTTTTGTTTCACATTTTCTCTGTATGCAATTATTTTCTGCTTGTGTACTTGTAATTTAGTACTAGAACGTTTTAACAAATAAATGCAATTTTTATTTTTTAGAAACTATGTATTCTTTTTTTTCTACTGGTTCAAATTATTTTTTCAAAATGTAAACATAATTATTTGTTATTTGTGGCTACTGGTTGATTTAATAGTAATTAATATGTGCTATATAAATTGTTCCGTTCCTGATCTCTTCCCGATCTCTTCCCTTTTTAATTTTATGCAATATGATTAATAAAATTTCATTTTTACTAATTCTAACTTAGTTTTGTAGTACCACTTTGTAAACTACTTTAAATTTTGTAAAATCATCAAACTTTTATTTTTTATTAAACAAACCTAGAAAAATCTTAATTATGATTAAATGCATTTAAATTTTAAATTTTTATTGCAAAAATAAAAAAATTAAATTGATATTATACGTATATTAACTAATGCTGTAACTATTATTAATTATTAAAAGGTACAACTTATTTATAAAATACGTAAAATTCATTATATTTTTTTTAACTAAACACAGTGATTATTAAATTATTTTTTCATGTTATCCGTTATCGTTATTAAATAGTTTATTAATAGCAGTTTACGTGCAATGCTACAACCAACCTACACATAGTTAATAGCACTTTGGCAGTAGATTAATTCTTTGCCTTTTGATACAGGCACGCGCGTCGGCCTTGCTTTCGCGGAGCCTGTGCGCCGTGTGCCTTTATAATAATTTTGGCTGCACGCTCTAATGATTTAATTAGCTCATCATCATAAACTGCGGAGGCATTCAGCTTCTTGTTCGCACGTATATAGTCCTTCCAAAATCTCGAGGGGAATATTAGACGCCTGGTGCGCCTGCCTCGGGGTGTGGAGGTGGCGCGACCCCGGGGCTCAGCCAGGGGCGCGCACCACCGCCGCCTCCTTCCAGCCGGAGGCAATAATTAGTCCTGTACCCTAACTTAATCTCTAGAGCTAAAAGGAATGTTAACGTTTCTCGTCTCAATTTAACCTTTGGTCAATCAAACTGAGTCTAGGACTAAATATACCCATCATTAAAAATGAGCAAATCAAGGCAATTTTTTTAATATTTTGCCAATGTGATCAAAAACTAATCTGCAAATTTTTGAAACAATTGATCTTTTCTGCAGATAAAGTAATCCTGGAAATTTCCAAAATTAAAAACAAAATCATAAATATGGTATTTTTACTATTTTATAAATATAATAAAAAAATTTCATTTAGTAATTTTTTTTAATAATCGAATTATTTGATTTTTTATAATAATAAATTAATTAAATCCAGAGAATCTGTTACATCCGGGTTGAATGCAAAACGCTCTGTGAGATGTATGTTTATAGGGAAAAAACTGATATGAAAATACAATATATTACAGGGCGGATTAAAACCTTTTTGAGATTCGTTTCTTATACTTATTACAAAATGAAGTACCATTTGATTGGACCTAAATGTAGTTTGCCGAGCTCAAGTGTGGTCTTTCAAAGCGTGTCCGTCCGATCGGCGCGTTTCAAGTGTGCGTCCTGGTGAGCGGCGCTATCGGGGAGGCAATAAAACTAAATGGATTATCTAGATAAAGACGCGCTCGCTACATTTCCACTCTGATGCAAAATTAATAGAGTCGCAGTATCGCGGCCCCAAAAGTATTTATTGCTACACGGTTTTGGTTTTCCGAAGCCGGCGCGTCAAGTGCCCAAATGCAGCTGAGGCACAGTAAAAAACATAAAACTTTTATTTAATAGAATTACAATTGTGGGCTTTTTAAAACGAGGAACCAAATAACCAAACCATTTTTTTAGGTCTGTAAACTTTTAAAACAAAATCAATCTGGTGAAAGAGTGGATTTCCCTAAATTTGAAACGTTGAAAATAAAATAAATAGTAGATTTTAAGTACGCTTCCAACTATCAAATTAGAGAAGAGGTTTAAAAATTTGTGGTGAATAAATATTTTGGCAAAAAGAACGGAGAATATACACAAATTTTTATTACAGGAAAGGAAAAGTTTAAAATTAAAAAAAAAGTGCAGGAAAATAAATTATTTATTTATTTATTTAATAAATAAATAAATAAATTATTTGATATCAAGAGGAAAGCACTTGAGTTCGTTTGAGATGCGCAAAAACCCTTTTTCTTTATTGCCAAAACTTTCTTTGAAATGATAGGGGAACTTGAAAACTAATTGATGTGCTAAAAGTTTCGGAGCCGCGGTGGCAAAATTCAGAATGGTGGTTTCCGCAGTTATTATTACACATCTTTTGGCTGATGATGGAGGAGATGGAGCGCGGCGCAGAGCAGAGGGGTCCAGATTAAAGCATGCGCACGCGGTGCTCTCTCGCGAACTAAACGAGCCACATTTTCAGAACAGCTTACACCAGTTGGAATGTTTGGTATTTCAATTAATCCGCGAATCAAAAGAGCAAGGGTGGTACTCTTGCTTTTATGTTGCTTTCCCTCCCCGCGCCCGCCTATATACGTTTCTTTCATATCTGCCCTCTCGCTTTGCCCATGCTCGTCGCAAGGTAGGAAGAAAGCCGAGGTTATTCAGCCAATTGATTTTTTGCCTCCTTTCCAAGCTGGAAATTTGCAAATTGTAACAAGCATCCAAGCAATAATCCTTTGTCTGCCAAAAATCAAAACTGTGAACAGAAAAAAAATGAGAAATGATCAAACTGTCAAATTCTAGCGTGCAAAAAATTTAATTTTTACAATTTGCCAGAAGATTTCAAAAATAAATTTAAATAATTAGTTTTATTTTTTATTTTGCTCTCTTAATGAAAATTTTTACCAAAAATAAAAAATTTGGTCTTCTCTTTAGGAGGCAAAAAGAAAAAAAAAAGAAAATTACAATTTTTGGTCAAGTGCACATACATTTTCCATTGATAGTGCTATAATTGAAAATTAAAAATTAAATCAATTTTTATAATTAGCATGTGATGTTTAAAGAGCTATAAAACTTGTATAAATATGAAATTTCAACAAAATTGGAGATTTGCAAAGCTGCAATTCGCCTCTATTACGCAAGCCGCTTGACTCTGAGGTTAATTCATTGTTTTTAGAATTGAATTTTTTAGTGAACTGGCAAGAGTTGCATTAATAGCATTTGCCGTTATTTAAATATAACACGACGTATTATTAAAAAGTAGAAAGAAATGGTTCAAATTTTCTAATTTCAATTTTGTGAAAGCCGATTTTCAAGATTTTGTTTCCCGGGTTGCTAATTCATAGTAAAATTATCTAACAGTGAATCATCATTCCCATTGATTCCCATGAACTTATTTATATTTTGTTTGTTTTGTTTAATTAAAAAATTAAATTAAAAGATGTTAATAATAAATTTCTGTTAACATTATTATGATAAAAAAACAGTTTAGACTTTTTAAATAAAAAATTAAATTGATTTATTGAAATTAAATTTAGAGGAAAGATGAAAAAATTTAATTTATTTAAATAAGTAATAAATTTTAAAATTGAGTAACAAACAATTACATACAATAAAAAATTTAAATTTGTTTTACTAAAATAATAATTGCAAAAATCATTTTTGACGTAAAGAACCTGTGCATGCTGATTTTGAGCAGTAATTATCTCCACTTCTGCTAAATTTGAGCGCCGCAATTAAATAATGCGCGCAAATTTGATGAAATAAACCTGCGATAATTGCCTCTAGCCACATGAAACGTACGAAAATAGACGTGTATATGAAAGTGGAGGCGCACGATCGAAGATGCAATAATGACTTAATACTGTGGCGCTGGAATTTTCTTTGATCTTGTGCGTTCGTTTTGCCTGCTTTTAATGCAGCAGCAATGCCGGCAATTACGAAACAAAGGAATTTTGAGAGCAGAGCGAGCGCAAAGGGAGCATTCTTTTAATAACGCTGTGGAGGGTGCGCATTCCACGCGAAAAATATATTTGTGTATTTGTTCAGCTGCCACTTTTGTTGCCGTTTCAACGTGTGTTTTATATTAAAAAGGCAGGCCAATGAAATATGCGGCGGCGCGCGCGTTATACCCGCGACTTTATTGGATAATATTTCTTGGCGTGCGCGCGGCCCCCCTGCGCTCTTTCCGCATCTCGCATGCAAACACGCGTTTTTAGTTTCAAACAAGATTTAATTTGACTACAATCATAGGAACACTAAGCAGGGTGGAGGAGAGTGGAGAGCCCCGGCTGAAAGAGCTCATTACGAGAGCGGTTTTATGACCTTTGACAGCAGAGACAACGAGCTGCGAACGCTCACAATTAGTGGCATGAGCTGTCTCCCTAATTTGTTTTTCAATTTCAATTACACCCCCATTATGCAATAATATATCCACGCTTAACAATTCTCAATTTGCCAAGGCCAGAATAAGCCCTTTAAAATGATAGTTCAATTTTAATATTAAAAAGTTTATAAAAAATTTCAATAAAGCGTGAGCGACGCGTTTTTGGGGTCGCTCGTCAAGCTTCATTTCCATATTTGACTTCTATCCCAATCTTTTTTTTTTTTACCAAATTTCACATTCCATTTAAACTTTATTATAATTTCAATTATATAGTCAAAATTTAGCCATGCAAATCTTTACAAAGGTGGAAATTTTTTGACCACTTTATACAAAATATTTAAAAGGAAAAGTATGAATTTCAAGCAGAGTAAAAAAGAAAAACGTTGTCTGATGATCAAATTACAGCAGAGAGAAAATTTCATATTATAAACTGTTATAAACAAAACGTTTTTGCAAAATAAACTTAATTTATAACCATAGCATTAAAAGATATAAATATCTGACATAATAATACAAAAAACCAAATTTCGAATTATTAGAGAATTTATTCTTTGCTTGCTTCTTAAATTATCTCCAAATATCCTATATAGCTTTCCTAAAAATGAAAAATAATTTAAATAATTATTTAATAATTTGCTTCATTGAATCTACGAAATTTTGTGACATAAATTTCCTATTTGTAATGAGAAAAAAGTTTAAAAAAAACCCCATCAGAATTTTAACTGCAGAAAATCGCAGTGTATATGAATGGAAGGTGGACAAAACAGATTTTCTCTCTCGAGTGAAAAATAATTGAAGAAAACTTGCAAAATAGTATTAAAAGAGCACGGTGATGCAGGCAGCGCTAATTAGAGGAGTATCATTAAAATTTCCATGGCGCATATTCTACATGTGAAAGGGCGATTAGAGCACACCTTTGCGGGGATGCTAATGCTCTTTCGCCCTTTTAGCCGATGCTGTGTGTTGCGCTGCGCATTTAATCAGCACCAGGCAGTTGATACAAAGCGCGGCGATTTGTATATTTTAATTAACGGAATCAAAGATTAGCGTGTGCTGCCTTTTGTGCCGGCAGCGGATTTAATTATGCGAGAGCATCAACTAAACTTTCGACCGGCGTAGCAAATTGGCTTAGAACCCGCCAAGCCACTCCCTCGCTCGCTCTCTCGCGCGTCCCCATGAATATATTTTAACAATGGTCCAAGAGTGCAGCGCTTTTATTAAGCAATATCGCAGGAGATGAAGAGCATCGGACTCTTTTTCGCTTCATCCATGCAGAACAAAATGTTGACATTTATCACTGGCGTAATCACAGAGAGGGGCTTCGCTGTGTCTCTTTTGCTAACAGTGCCGCTTATGGCTTTTTATCTCTGCGTGTGTGTTCCGCATAACACAAAGAGCGGCCTCCCCTATAGCGCCAAAGTGGATCTCCACCCTCTCCATAACAAATAATGTGTCACGCCGCATCACAATTTTTATTGGAAATTAAAAATTATTGCTCAAGCAACAACACCCTGCTATTCATTTGTCTCCCTCTCTCCTTTCTTTTTCGCCCCGCGTTGAGCGGCTGGTATTTAATATGAAACCTGTCACGACGCAACATATGCGCACCCCTTAAATTAGCCACTGGCTGACAAACGGCTTTTAATACAAGGGCCACTGTATGCAAAAATCCAGCTCTTCGGACAATCGACCGCGAGACAAAAGAGTATCGGAAAAAACTTTGGTTTTGTTAAATTGAGTTTGAATTTATTAATTCTTCCAATACAAAGTTAAAGTTCTGAAGTGAAATTATTTTAATTTATGTTATGAATATTTGAATTATTTTATTTCTCTTTCTTCTTCTGTACTGTTTTCTAAAAGTCATGCGGCCTATTATTTTCCTAATCGCGCGTTCCTGAATTTTTTGTACATATATTTTTTTAAATTTTATTGTGGTGGCGGAATGAGTCAAAATTAAAAAGCAATTTACTTTGCATGTAGAGAACTATATTTTGATGCATATAGATGGTGGCCAATATAAAGAAAATTACACAAATGATGTACACAACAGCACAAATTCACATTGATATCCTACCAAAGGCATTAAATATGAAAAGAACGCGCGATCCATCACCCTATATCAATCAGACGAATATCAAAACTCCAGGAGAAAAATTCTAATTTGAGGTAAATTATATCATGGTGCTTTTATTTCTTCTTTAATTATGGACATCCCGAAAATTTTCACATTTGATAAGAATTCAAATTTACCCTATTTGCACAATTTAGTTGAGCTCAAATGAACTCCTAAGCCTTTTGTGTGTAATTAGACCCTTTAGAATTCCGCATCTCGAAACCCAAAGCTTGTGGGTCGTTTTGCGGTTGCTCTCGGAAAATCACCCAACGAATTTCCCCATGGCAATGTGTATTATCAGGCGAGCCGTAGTGTTTTTAGATTTAAATGAATTTTCCGTCCTAGAGTTTTGTATTAATTTCCCTGCTGAGCGGAAAATACTAACTTAACAGATCAGCACTTAAAGGACGAGGAGGTGGTCTTTTTCCTTTGTTCACTTTCTCGATTTCTTTCGTTCCTTCGCGGCGCCGCGCGTATTTCGAATTTCACGAACGATATTAACACTCACTTGTGCATGATTAATTCTCCTAGAGAGTTCCATAGGCCTTTTTCGCCTCTAGTTCATGGGGTGCTGCATCATGTAGTCGAAGAAATTGCTCGCGCCCTCCGGCTGGCCCTCTTCAGACGCCGAACTCTCCAAACTGAAACTTTCCTCCTCCTCGACCTTTGCGTTGGTTTGCACTCGTTGTTGCTTTATGGCCGCCAGCCGCTGCTGCTGGATCTCCAGGTGCTGCTTCCGCCACTTGATCCGACGGTTTTGAAACCAAACTTTTACCTGAAGCGAGACCAAAGCAAACGTCCGAAATTTTAAAATGCATGAATTCCTCAAAGTTCTCTCCAATTAAGGATTTAAATTAATCAATAAATCTGGTTAAATATTCTGTTTTTCCAAAACAGGTTTAAAAAAAAATTCTTTAGTTATATAAATTTTGTAAGTGATTCATGGATAATATTTATGAAAGCAAAACGAACAAATAAATAATTTTAAAAGTGTTAATTACTGGCTTTTAAATTGAAAAGAAAAGAAAAATAGATTACCTGTGCTTCGGTGAGATGAAGGGTGGAGGCGAGATAAAGTCTTTCAGGGCCGACCATATATTGCTGTCGCTCAAACTCTGCTTCTAATCTCTCTAGCTGCTCTGGGGTGAAAATCGTCCGCACCCTTTTGCTTCTTGTACCGCCACCAGGTAGTTTGGACGAATTGTACTCATCCTCGTTTTTCCGCTTTGTCCCCTTTCCTGCAACAAACAATATAAAAGCGATGCTCAAATTAATGCTTGAATTTGAAATATCTGAACCCTTATCAAATAAATAATAAGCGTTTCCAAATGGCACAAAACTGTACCCTCAAAATTTAAAATTATTAATTAATTTTCGAATGAACCCACTTCCTGCACTGCACACAAATGTTCAGCGGCACAGCCTATCTTTTCCTGGTAGGGATAAAATGCCCCTTTTTGCTTAAGTTAAAATGCATCTCCACGTTTTATAACTTTTGATTTTTTAATTTAATTACTTAGACATGTGTACATTTCTGTCGAATATACAAATTGGAAATAATAAAAAAGGTGCAAAAAGGTGATCATTTTTAACTTTTTTCCGCTTTTTTCTCTCTCACATATTGCAGCGAGGCAATCAATCGGGTGATGCGATGATGCCGCGTAATGAAACGTGAAATATTAAATAAAAACCTCTTCATTGGTTAATGGTGTGAGAGAATTCGTAAGAAAACCAAACGAAGTGTTTTTTTTTAGATACATGGGTAACATCAAAGGTGAAATCGATTATGAGTAAACTCAAAGGGAAACCAAAATTGAGGGAGAGAGGATTAAATCAAAGTCGCCAAATTGTTCTTCTTGTTAATTATGCACACGTCAGCAATTAATTGCAAGGATGATTACTAGTGGCAGGAGCTCATTTACAGCTAACATTCAATCCCTTTTAAATTGAAATTATTTTAAATACACGAGTGATTTTGGATAAAAAAAAAACGAATTTGAATATAATAAGTAATAAGTGCAAATAATTTAGCTTTCATGTTTTTTCTAATTTCAGCTCAATTCATGTAAAACTAAACATTCCAAATTGTACATAAATCTGGTTCTTCTGGTTGAGTGATAAAAGTCGCGTTGCTTCACGACAGTCACGCAGTATAAACGGTTGTGCAAGCGTTAAGGTATACGAGCCTCTATATATTAGCCCCATAATTGACCTTCGTGGCCTTCCGTGCCTAGCACGAAGTGAGAAATTATATGTGCAAAACAATTTAAAAGTCTATTATATTTTCATTTATTTGATAACTTAACAAGGTTTTTAGTTTGTTTTAATATAAAATTTGATTTTTGGCTAATTAATTTAATTTTAATTTAATTTTGTAACCAAGAATCGATTTCGCATGACGAGCGCAGTCTGTAAATGAGCCGCAAAGGAACAAATAATAACAAAAAGGTCAAAAAGGGCCAAATATAAATGATTAATTCAATTTGACAATTTTAGAACAACCAAATACTCCAGTTGAAAATGCTGTTTTAAAAGGTTCAAATAAATATTTTTGACAAAAATATTAAAAACCTATAGAATTAAAAGAAATTGAGCCCTTCTTTTAATGCAGATAAATGGAGATCACTCGGAGAGGCAACTTACTTACTTAGAGCCAGATATGAGAGTTTAAATAAACTTTCAATCTGTAAATAAACTTCATTCAGATTAAAATACAATTTTAGTTTTTTTTATATCGTAAGGTTAACTAAAATTTAAGCATTTAACAAAGAGGAAATGAAAATGAGATTTGTCTGTTACAATATGATTTTAAATATATATTCACTCATAAGTGAAAACGAGTAATTATTTTAATTTAAAAATTCGCTTTTACCTTGACTTGCACCTTGCGAGGCCAAATTGTTTCTGCAGGCGGCGGCGATGGAGGCGACGATTTCCGCCTTGGTGGCGGCCGTGTCGATGGACTTGTTCTTCCAGCACTGCTGACTGGAGGCCTGCTGCTGGTGCAGTCCGAGGATGGCGTCGATTGTGAACGACTTGCTGATCTTGCGGCCTCCAAAGAAGTGATGGTGGCCCTGGTGAGACGACGTGCCGTACAGGAAACTGGAGGCGGCCGTGATGGGCTCCATGTCGGCGGCCGCCTGCTGTGTGGTCAGGTCCTTGGCGGCGGCGGCGGCCACTTGCTGCTGCTGGAAATGTCTCAGTTCCATATGGACGGACCCGTAATGGAAAGATCATAAAACGCGGCGGTGCCGACTATACAGCATCCTCGCATATGCAACCAATTTAGATGTGTACGGAAAATTTTTCGTAAAATAATCTCTTTATCAAGTGGGACGGTCTATCACGATTGGTAGGCTTTTATTGATCCCGAGGGCGGAGACTCGACTCGGAAAACCCGCCCCGATGCCGGGTCACGGACGCCCCTTGCTCATAGGCGACCTGCAAAGCAACCTCTGCCGTCCGCGCAGAATCTCGCCTCTGCTCTTCATCACGAGAGCCGCCGCCGCCCATGATGAGCTAATTAACGATCGTGCACCTGACCGAATCCTAATCGCGTTTAATTAGCTCTTTTTCTGCGCACCTCAACTCCATTGCAGGTGCGTTTTTTTTTTTAATCGCGTTCTCATTATTAAACAAATTTCAGTGCTTATTGTATTTATCAGGAAAAGTTAATGTTTAAAAAATGTCTATTGGAAAATAAAAAAAATAGAAATAATGGAGATTTGAATTATTTAGACTTCTTGAATGGAGATTTGTAATTTGAAATTGAAGAATTAAGTAATTTCGGTATGAGAAAAAGCTAAAAGAACGGTTTGAATGAACTATAAAAGTATGAATATTTAAAAAAAACAACTAAAAAAATTTAATTTTAAGCATTTTACCTTTTATTTCTGAATATATTATAAAAAGTAATATAATTTTGCAGATAAAACGAAAAATGCAGCCTGCTTGGCAGCTGTGTCGAGCGCGTTGCATACCTCTTATTTAAATTTAAAGTCTATAAATTTGGCATTTTTTCTTTCATGATGAGCTCGCCTCAGAATCATATCCTCAAGACTAGGTGCGATCAAAAAGAGGTACACGAAGTTTGAACCCCTTCTTAGAAACATGAAGACGTGGCTCTCGCTCTTTTGAGGGGCTGGAATACAAGTTGACCGCGGAACGCCTCAGGGTGGAGTTACTTTACCGATATTATGTTCTTCACCAAGCGCCGGCCAAAAGTGATATGAGTTTTCCCGTTGATGCGTAGGTCTTGGCCAGAATGTAACGTGGATGGCACCATAACTCTCCCGCTTTATCTAATATAGGAGGGATGAGAGTAAAATTTAATGTTCCTTGCACAAGGCAAGTTTGATGATGGAATTTCGTCAAGATATTTTGGGTTGAATGCCGCAAAGTCCACTATACATTTTTATTCACAACTATCTTTGACTATAAGACCGTTTTTCATATTTTTACATCAAAAACTTTTTAAGTAAATAGCAGCATTTTGGTATTGCACCCAATGAAAATTGTTTCAAGATATTAAATTGATGGTTTTAAAATTTTCAGAGGTTGCATTATTTTATTTTAATATTACCGTCGCTGGTCTGTTTAAATACTGTTAAAATAAAGTTTTTTTAAAAACTTATTTTTATCATAGAATTTTATAATTATTGATTTTGAAAAATGATTTCTCCGGGGAATTTTTTGCTCGAAGAATAAATGAAAAGTACAATTAGAGTGTAAAATATTAGCTCATATTTCTACATTTTTCTCCAATACGTTTGCATCAAAACACTTGAAATTATTTCAGTTTTCAAAATAAAAAGGTATTCCACAAAGACACTTCCTTTCACACAAAAGCACATTATTCATCTAAGTTATCTTAACAAATGCTTCTGGAGGGATTTTGCCATCTTGGTTGAGCTTAGTGAATGCTGCCAACGACCGCTGCAAATCCCAAACCGTCTCTTCAAGGCACCTGGAAAATAGATTTAAAATAAAATTTAAAGAGCGAAAGTTGCACAAATTTATTTTTAATCATATCGGTAAATAAAAATTGTTGAAGGAATTAATGAAATGGAGTCAAGCCGTATATTTATTATTATATTGAAGACTGCTTACTTTCTAGACCACTCTGCGTTCATCCCCGTCTGCACAGACAAGCTCTGAATGAGTTCCAACTGGTTTGGGGCTGCGGCTACCGACACAGGACTTGGTCCAGCTACTGGGGGTGCAACAGGAGTCTGGAAGCTCTTTTTAGCTTGATCAGATGTTGCGTTTGTCACAAAAAGCACATCGTTGACAAGAGCAAACCCACTACCAACAGGAATGAGCACAAATTTGCGGAAAAAGTGGCGGTGAGGTGTGCCTTTTGTTTCGGGCTCTTTGAACACCCCTGTCAGCGTGAAGATGATCATGTGCGGCTGAAAGAATAAATTTTATTTAATATTTTCGCAAAAAACGAAGTCATGAATCGACTTACCGAGTATATAGAGAGGTCCAAGGTGAATGAAGAGGGGTCGTGAAGTGTGCATGGCAGCTCGGTCAAAAAGCTGGCAATGACCATTTTTCCTTTCTTGATCAGCAATTCTCTTCTCTCAGGATCGTTGTTTCTCTTGAGGTTGCGAGCAACCGACAAATAGTCGTTTAGCCTAAAAAAGAAACACATTAATAAGTCAAACTGCAAGATATATAATGAAGTAACTGTAGTTAAATCTTGTCAATTAAATTTTTAATTTTTTAGTAGCATTTCTCACCAACCCAGAAAATTTAATTATTATTAATTGATTATACCTGTTAATATTATGCTGTCCCGGAGGGCTATTGTACGCAGCACTGAGTGAGAAAACCGCAGAGTCGTGATATGCGTCAGCAAGGGACTGTCTCATGTTCCTGTCAGTGCTGTCGTACAGCGAAAAGTACTGCTGGACAAATTGTGTGACAAGATCTCTTCCTTCTTCGGAGCACAGAAAACTGCTATGCCAATCCGGGAGCTTCACTTTTCGTTCCTCTAGCTCGAAGCTAATTGCTGGGGTCAGTTCAGCACCATCCTGAATCAAATCGCGGTTTTGAAACATGACACACTATAAAAAGCTGCTGTCTGTCACACACCAGTTTGGTAACTTTCGGGAACATCTTCTGCACGGCACTTTCGTACTCAGCCTTTGATTTGAATCTCTTGCACAGCGGGTTGCCTTCCAGCTTCAGTTCAATAAGTGGTAGTCCCTTGATGACATTCAACGCATTAAGATGGTGAAACTAAAAAATTGCAATTTAAAAAAAGTATATTAACGAATTAATTAAATCGTACTTTGTTATTCCCAAGGTAGAGAATTTGGAGGTTTGGCGCTTTTCTCGCTAAACTACTGAGAGTCTCGGTCACACTTAACGAGTTGTGGTCAAAATTCAAGGCCTGCAGCGTAGGTATGTGCTCTGCTATAACATCCAGGATCACTGTCATCACTGGAGGACGGGACACAGCACAGCAAGAATCCTCCACTAGTTCTGAAATTTCCATGTAATTTGTCAGATAATTTGGATTAAAATTAACCAAACACTGAACCTGGGTCTATGTGAAACCTCGAAAGGTCGAGGGCTTTTGTGCTGGTGTTGTACCTCGACACCATGACCATTTTGATTTTCTCCTTCAACCGGTCTGTAAGTGCTGCTCTTGGCATTATCGACGTCACTTTGATGTTAATCTGTATATATTCACAGTAAATTAGATTAAAAATCTAGGTTTTATGAAAAATTACCCTTTTGTCTCCATTCAGAGTTATCTGCTTGTCTGCTTTCAAAATCGCCTCGGCAGACTTAATGCTATCTATGTAGAAAAACGAGTCGTGATCCTCGATTTGGTACTAGAAAATTGAAATCGTCAATGAAAGGTTAATAACTGATATTAAAAATTAGCTCACGTAAATGGGTATGAGTTCCACTGGGGCGACAAATGATTTCAAACTTCCCAAGAGAATCTGTTTGTCGTAATCTGCTCCATTTGGGATCTGAATATTGTGATGAACATAAGTTAATACATGAAAAAAAAACTCAGTTAAACACATACAAGAGCTTTAAACCAGCCTGTTTGATCTGAAAGATAGCCGTGGCCAGGTGGTTGGTAATTTCGATTGCCTCCCTTTCCGTGTCTGAAGCCTCTCATCTGATTGCTGCAAATTCATTGATTTCAATATTTGTAAATTCAAATTTATCAAGTCAACTACCTTCTGTTGCTGGGGCCCTCGCCAGACATTGGAAAGTCCTCCTCCAGAAGAAAGTGTGGCTTGTTCTTGATAAAGTCTTTCCTGCCATGCTTTCCGATGCGATTGCCCTTTTTGAAGGAAACTCTTCTGTTGCTGAAATCGCCATTCCCTTGGCTCTGGCGATTGTCGTGTTCTGAAAATTTAAATTTCGAGAAAAAAGTTCCAATTTAAGAGACTGCGACGATCCAACCATTATAGTCCGACTTGAACTGCTGTCCTTTAAAATCTGGCTGGCGATTCCAGTTTCTGCCCTTATTGAAATTATTGTGCCTCGGCATGTTTCCAACTTTTAACGCAGGCTAATGTGCGTTCCACGTTTTTAAACGTTCTTCCTGTCCAGCAACTGAAGAATCTCGGTTTTTTAGATGAAATTCAGCCGACCTCTTCCAACTCGGATCGAAAAGGAGAAAAAATAAACGCTGCAGTATTGTGAGAAGGTAAACAAGTTGCAGCAGCGAAGCCAACACACTTTCGCAGTAGCAAGCAGCGCAGCACGACTTTTTTCTTTTTCGTTGCAATCAAAGAGGTTCGGTAACGAGTTGGTGCAAAACTTTGTCGTTGGCTGCACTGCGGAAAATGCAATTCTTGCGACCAATCGATGTCGGAATTGGCACGGGATTTTTGGTTCTCTACGGTAGTTGGCGCTAGTTGCTAATAAAATGACGTCATTTGTGTTTTGTTGACGAAAGAACGAGAAGGAACATCGCAGAGGAGTCTAATTTCTGCAACAATCTTCAGATTATTCAGTTTTTGAAGGGTAAATTTGATTTGTAAAATTAAATAATCTATGATGGAGCATTGTTAGGAGTTCAAGCTTATTGTTGCTCACGTTCTCGATTGTTGAAAACTTGAATTTCAACAATTTGGAGAGCTGGGAAATTTTCTTACAAATAAATTGTTACAAGGAAAATTTAACTATTTAATTTTTGCTTGAAAGCTATTAAAAATTGGATCAAACATGAACAATATGATACAAAAAATAATTTTATTCCTCTTTTAGGTGTGAGATTTGGAAACCAAGATGGGTTGCGACGGAGGTACCATTCCAAAGCGTGACGAGCTGGTCCGTACAAAGAAGAAACCAGAGCAAAAGGACCGGGAGAGCGAGTTGTCTTTCCGCTGGAGGCACTGCACCATCACCCAGCAGCCTTTGCAGAACCCGATCGTGGCGTGCGGCCACGGCCGTCTGTACAGCAAAGAAGCTGTGCTGGAAGGTCTGCTCGACCGCAGCAGAATGCCAGAGGGGGCTCAGCACATCACTTCACTCAAGGACGTCAAGCAGCTTAACATGACCCCCAATCCTGCGTTTGCCATCAAGGCCAACGGAGAGAAGGGCGAGAGCGGAATCTATCACGATCCGAGAGAAGCGCCTTTTGTTTGTCCGGTTATTGGAATCGAGTTCAGCGGAAAGTTCAAGTTTGTCTTTTCCTGGAGCTGCGGCTGCGTGATTTCCGAGAGGGCCGTTAAAGAGGTGCCCTCTGAAATTTGCCACAAGTGCCAAAAGCCCTTCGTGAAGGAAGACCTTGTGTACTTAAATGCTGAAGGGGAAACTCTGCAATTGATGATCACAAGAATGCTGGAGAGAAAAGCAAAACTCAAGGCCAGCAAGAGCAAGAAGAACAAAGTTGAAACTGCAACTTCGAGTTCATCGACTACCGCTGTGGAACCACAGACGTCCAGCTCGGAATCGGCTTCCACCTCTAATAATACAGATGACCTAAAAAGCGTTCCATCCACCAGCAAACCTTTGAAAAGGGCACGATCACCTGAAAGGGCAAAGGCCAAGGACCTGGAGAAACTGACCGACCCCGGCTACAAGAAAGCGAAATCTCAATATAGTGTTGCAAAAGACGATAAGGCTTCGTCGGTGTTCAAATCACTCTTCACCAGTCACGACACGGCCAAGAACCAGACTAGGGCCCACTGGGTGACCTACAACCCGTTCTACAATTAAAGTGAAATTATTTTTATTATTTCTTTCCAGGGAAAATTGGACAATTATAAATTACAATTGGTTCAACTGTGATGAGCTGTTTTTATTTAATCATCATAAAATAAATTTTTAAATCTACTGTGACTTGTTTCTGTTCATTTCTGTTGTAAACAAATTTTATAAGTTCTTGAAATTCAACAATTTAATAACAGTAGAGGTCTATAGACGATTTATATAATTCATCCAAACTAATATAAAGACTACTGCGATTATCGGCGTGATTTGCAAGGCTTTAAGACTGATGCTTATGGCATTTTTTCGAAAATCATAAATTTCTAGATTAAAGTAAATGGCACTCAACCAGAGTAAAATTCATGATTAAAAAAATTTATAAAAGGAATATCCAAATAAAAGAAAATCTCGAAAGCATAGAATTGATATGAAAAATCCTAGTTTCAAAATAAGGTAATTTTACTGTTTTAAAATCAACTTTTAAGAACATGATTTTTGACAAAAGACTTTGGAAAAATTTTAAAATAAATTTAAACATCTGCAAAAAAAATTGTTTCAATATGAACCAATGCTAATATGTATGTATGATGGGGTCAAATTAGAATCGGAGGGATTTGAGTTGTCTTCACACAATCAAATCAGTGCCCCAAAAAGAGTCATAGAAATTGAAGTTTTCCGGCAGCAAAAGCGTTTTTCATCTACGAGCATAGTCTTGGTTGTAAACCCTAATAGAGCTGTCCACTGAGCCAGCAGCGAGCAGGATTCGAAGAGGGTGAAACGTAAGGCAGGAGGCGGGTCCTAGTCGTTGTCCTCGGAAACCCTCTTGATAACGTATGGAGCCAATATCCGACACACTCCCAAGGTTGGTGCTCCCAGGAATTGGGTAGACTCCAATGTACTGATTCACAGAACCACTAAAAATTTTAAATTCAATATATTTATTTACTTCATAATGTATTTTTCATACCAGCAAAAAATATCAGCGTTTTGGTGCACGGCCATTGCTGTCATACCATGGGTGGTCTGGATACTTGCAATGGCACTGTGACGGCGAAGGTCAAAAAGTTTAACGTCTCCGGCAACACTGTGATTTGGTTTTAAAATTAATAGCAATTCATTTTGAGTAAAAAATTATTACCATCCTGATACAAGGCCTCCTACAGAAGTGGGTTTCCTTAAAGATAGTCCCACTATCCAAGTGGTATGTTCGCGCCAGGTCATAATCCTCGCTTCTTGAGGTGACAATCGCCAATCAAATAACCGAACGGAGCCATCATCACAGCCCGCAGCAAGGAGAGATGCCCCTAGTAAAGAATTTAAATATAATTATTCTATTAATTTTAATCCATTTTAAATAAATATGGAAGAATCAAAATATAAAATACCTGTGTAGTCCGGAGTCAGATATGTGACCATTGAGCTGTTGGTTCCTGTGGGCAGATCGTGGATTCTCTTTTCGGTTGCAACGTCCCATAATCTGATAACTCTGGGAGCCTGGTCACCAGCAACCGCCAATCGCTGGTGTTTTTGCATCCACGCAACAACAAGGCCTAAATTTATTTTTAAAAATTTCCTCAAACAGCTCAGCAATTAAAATTTTACCAGCGTGATGTTTTTGGTGGTGCTGGGTCACAGGTGGAGTGTTAATGGGGTCAGTCAGACCCTGCCAGGCAGTGACGAGTGCTGCTTCTCTGTTGTTGCCAAAAACGTTCTTCCAAATTTTAATGTTGCCATCATCAGCTCCCACAAGGAGCAACGGAAAAGCTTCTGCTTCGTTCAGCAAAGCAATGCAAGAAATTTTTGATCCTCTCGCATTGCGATTTGAACAATAACAAATTTTAGAACCGGCCTGCCAGTCCCACACGCTTAAAATGGAAATTTGAATTCAAGGCAAACAATTTTATTAATACTGTTTACCCGAAGGTGTCTTTTCCAGCAACAGTTACCAATGGCTCATAAGAGTGTAAGGCAATGCAAGATACACCACCCGAACTTCTTCCTTGGAAAAGAAGCGATTCAATTCGTGATGAAAAAACTTTTGAACGCTCCTCATCTGCCTCTTGCTCAACTTCCGCATTTCTGAGCATACTGAAGCAATTGAAATTTGGGAAATATAGCAACAAAAATATATAAAAGTAGGATTTTGTACCGGAATTCCATATTGCATTCTAATTCCATCATCTCAGGGCTGCCCTTCAGGCCAATGCTTGGCTGGGCAAAATATCGACTGCTCCAGTCCAAAAACTGTGTGTGGACAAGTTCTTTCAGTCCAGTGCGAACTTCGTTTGTGCCTTCCTCGCTGATCTGTATTTGGAACATCGCATTTAATACAATTAATTTTGTTTAATATTTCAATGATTGTGTGGTGCAACTTAATAAATTAATTTTATTCTTCTCACCGTGCCTGTATTTGGTTTTCTTCTCAGTGCATGGCTTCTGTTTAAACGGGCTATGTAAGAATCACTAGAGGTCGGTGGCGATTCACTCCTAAATATTATTATAAATTTTTCAATTTTTTTTTTTAATGAATATTTGAATAAACTTACACCATGAAGGTCACTTTTCCAGAGGGTGAAGCTGCAGGAGAAGAAGAAAATGTTCCAACAAGAGTCTCTTTTATTGCCATATTTTCTCGCACCTATTGAAAAAACAATTTAAGATTAAAAAATAATAATAATATCAGTAAATACTTGTTCTCTTATGTGATCCATAACTTTCCTTGCCATAATTGCAACCTCAGGGTGAGGATCGTGTTCCAAAATTCCTAGAGCGTGCCACTGCTTGAAGTAAACACTTGTTGTGGTTGACGCATTATTTGCATGAGACATGCTGCTGCCTGCAAATCAGAATAATGAGCCACAAGAAAAAAAAGCATTAGCGTGGCAAAGGGCGGACATTATTTTTTTTATTACCAAGGCTACTTATGGATGAGGAAGATGACACTCGTTTTAATTTGTCAGGGGTGCTGTCAATTGAAAGGCCACCAACTGTGGTTGGTTCCAGACCAAACAGGTTGCTGGGTGAGAAATGTTTTAGACGGTCACGGGATGCAATACGACGCATTCCACTTAGGGGAGATAGCACGCTACTTTCAGCTAAAAAGTTGAATGCAATTTTTATGTTTTAGTCTCACTGGCGGGTGTCGCATTCAAAAATAAAACACCTCAGTAGCAGTTGTATTAAAGAATTTTTGAGAAAAAATCCAATGTAGAAAAGGAAACAAGCAAATTTGGCACTAACATAAATAGTTGTGAATCTTTAAATTTGATTGTGCAGTTGATCAAATGCTAACGCAGAACGATAATTTAGTTAAATAAATGAATGAGTCTGTTGACTGTGACACTTAATGGGGAGATTAGCTTGCAATTTGATTTGATACTCAACCAGTTTTTTAGGTGCTCTAAAAAAAGTTGCAATAAAAAATCACACAAGAAAATATTTTCACTATGCAAAAATCTAGCTCACGCCAAGCATTATTAATAAAAAACGCTTACTTTGAGCTGGCTGAGGACTGAGGGCGTCGTCACGAAGAGATTTATTGTCTTCCAGCTGAGATTGCTGAGCGATTGAGCAGAAAGACGCTTCAAAAATTAAAACAATCCATTGCAACGAATTCACGATTTCCTGAGAAAAAAAAATACGATCTATTTTAGAATTGATTGTAAAAAAGCCAAAATTTTTAAAAAGAAATCATCTCTTAGTTAAATAAGACAACTTAATTTAAGTAAAAATAGAATTATTATGGAGTGCCCAACCTTTCGAACTAATGGACTCATGTCCTGGCCGACAGTTGTAATGAGTGTCATTGCAACATTGTGATCAATTTTATTGGCATGTTCACTCCTTTCAGTTGCACTTGCTATGAATGTGCCCAAGGCATAAACAGCTGCAGCTCGAACTTCTGGCACAGGGTCTTTGAGCAATGTGTAAAGCTTTTCATGTGCCGAGTCACGGACGCCGCACCATCGAGCTGCCTCATACTTTTCCCAGAGACGGCCCAAGGCCAAAGCAAGCCACTGGCGCAGACGAGCGTGGCTGTCGCCCAACTGCTCCAAGCAAATTGAGACTAATGAGCCTTGAAGAGCCAGTTCCTGTCCAGGAGGGTAATCTTGAACCATGCACGACAAAATAAATGCAGCGGTTGTACGATCCTCGCTCTAATTTAGAGAAATAATTGACAATTTTAATATTATGTTTGTTAATTAATATTATTCACTTACACTCATCGTGTAATCTTGCAAAACCGATAGAAAATATTTATGCCCGTTGTCCCGAACAAGGTCAGATTGGCAGGTCTATAAAATCAGATATTTAATAAAGACCACTTTTAGGGCTATTAAAACTTCAATATTACTCTGTCCACGGCTAAAATTTTGGCCCAGATAAACACTAACAATGGCCTCAATTCCTTTGCTGAACTTTGGAGTAACTTTAAGACGTATGGAAATATTCCAACTGATAATGCCAAATTTACAGCCCATGGTCCGAGATCGAGGAATTTGCCTAGCAGATCTAGCGCTCGGACTCTGTGAACTTGGCTTAGCAACACCTACGACACAAAAATTAGCAGTTTACTATTATGCTTTAATCTCAATAAAAATGAATTAACGCACTTGAAGAACAACAGGAAGCTGCTCTGGAGGACTCCTCTCTTCAGATCCTAAGGCTAGCCAAACCTCAAAGGCAGTCAGCTGCTCTTCAAAGAAATTTGAATGCTCGAATGGCGTGTCATTGTTTAAAATGTCAGGCAGTTGACTCAAGCATAAATCCAAAGCCAAATCCCACGCTTGCCACATTGGGTGCTAAACAGGGCCGTTTGCGTATCTCCTCTTTACTCTTTATGAATATTGCAAAAATTACTTGATAGGTTGGTGGTAGACTAGGCGATGAAACAGGAACACAGTCATATGACCTCATAATTCTCTCAGCTAGTAGGAAATTACGGAATAGACTAGCCACCAGCAAGTCTTGGCGGAAAAGTTTTTGGAAAAGTTCTGCAAATACAATTTAACTTAAATTAATCAACAAGAAAGCTCCTATGTAAATTCCAACCTCTTGATAAGATATTCCACGCAATGGTGTCAGTAATGGCCGTGAAAATCCAGTTGAGCTCTCCCAACATGGTTCGTCTATCGCTCAACTGTCCTGGTACCCTGAGAAAATGTATGCAAATTATTTTTCAAGGCCCTGAGTGGTTGACTTACTTTTCTATGAGATCAAGTGTGACGTTTGGCATTAGTATTTGCTTATTCTGCATGACATACCTAAAAAATAAACATTTGAAGAGAGGGGAGAAAATTTTATTATTAACCAACCATCGTAATGCAATTTTAATTGGTGTAGTGAGACAGGCAGTGAATAAGTCAGCAGGTAACTCAGCGTTCATAGGCAAAATTTGATTTTCAGCGCAAGCAGCTAATTGAATGCAGTTTCGGTAGCTAACAGCCTGTGCGCCATTCCCTCTGTTATGGCACATCTGGAAAAAGGTTAAAATTATAATTCATTTTTAAATGGTTAATTGCACAAATCATGAAGAAGAAGAAACAAAGATATTTTTTTTAGAATCTCCATTTTAACAAATATCATTACTAATTAGATGATTGAAAGGCCTTGATTTTTTTAAAAGAATTAAGAATGTCAGGGAAGTGTTTTCTTTCTTGGATTAAAAGCTTTATATTACCTCAAATTCTTTTTCGTGCTGATCAGCAAAGTTATTAAAGGTTTTTACAATCATCCCAGCGTTAGAACAGTCATACACATATATCGACGGAGAACCCATCCACGTCTGCAAGTCGTACACAGACAGGGGGATGTATTGAGTGTAGGTTCTGTTGAAGACCCAGATTTCACCGTTGGCAGTAGGCCGAGGCACTCCGTGGCCATTGTAGTGCAAAAGGACCCGCTCCTCCTTGGCATTGCGTCTCAAGGATGTGCAGAGTTTTTTTACTTCGTCCATAGTTGGGTCAAGACTCTGCTTGTAACGGGCTCTTGGCTGCCAACGTTCGTACTGGCTTTGCAAACTAGCACCTATACTTTCAAGAGCTTTTTGTGGGCTCATTGACAAAGGGTCTGGACAAATTGAATAATAAATATACGTAACATCATTTTAATAAAACTTTTACCTATCCAACATTCCAGCCTGGCACAAGGCTGAGTCTTCACTATGTCTGGCGGGTCGACGCCGACGTTTAGGCACAGAACAAGAGCAACGCTCACTGTTTTCATCTAAAATGATTTTTGATTATTACATATTAAAAGGTTAATAATAATTACGTACTCTTTCTTTCATCCGCCATGTGTGGTTAATTGTGTTGATTCCACCAATGCTTTCTAAGTGACGGTTTTCACAAAATGCACCACAGCAAGCCTGGGGGGCTTCTTCTGTTGACTTTGACTCCTCGTCCATCATTTTATTTTAATTGCTGTAAGTCCAAAGGGCAAACTGAAAGAACAAAAGGGCACAGCTGCTGAAACTTTTCTTGGGCACAAAAAAAATTAATGTTAGAACTATTTCAAAGCACAAATAAAATTTAAATACAATACATAATTGGCAAAAAACACAATATTTTCACTTATGCATAGTTATAATTTTGTACCTACTTATCACTACTTTTTAATTAAATTAAAAAAAAAATACTTCTTGCTAGTTAAATTACGTAATTTATGTTAAATTAATAAATTGAGATGAATTGAAATTTTTGAAATTCTTATAAATCAATTAATGACAGAAGGAAAAATTTAATTTATTATTATTTAAGTCGTAAAGATTAAGCAAAAACAATATTTTTACTAACAAATCAAATCCTTAGAATTTCCAATACATAGATAGTTTCCTCTCAAAAACATTTGACGGTTTTTATTGAGAGTCAAGGATTTTAATTTATCTTACACTAATCAGTGAGAATCAGGGATCAGGGTCGAATGTCGCTTCGGTAGGAAATTTGTTTACGATCGAGTGCGGTCAATGAAAACGATCGCTGTTATCCATTCAAAGCGAGAAACACCCCATACGGAAAAATATCAACAATGCCGTGCCGAAGGATCGCACGAATTTGTATAAATTCCTTATGTGAACGAGAGCTAAATCTGACGTGAAAGCGAGTAATTTAAATCTAGCAGATTTTCCATCTATGCTCACGATTATTTTCCGTTTCTCTTTTTCATTCGAAGTTTACAAAGTGTGACTTTCTCGAGTTTGTGACTTACATTTTTACGGGAGTTACGAAGACGCCATTGCGACGGCAGCGAATTGAGCGAATGAATGCCCAAGGATGTTCAAACAGGCACACACTTGTCAGCCAATCACAGTCGGTACCTGACGAGCTCCTTCTCTCACACCCCAATTTTCTATTCCGACGAACGCATGCGCAAATAGATTCCAACCAAAAGTTAAAAACTCTGCAAAATAGTCCCTTTTCTTGCCTCCGGAGAAGTGCAACTTGCAATGTCTTTCTAGCAAGTGCACCTAGTTTTAGGATGCTGCACGTCCGAAAGACTCGATGCACAAACGGGAGATTGGCTTGAAGAACTCCGTCAATAATTTGTAAGCTCCGACTTCTTTGTAAATCATGCGTGATTGCCGTGATTCAATTTGCAAAAATCACTCCTCCTTCCCTGAACAACTTCATGTTTTTGTCTGGAGTCTGCGGATTCATTTAATTTTTATCGCTCTGCGAGCCCTTTTTTAGACCTACAACTCCAAAATTACAATATAAACAGTGCATGACACATTCCAAACAATTCACTTTTTTAGATTTTATAATTTTTTACATTTTTTTATTTGAATTTTAATTTCATAAATTTATTCTTATTGTATGCATTAATCAGAGAAAATATTCATTTTTTTTAATTAAAAAATTATTATTTCTTTCCTATTTTTTGGCTGGAGTTTTTTCGGTTTTTTAACGCACATTAACTAATATGTAGGTTAGTAAATTAATATTAAGAAATCAACAAAAAATGAGTTATTATTTATTTTCTCTCCAAAAAATTTATAATCCAAAAAAGAGACATACAAAATTATTAATGAATATCGGCTATCTATAATAGCACAAAATAAATTTCATGTGAAAAAAAAGAAAAAGAAATCAATGAATCATAGTAATTAAAAATACGCATATTGATCGCCCCTGCATAGCCCATGACTTAGTGGTTTTGATATAATGTATTGCTTTTCGTTAATTCTTCCAGCCAGTCATTAACCAATGGTCATCAACAAAAGAAAATTTTAAAAATTTTCTTCCAGAAATAGAAATATTTGTGGAGCCTATATTTTTCCATTCCAATCTTATTCGGAAATTTATTATTAAAAGTATTTTTTAAGCTTTTTATAAAGTGGGGTATATACTTCAAAGATTGAAATTAGGGAAATTAGATAATGTTTGAATTTTTATTCATTGGAATAAATACAATAAAAATATTTTTTTTTTGAAGAGAGCCGTTATTGCATTAATTTTTTTTTTTTTAAATTTAAGCTGATATCCATTATATTTGCTGTCCGCAAGAATTTCAAGTTTGATATAATTCATTTTGCAATTTTTGTTTTTCCACTATGAATCAGATTTTCTTCCTTGCTTTGCTTCCAATCAACAAAAGCAGGGTGCGAAGGTCATCAAAGGGACCCGTCATATTTATTTCACGTTTCGAGATAAGACACTTCTTCTTGTGTTTGTTCGGCCAAAAACGCAAATGTGTTTCTAATCAGAGGTTCTCTTTGCACGGTCAAAGGGAGCAAAAGAAAATCTTCAATTTACGACTTCGGTAATTTTCTAAAAATAGTGTTTATAACTTATTTTATTTTTGCTTTCATGGAAAACTTACGCAATTCATTGAGACGAAGGGCGTGACTCTGTTCAAATATTATATATTCGAACTAAAAACTTACGTTACACGCAGCCATTGATTGAAACAAAATTAACCTAGTGCTCGTTTTTTTAGGGCTCCACCCCTCTTTCTAAATTAGATCCCTGTAAATACGGCGTAAAGTTGAGCCGCGCTGAACTTGTCTTGCGATTTGCTCTGTCGCTGTCATAGCCTTGTTTTTATTATCACAACTTAGGAAAAAGCTTCAAATACGTGTGGAGTGCAGGAGAAACTTTCTAAACTGGTTTGACTTGAAATGGTGTTAATTTTACAACATGAAGTGCGCTTTTATTATTATTTTCTATATAAAACTTTTTTACTAAAAAATGACTGATTTTTTTAACATAAAAATTTTTTTTAACCAAAAAATAAAAATGTCGATCTTGATTAAATTTATAATATTACTGAAATTTTTCATTAAATTTTCAGGCTAACAAGGCAAATGCAATGAAGCATACCAATGGAGTGCAGAGCAGCGAAGAAAAAGAAACAGAAGATGCAAAGGCAAGCACAAAATTGACATTTTCCCCGCTTTTTCTTACTTATCTTGAATAAAATTCTCTTCAGCCGCTCAACACAACCTCTCTGGTGCTCACCAGCCTCACGGCAGGGGCCATGGCTGGTGCCGTGGCTAAAACCACAATCGCACCTCTTGACAGAACAAAAATTAACTTCCAGGTGAGAAATCCAACCTACATAATCCATACAAAGTAAAAAAGTACTTCCATTGACAAATTTCATTTATTGCATTAAAAATATGATATTTTAAGAAAATCAATTATGCTAGGTTTAATAATCGTTTCATTGCTTTTTGTCATTAAAAAATTATCAAAGTAAATAAAATTTTAGATAAACCAAGCGCCTTATTCTGCTCGCCAAGCACTGAAGTTTTTAGTAAAAAGTTACAAAAGAGAGGGTTTCCTCAGCCTATGGCGAGGTAACTCTGCAACCATGGCCAGGATCATCCCTTACGCAGCTATTCAGTTTACGGCACATGAACAGTGGAAACAAATCCTGAATGTGGATCAAGACAAAAGTGTGAGGTAAATAATTATAAAATTACTAATTTTTAGTAATTTTGATGAAAAAAAGACTAATGCAAATATGTCTGCAGAACCGCATCTTGGCGTAGATTTGTCTCCGGTTCACTGGCTGGCGTGACCTCGCAGTCACTGACCTACCCCCTGGACATGGCCAGAGCTCGAATGGCAGTCACTCAGAGAGAACAATACAGTAGCTTAAGTCATGTGAGTACTGAAGGCACAGTTTTATTAAGGTGAAGAATTCTAGCGAATTCAAATTTAATCTGAAAAATAGTATTTCTGCAACCCCAGAATAATATTTTAAATTGGTTTTTTAGATATTTGTAAGAATTTGGAGAGAAGAGGGTCCACGAACGCTGTATCGAGGCTACTGTGCCACAGTTTTAGGTGTGATTCCTTATGCCGGAACGTCTTTTTATACTTACGAGACTCTCAAGTCCTTGCACATGGGTAATTTTTTTCAAATTTTAAGCCTAAAATAATTGTATTGAAGTGGAAATTTTTTATAAATTCAGAGTACTGGGGGACAAGTGGCACAAATCCATTTGAGAAGCTGATGTTTGGCGCCGTGGCTGGACTTTTCGGGCAGACGTCTTCGTATCCTCTTGATATTGTGCGACGAAGAATGCAAACCTCGTCGGTTGCCAATAGTCAATACCAAACTGTTGTTGGAACACTAGTCAAAGTTTATCGGCAAGTATTCTATTTTAAAGGATTGAGTTTTAAGTTTTACCTTAGAATTATAAAAAACTTGAACTTATTTTTTTTTTGTCATTTTAGAGATGAAGGCCTGAGAAATGGCCTCTTCAAGGGTCTTAGTATGAACTGGATCAAGGGACCTGTTTCCGTTGGAATAAGCTTTTCTACTTTTGACACAATGCAGTATTATCTGCGCAAGGCCCTGATGTACACATCTTCATGACTGCGTCTGCTGTGATTAACTGTTGAAATTTGCCATTTAAAACTATTTTGAACTTTTATTAAATGAATAATACAGAGAGGATGTTATAAGCAGCATAAAACGTTTTTGTCCGCTCAGAGCAAATGGAATAACTTTATTTTTCGTTATACAATATACAACTGGCTTGTGGAATGTCTGAGTATCAAAATCATAAAAATATTGGACAACTAAAAACAAACAATTATTATTCATTGGGATTAAATATATTATAATATTGAAAATTTCATGTGTGAGACAATAGTAAATGTAGTGCCATATCAGTTTACCCAAAAAATATATATAAATACTGTTAAAATTGTTGTGTCAATTTATTTGCATTTCCCTTTTGATAATTTAGCTCATTAAAAAAATTGTCTAAAAATTAGTGAGAAAAATAATTTATAGTTGCTGGTTTTCTACGGAAGGTATCATTTTATAAAATTATTTTAATTTGTAATCAGTAAGACAAGACTTTTGTTAATATTATTGAGTATACGTCGATACCAGAAACTTAGATCTGGATGTTGCAAAATCTGTCTACATATATTCCATTCAGATATCAATCACACTTGCAAAAATTTTACCAATCGGCATGGACGTGTCAACGTGTCTAATTTCTTGTCTGGCAAAATATATTTAATTTTTATTAACTTTAATATTGAATAATTATAATTATTCCTTTTTTATTAATAAATCTAGAATTCTTTTTAAAGTTATTTTTGTGCAAGCCCTTTTTCATGACTAGGATAATTAAATCTATGTAATGTTTATCTACAACATTCAGTTGCAAGCATTGTATTATTTACATTTCAATTTTATTTTTTCATATCTTTATTTTTTGTAAAAATATTTCAAATTGAATTAAATTTTACATTTTTAATTTTTTTCTTTTTGCTTATTTACAGTTTACAGGTTGTACTATATTGTTTAAATTACAAACAAAACAAAGAATAAAATTATGATAAATTTTTTAACAATTAATTTAATAAATTATTTTATTTTTAAATTGGTTAAAGTAATTTAATTACTTATATTATGTAAAATTATTATGAACTTTTGGGCTTGAAAATAATGCGACCTTTATGTTCGCCTCCCTCGCTCCTCTTCGCGTGCCATCATTGACCCTGCTCCTGTTGAATGCGCAGCCCGAGCAAAATTCTCATAGCCCTGGCCGAGCAATGGTGCCTGGGTCACGTGACCAAAATTTCCCGGTACAGAGGTATTTCTCGGAATCAGCTGCGTGATATGGCTTCCTAATATTCCCGTAAGAAGAGGCTCATTATCAGGGTGATATAGCTCGATCGGGTGGCTGATAAGCGTCCCGAACTCTACCCTTGGACGGAGGTGAGTGTCCTTGAGGGGTGGTGGCGGCCGGCGGTGGTGGGTCGGCCGCGGGACGGCGGCGCCGACCGGCCGACGAGCGGAACTTTTTGTTTGTATTGCTGGGAGCCATAATAATTTATGAAGAAGAAGTAGTGGTTGGTCGGTTGTGTGTGAGCGAGGTGTTGGAATTACCGCCTTTCATTTTCCGAGAATTACGTTTTACATTCTTTACACGATTACTCTCGAATTTTCCTTCCTCGCTCGCGCATGAGAGAGTGCGGCCCAAAGTAGCGTCCCGTGCGTCGCTGAATTTCGGATTTCGACGTTCGGAATTTATTATGGACGAGGATTTCAAAGGCAGGCCTTCGTGCGCCTACCAGAAAGGTGAGACAGTCTGCGCAGCCCTTCTTCTCGGAATAGTCCGAAGCGTCGTCGAAATCCTTTGTTTGGCTTCAACAGCCTTCAACATTTTTCAACCCTTTCAAATGAGAATCATCTTTTATTGTTAGATTGAAAACCGACCGCGTGTTCTTAAGCCGATCTTTGTCCGACTCGGTTGGCTCTGCAGCTCCTGGAAAAGCGTTCTTGCAGGATGGCCGATTCCTGGAACGCCAGCAGCGCGTTCACTGCTCTGTTTGTTATTCTACTCGCAAAACCAACACAGTCTTTAGAAACTTTTTTCGCCATAATGAAAGTTAAATATCCATATTTGGGGATTTTTTTTATCTTGTATTTTAATTTATTTCTTTAACGATTAGTTAAAAAAAGATTCATACACAAACACAACAACTTTCCGCGAGCAAAAGTGTGCGGTTTTCCGCTCTCAGCGGTCACCACTTTGTAAAAAGAAGTCGCTCCATAACACCTGTCGAAACAACAATTTTTTTATTATTTCATGAACACCTTATTTTCTCTCAAGTGAGAAATTGCATTTTTTTTCTTCGTAAAATTAATAATTGCAAAAAAAAACATGTAAATTTAATTTTAAAAGGTTTTTTTATTATCAGTGGAATATCAGTGTTGATTTAATTAATTTTCATCAACATATTATGTATTACAATTTGGCAAAAATCAAATTAAAATTTGCTAAGTAATTTTAAATTATGAATGATCTCTTAAGGAAGTGTTAAATTGTGATTTTTTTAAACAATATTATTATTTGAAATGCGAGAGATCAACATTTATTATGTATTAAAATTAATATCAGAAAACTCATTTTTATCAAACTAACTTATAAATTAATATCTAATTTAATTTTTTTATTTACCCTCCAATATTCTGTGTGCCAAACGTCAAGAAAAAATGTGCTTTTCACAAACAAACCCGGAGTATTTTATGGTACTTTACCCTCAGCCACCCTGTCAAAAAGCCAATGTTATTTTTTTTCATGTTCCTTTTGCGCGGGAGAAAAATGTTGCCCTCGTTTGATTCAGCGCCGCATCCGAGGCCTCTCTATTCATCTCGCGGCAGGCATCGTGTTACTTTTTTTCCGGCGAAGTTATAGGCCTGGCCTTGGAATTTTATGGCAGCTCTGCGGCAATAGCGATTTATTATTTTTTTTTATTGAATTAGCATTGCTCAAATTGAAACGTGAAACAAGTTTGTTTGCTTATTCGAGAGTTCAACTTACATGTTAGCCATGTTAGTGAAAATTTCCACAAGGAAAAAATTGGTAGTAAAAAAAAAATGGAATGATGCTAATTATTGTACAAATAAGTGGTGATGATTTTTGATTTAGCACCAAAGTCTAAGTTTTGAAGTGTTTTGCCAATTCACTAGTGCATACAACATGATTATCTAATCTTAACATTTATCTCGGATTTCTATTTTAAGTTTTACGCCTGCAGTGTTAATGAGCTGGAAATTTATATAAAAAAATAATATTTCTCAAATTATAATTTTTTAAATTATTAAGAAAATACTTATTTTGACTCGCACTAATAACGTAATAATTGCTTCATGTAAAAAATTTGCTCAGCCTGGACGCTTTGGCTGCTGCCATTGTTCCCTCCCCGCTGTATTTTTTCATCATGCATTGATCCAGTTCTTGCTTCATTTGACTTCTCTCAATCATGATTTACGCATCACAATTATAATGTTTAATCGTGACTATGAAATGAGATAAATCGTCGGTGCAAAAACAAATCTCGTCCGATAAATCCTCACGGCTAGTTAGATCTTGCGACAAAGCAGCCCGCCCCTTTTGGCCCGGATCATAATTTGGGGCTTGAAACGTCGAGGATTTATCGCCTTTTGGTCCAATGCGAATCGCAGAGAGAACGGAGGGGGTATACAATTGCGAAAATTCAGCAGCAGTAGCTCTAGGTAGGTAGATCGACCCAGTCCAGACTTTCGCAAGTGCAACTTTGTTCTATCGAAAGGGTTCAAAATTTTCAAGCATTTATCAGCAAGGTATTTATAAAAATAGTGATTTGAATTTAAAATCGGCTTTTCCCTGATGAGTTTTGTGAGATGTTTATTGTTTAAGAAGAAACAAGGATATTGTTTTTCTTAAACAACAAACAACTCAAAAAATAAAATCCATCAAGGAAAAGCCGATTTTAAATTCAAACACCACGAGTCAACCCTAAATCGTGAAGTTCTACCACAAAAATATTGATGAATAGTTTATATTTGCTGGTTTTTGTATGATTTTCTTACCTAATTGCATGATTAACAAGTGTGAGACGGATAGGAATACTAGGGGTTATTCACTATGTCTCTGATTTTATATTTGCAGTTTTCTGATTTAATTATTTTTTAACTAACGTTGATTTCCGAATGAATTTGCAACACGATTTAATCTATAAGTGAAATGGAGACGACGTAGGGGAAACGTTGCGCTAGCAGTGAGAGCGACGACACATCTCGTTTGCCGATTTTTACCAGAATCGCCAATACACTCTTCCGCACCTAACCAACGTGGGCTAAGTGCGTCGCCTGCGATGGCAGAGCGCTGATGGAATGCGTTGATGTTGATGGAATGCACACACACAAAAGAAACACTCTTATTCTGTTCAAATCTTAAAGAAGCCAGAGGCATCGCTTTTATTGGGTGCCTTATAGATTTTACAAAGTTCTGTTTTACGTCTATCTTTGTTTGATTTTAATTGAGTTTAATTTACGTTAATTTGAATAAAATAATTATATTAATTATTTTATTTGAATTTACTTTTTGATTTGAATTAATTTTAATTTAGAAAAATGTTTTGTTTTGTTTTTGAAGTTAATTGTTTTTAAATTGGAATTTTTAATTTTAATTTCTTTTTTATATTAAATTGAATGAATTTAATTAATTTAAATTTTTGTAAAATTATTGGTCTCAAGTGGGCTCAATTTTTTATTAGGATGGCTTGGGCTCTTTTATGCACTAAATAAAGTTTTCGCGCTCATTTTTTCACTCACTTTTTTAAATTCAAAATTTGGTGCTTAAAGGATATATCAAGTGTTAACCATTTTTTTTTAAATTTACTATTCAATTTTGTTACCAAAATATTCCACGCCAGTTTCATTTTCACTACTCTCAACCCTTTTTTAGCAACTTTTAAGATGTGCACTGGATTTTAAAGTAGTTTTATATTTTTCGAAATAGCCATTCATCAACTTTATGTTTCTTTTGGTTCCCTGATTGAAGTATCTAGTTTTAGTTTTATGGAAAAAACTAAAATTATCTTCAAGGTTCTCCAATATCAAGTTTTTAGCACTGGAAATACATAGCACCCCATTTCAAATCAATATAAAAAATAAATTATTAGTTAAATTCTAAAATATAAAGATTTGAAATTAATACTAAATCACAATAAATTGACTGTTTCTGCACATTTCTTTAGTCTGTAGTTAGACTGAATCAGAGTAATTCAAGCTTCTGTGCCGTCTGTGGAGTTTTTTGTATATTTTTTTCTCAGCGCCTAGCCTTTCTAAGGTCGACAATAAATTACTATAGCCGACAAAATTGGCTGCTTTTTTAAATTTGCAATAATAATTAAAAATTATTTGTGAAACCATTAAAAAAATTATGTTCTCTTCTTTTTGGCATTCTTTTATGAAAGCATATCTCTTGGAAGAGAATTCCCGGAGACTGCAATTTATTTTATGGAACTATGAGGCAAAAGATTGCATTTTGGAGAGTCGATGCTGCGCTAATAACCCTTATCAGCTTAAAGTTGCAGTCGTCAACAGGGCAAAATAATATTTGTCTCTTTTCCAATTCACATAAACACCTTATGCACAAGCAAAATCGTGTGTATGTTGCGTTTTCGGATAAATGCATTTCGGATAAAAAAAACTGTTGTCCTGATAAGTCATTTCTGATGAATAATTTTTGTACAATTGCCGAAAATATTTGTTATCGGATAATTAAGGGTTTCCCCCTGATTCAGCATTTTTGAATTTAACTTGAATTGTTTTGCGTTGCAGCTGTAGCGGGCAAACGGTGTGTATCGGAGGACGCAGCCGCCGCCATGTCTCTGTGGACAAAAGCGCAAACGCTGACGGGCGACGCGCTGCAGCAGGTGCGCGCCGTCTACGGTGAACACTTCCCCATCGAGGTGCGCCACTTTCTTGCCGGCTGGATTGAGGAGAAGATGTGGCAGGACATCGACCCTGACAACCCTGCGCACGAGCCCTATGTTAACGAGCTTGTGCGCTCCATGATCCAGGAGTTGGACAACAAGGCCAACAACATGAACACCGAGGAACTCTTCCTCACAAGGCTCAAGCTCACCGAAGCCGCCAACATGTTCAGAGTGAGCAACCCTTTCATATTTTACTCTGGTCTCGGCCTTTTTGCACACTTTCAATTTTTTTTTTTTTTTTTTTTTTTTTAGATTTCAGTCTGCTTTTCAATAAGGTTAAAAATTGTTCTAACTGCCTTATTTTGACGATCCTTCAAATTTCTTGTTGTCAAAATACAAAACGATCTATACCTTTCAAAACTGCATGTCGATTTTAACAATTTTTTTTCTTTTTAAGTATTCTGCTTTTATTTAATTAAATTTTTTGTTGCAGAACCGATATTCCCAAAATCCAGGAAGCTTGATACGAATAATTCGGCATTGCCTTAACACCGAAATAAAACTGGTCCAACAAGTTGAAAATGTAAGTAAAAAAATTTGTAAAAAATCGAAAAAAAATCTTTTTTTCTGTTTTCATTTATATGTTTTATCTTTTATTAAGTGATTGTTCCCTGTTAACTGTCAATCATGCTCAACCTGATATTTTCAGACCTGTTGCTGTTATTATTATAATTTTTGTTGTATCAACTCTTGAAATTCAATGAACAATGACAAGTTTTGCATACTTGCATGTTTGAGCCTTTGTGAGAGTCAAATCCTCATTCAATGTGTTGTGCCACTCAACGGAAATATGAATGAAAGCTCTATTGATATAGTCCATTCATAACTTTAAAATGATTGTCTTGCTTTATAATCAAATTAAAATATACTTTTTCAGTTCTTTTTTTACTAACCAGAGAATTTTAAGTTTCTTAAAGGATTCTGGCCTATTAAAAAAGAACTTCCTGTGTCCCTGTTGAAAATAGAATGAATTTATCATTCTTAAAAATTTTATACTGATCACCTTTCAAGTAAAGGTTGCCCCCTAATGTTTAAGCTTTGACGTGCCTGCTAACTGTACGCATGCTTTGTTTTATTCTGAATGTCAGGCATGGGGTGATGGAAGTTCGACCGCGGCTAATCAGTCGTCACTACCTCAGGCCAGCGCTGCGCGCGTCATGGAGCAGCAGCAACCGCTGTTGCACCCAGTTGGCAACCCGCAGGACGTTGTCCAAGCAGAAATTAACCAACAGCTTGAGTATCTGCGACTACGAACACAAAAGACTGGCGAAGAATGCAGGCGGATCGAACAGGAGCAAGAGGCGTTTGCCCTGCAGTACCACGAATGCACAAAGCTCAACGGTAAAATTGGCATTTTTTTTTATTTCACTGACAAGTTTTTCTTTTCATTTGTTAATTTTTTTTAATTAGAGAATTTGGTTTTTATTTATTTTAATTAATTGAAGCAACTTGCATTAATGTTATATAAATATTTCTTCAATTGTCGATTTCACTGGTAATTTTTTTCCATAGCTCACCTTCAGCATTTAGGCACACTACCACGCACACCAGAGAACTTAGAGATGGAAGAGAAGCTAAAACAACAGAAGAACGTCCTGTCCAACTTGTTGAACCAAAAAGTAGCCAACGTGATACAGTTTCGCATTCAGCTGGCTGACCAGCTGAAAGAGACGGTCGGCATTTTGCACACCTTGCAGGCGCGAGTACTCGACGACGAGCTAATCCGGTGGAAACGGGAGCAGCAGTTGGCAGGCAACGGCTCGTGCTTCAACAGCAACCTTGACAGCATTCAGGAGTGGTGCGAGGCGTTGGCCGAAATCATCTGGATGAACCGGCAGCAGATCAAAGAGGCTGACCGGCTTAAACAGAAGCTTGCTTTCGAACCACCGGGGGTGATCGACATCCTGCCAAGCCTGAACAGTCAAATCACACAACTGCTCTCTTCCCTTGTCACAAGGTGATTTGAACTCTCACATAAAAAATTTGGGTTTTTCATTCCAGATTATTTTGAATTTCAGCACTTTTATCATTGAAAAGCAACCACCGCAGGTCATGAAAACCAACACACGCTTCACTTCAACAGTCAGACTGTTGGTAGGTGGCAAACTGAACGTACACATGACTCCACCACAGGTAAAAAGCAAAATTTTGTAATAAATTTATTTTTCTTATCATAATCTTTCAGGTCAAAGTTTCCATTATCTCCGAAAGTCAAGCAAATTCACTTCTCAAAAATGACAAAACAGCCAAAGGTGATGCAAGTGGAGAAATTCTAAACAACACTGGTACCATGGAGTATCACCAAGCTACCCGTCAGCTCTCTGTCAGTTTTCGGTAAGAATTTGAATCGAGCTTGAGAATTGAAATAATTATTTAAAAAAATTTAGGAACATGCAACTGAAAAAGATCAAGAGAGCTGAAAAGAAAGGAACTGAGTCAGTCATGGACGAAAAATTCTCCCTGCTCTTCCAGTCACAGTTTTCTGTGGGTGGAGGAGAGCTGGTGTTCCAGGTGTGGACTCTGTCCTTGCCTGTGGTGGTTATTGTCCACGGGAATCAGGAACCGCATGCTTGGGCCACAGTCACATGGGACAATGCATTTGCAGAAGGTGGTCGAGCGCCATTTGTCATACCGGACAAAGTGGCTTGGCACCTAGTTGCTGAGGCTCTCAACATGAAGTTCAAAGCTGCTACTGGCAGATCCCTTACGGAGGAAAACCTCAGATTTCTCGGTGAAAAGGCATTCAGATCAGGGTAAGAAATTTTAACTATAATTTTTTTTTAATCTACTATGAGATTTACTTTTTAGGAACTCGCAACTTCAAGATTACAGTTCCCTGCTCCTCAGTTGGTCTCAGTTCTGTAAGGAACCATTGCCAGAGCGTAACTTCACCTTTTGGGAGTGGTTTTACGCAGTGATGAAACTTACCCGAGAGCATCTCAGAGGTCCTTGGGTCGATGGGTGAGTCATTTTCTACTTTGGCTCTAGAAAATTTGTCATTTTTTCCCCTTCACTTCTAGAGCGATTCTGGGTTTTGTTCGAAAAAAGCAAGCAGAGGAAATGTTGGCGACTTGCAGCATTGGCACTTTTTTGCTGCGCTTCTCAGACTCAGAACTTGGTGGGGTTACAATCGCCTGGGTTGGTGAGTACAATGAAGGAAGAGAGATCTGGATAAAGTACTAATATTGAAAAATTGATCAAATTCAGCAGAGCACGGGGAGGTTTTCATGCTTCAGCCATTTACAAGCAAAGACTTTGCGATTCGGAGCTTGGCTGACCGCATCTCTGACCTGAGCCACCTGGTTTTCTTGTATCCTGACATACCAAAGGATCAACCCTTTGGAAAATATTACAATCCGTTCAGAGGTAAAATGACCCTTTGGCCCTAATTTGCTGTGGCTAACTTTGCCATTTGAATTTCACAGATAGTCAGCCAGCTGGAAGGAATGGATATGTGATGCCAGTTCTAGTTACACATGTGCCAGGGTAGGTCTCGTTTTGTTTTTAAAAACTAATTTAAATATAAAAATATATGTGATTATAACTTATTTGACGTTAAATTGCTTTTTCAATCAATGATTTGAATAAAAAAATTAAACCAAGGGTAACTTTTTAAATTCAGTAAATCTTTCAGATGGGGTGGAGGTCCAAGTGGCGTAGGAAGCTATCCTCCGACGCCCCAAAACATTTACCAACCTCAGTCACCAGATGGTGCAGGAAGAGACACAGCCTCTGTAGTTAGTGGAGTCTCAGAAAATGCAGGAAGGTAAGTCATTACTTTTATTACTTTTTTATAAAAAAAAAAAAAACAGCCAAGATCTTTCTTGGTATTTGCGCTGAAGCAGAAAAAGTTTTTCGGCTATTTCTTACACATTACTGCTCTGCCTACAGCGGTATGTCGACTGTAATGGATCTATGAAAACACACAGAGCGCGGGCATGAAGACGTGCGCAACTAAAGTTGTTTTGAGATGCATTTTTGAATCAATAAGTCTTTATTGAGAGGGGGCCATTCAAAAATTGTACTGCTCCAAAGTTGCGAGAAAAATATTTAAACACATTTTCCGAAACCTCATGAGTTTTCAACCAAATGAAATGCTGCATTTAGGATTTTGCATGTTTTCAGCATTAATGCATACAAAATTGAAACGCACATCAATTAATTGATCTCACTCTTGAACTTGATCATCAAAATATTCATTGTAATGTTGGTTTGCTTCTGAAAAAAAAAATCAACCAGTTTTGTATTTTGTCAATATGCGAGCATTCCTCGGGTTGTCAAAAGTTAATGTTATACATTTTAAAAGGAAAAAATCAGATGTTTAAATGAGGTATTCAAAATGTTAGGCTTAATTGATGAGTTTCTATACTGTATAAGATACATTAAATGAATGTAGCGATTTGGAAAGATTAGTCAACTCCTGGACCGTCAGATTAGAACACTTTTCATAGACCCCAATGTTAAAGCATGACTTACATTTTTTCTAATATGGACCATAATAACCCCATGCTATTAAAATTTACAAAGAACATGTACACAAGCTTAGATTTCATTCTTACATTTATTTTGTCCATTGTAATGAAATAATTTTTATTCATGAAAAAAATATCCCAACACCCCAGACCTCAACACAATCTCTTAAACCCATATCAACATTCAGACTGAACACTGAATAGCCTTTTTTTAAAACATTTTTCTACAATAACCTGAAGTTCAAATCAGCTCAACTTTTATTTCCGCATTTCCTGGTCCAGGGGATGGCCTTGTATTTAAATCATTTTCGCAAAAATTAAGCGCATTTATGAAAACTCGACGAGACTTTCGAAGTTTCGAGTGTAACGTTGCAGCTTGTGAAACTATACGTGACAGGGTTATGAGAGCTTAAACAGAAATCCCGGGCTTTAAATAACTCGGTTTAATTTGTATGTACTTTTCAAAAACTTCTAATGATACTGTTTGATGTGCTTAAAATAATTATTGTGTATGCGTGTGCAGGCCTGACAAGCGCTGTCCAAACTCGCGGAGCTTATTACATTGAAAACATCACAAGACCTTTTTTTGGCTGTAAAAATGAGCTTTTGCTGCTTCGAGCACTCAAATGTGTGGAAACAACAACCTTGCCAAATCAGTGCAGGATCGAATCAACTTTCAGAATTTATTGAAAGCACGATTTATCAAAATTGTTGAAGTACCACTTTTAACCTCTTGGAGCAAAGTCTAGTAAAACTGAAACGCTTGCCAGGCTTTTGTTTTTATCGTGAGAATGTGAAAAGCGAATTGATTGTTTTCCGTCCTGTCGACAAATTTACGCAGTGAGGAAGAACAACACAAAGGAGCATTGTAAGTTAAGTTGTGATATATTATAAAGAAAACGATTAGGTTAAAGTTGCTTAATCAGCCTAATTATGACGGCGCTAATTTGTTAATTTTATTTGCTGTCGGATGCGGTAACTTTTAATACCAAAGTTCTTGATGAATTTTTATGATATGTGATTCAAAACACACATGAGGAACTGCCCCTTGGAGATTTATATTTCATCTCTTGGACATGAATAAATAAATAAAAAATATTTTAATGTTTTTCAAACGAAATTTAAAAAAAAGTATGAGTAAAACCCATTCGTTTTGCTAGCAAACAAAGTCTTTAAATGTGTGGGTACAAAGTAATTATCGTAAGTAATAAGATTATGAACAATAGTTTATGATAGTTCTATAGCATTAATCTTTATATTTTTGCATTTATTTAATTTATAAAATTACGTATTTTCAGAGCATTTAGAATATTATCTTTGTTAGGGGCAGTTTCGTAATTCTTTTTGCAAGTGTGGTGCATTGGACATAACTTTTTTAAGTTGTTGAGGTTGATTAAACCAAATTATATTATGCAGATAGCAAGGGAAAAAATGCATATCTTGATCTGAATATTTCGAACTGTGTTATTTTAATTTCGCCTGATTTGTCCTTTAACCTCAATTCACATTTTCACGTTGTGACAATTTCTAAATTCATTTTGCACTAATTATCAAAGAAATGACTGTATTGGGAAATAATTTTTAACATTGCGGGTCCAGCTCTGAATTTAATTGCTCTGGATACGCATGTTGCTGAGATATCTATACATACAGTAAACATTTTGCTCACTTTTCAGAACGCATCCTGATGGAATTTAATCATTATTAATGATATTTATTTAAAAAAAAAAGGTGTAACACTATCAGGAGAGAGAAAGAAATAGATTAGGTTTTGAACAATTCGACTGTTTACTGACCTTTAGAAAAGGAATAGCAAAGTTAGTTACTTCAGCTTCCACACACTTCCATAAATTTTCTAAAAGTTCTTTGGAGTTTGTTATAATTAATTACAATTCTAATCCTCACAAATTACTTAAAACTTTAAGATCAATTTTCTGTGAAAGTATATTACAGATCGGTGTTATTTTTATTTATCTCATTATTTGAATTTTTACAATTATTAATGACAATTATCAATAACTTGACCAATCAGTATGTTAAATATTTATGTATTTTGGAAGTGGCCTACAAGGTGCTAAAATGGATTCGTGTTCCCTAACACAAGCTAAAACGCACGTCTTTTGCAATTATGCAACTACAGCATTGTTTCAACTTCTTCATTTCACCGCCTAAAGTCAATAAAAAGTAGGCTCTTTTGAAACAAAAGTGTTAAAAATTTCATTAGAATATTTCAGTCTTTCTAATTGGCCATGCATAACGATTGTAAACTTGTGAAGACTTGTTAAAAGAAATTTTCTCTGGACTGTAATTTATTATATTGTTGCTAATCTTTGCTGCAAATGATCTTGTTTGTACATTCCTGTTGCGTGCTTCTCTGTTGCATGTATATGTTTTATGGATCATTCTTGCTGAGATATCGAAAGTTAAATTATGTATTATGAAATGTGTTTTTCAAAAATAACACGCATTCAAGACAAAAGAAAGCAAACCATCATCATCGTTCAGTAAAACAACAGCATACATGTTTACCACTTCAATGTTGTTCGACTTTATCTGCATCTATTTATGTAGTTGACAAAATTATATTTATGGTTAATTATTTTCAAATAAAGGCAGATATATTCACTGTACATATCTTCTTGTTTGGTTGGAGCATCTGAACAAAATTATTTTCTCTTAAAACAAAAAACAGCCGAACTCTTCTCGAGTGAGGTTGAATTTTGCATTTTTCTCCCTACCTGCCCTAAGTATGCTGGGGGGAGAGAGGGCGACGCCAAAGTTGAAAAATTAGTCACGCTGATCTTCTCCCTTTCTCAGCATACTCTTTTTAAAAAAAATCCTGCCCGCTCTAATCCAAAGATTAGAGATCAAAACCTGTCTCTATTAACTAGTAAAAAAAAGAAAAGAATTTGCAATTCCGTGACTAATTTTGGCTCTGCCTTCTTTCCCCTTTCAGCTACATGAACCCAGAGTATGATTATACCGAATTCATGGGCCAAGACCTTCCGACCATGGACGAAAACGTGTCTCTTGACCTCAACGGCTTCAATTTCGATCTCGTGCCGCAGACGTATAAGCAGGAGTGAAGCGCAGGTAAATTATAACCACCAACAAATAACGAACCACACAGACGTAGAGGGATAAATTGTATGCAAAAAATTGTCTGCATCGACAGATCCGGAATCAAAATGTTCTCAGTGGCTTCGTGTCCACGTTCCTTGTTTTCCTCATTCGCCATTTACAAATGTGGACAAGCTTAGTGTCTTTATAGTTAAAGCTGTTTGAATGTTGATCTATTAATTTACTCTTCCTGAAAGAAAGGTTGCACTGCAAACGATTGCCATGAACTTCTTCAGTCATAATCAATTATTACGTAATTTAATTCAACCAATTTTCTTTTCCCACATAAGAACAAACTAAATAATAAATTTAAAATACAAGTTGGATCTACCTAGAAAGCTGTTTTAGGCTTTGCAGATGCACTACTAAAGATTTTGAAAATATAGTAAAATCTGTTGCTTCACAAAAATCATATAATTGAATGTTAAAAATTCCTTGTTAGTGTATGAAGAGAATTTTATTGGTGCTTTTTCGTTTTCTCCATAGAATTTCCATAGAAAACCATTCTTTTATAAATTTCCTCCTTGCTCAAAACGTTGATGAAAATTTGCCAAGGTTGTAGTGCAGGCGATGTGGATGCGCCTTTGATAAATAATCCAAAATTGATAGCCGTGGATTAATGTTTCTGTTGGAATCGAATTCTATCATTAGTTGAGGATCAACAATGTTGACTGGAATTTTTGAAAAAGAATGAGTAACTTGGGGCCTCAGTATACCATAAAATTAGGCTCCGTTTCAACTTTGAACGGTGTGGAAAAATAATCAAAATGCGTCCCAGGTTAGTCTGCTGATATTATCGAAGAAAATTGTTAAATATATATTTGTGACATGAGATGTAGTACAAGAAATCTGTTCGTGGTTTTTGTTACTGGTTGTCCCAACTCCTATTAGCAATATTGACAAATATATAATGAAGCATGCACAGCACAACATGTGACCATAGAGAGAATACGATAAATATTCATGCTATATATAAATTAAGCTTATTCTTCGTACAATAAAATCGGAAACGAAAAAAAAATCTATTTTTTATTTACTTGTATCAGAATTCTAAGGATTTAAATGAAAAAAAGCATTGTATTAAAAATTTGTTGTACTATTTAATCGATTTTAAATGTTTTCTAGTTTGACTTGCTTAGAAAATGAAATAAAATACTAATTTTTCTATTATTAAATTTATTTTTGGACATATATATTTACAGAAATTTGAACTATGGTTTATATTGCACAATATTTTAGCACATATAAGTCGCAAATTCCGCAAACTTTGACTAGTTTACATTTTTACAAAATTCGTTCATTTTGATTCCAAAAAATAAGAGCGTACGACTTTACAAAATTCAGAGCAGCAAGAAATATAACTTGCTGAGTTATATAGAGCGAGATTTGTTCCAGATTGATTTTTAACACTTAAAGTTAGTTTCCCAGGATTTCTCCGTTGGAATAAGTATGTGGGTACAAAGTATGACAATTACCTTAAGTATTAGACAATGTTTTGGTGTATATTTGAGGCACTTCGTAAAAATATATAATGATTTTTTTTCAAGAGGCATTTCAGCTGAAGTTAAAAAGGCACCATTATTACATATTTTTTTTTTAATTGTCCAAAATTATAAATTTGATCCTTCAGTTGTAATGCCTTGATTTGTTTTACATTATACATTACAGGTATGATATAATTATAAAGAACACATGATGCAGTTTTATCAATCTAGCAGTTTCTTGGCGACAATAGCTGCCTGCCAATTAAAATGCCGTCATTAATTCGTACAAATTGTACAATACAACAATTATTATTAAAATAGACGACGCATTTCTTCCCAATTATTTCAAATTGAGCATTCAAGCTAAAGTAATTCAAGTAAAATTTTCCAAAATTTTAAAAATACTATGAAGAAGGCCACAACAAATATGTGAAAATTCATTATGAGGGAGGACGAAATTCGTGACAACACTTGGATGGGTAACTTTCGGAGGGATAAAAATCGCACGGGGATGGGGACACATTTTTGCTTAAAGACTTGTTACACTCCAATTTCGACAAAAGCTATTGGTCGTCGATCTCAATTAATTGCACTTTTGATCCTGAGCAAGAAAATGCACTTCTCTGAAAACTCTCTGCTGCTATTCTAGAGTTTTCAACTCTGAAAAATAAATGCCCGTGGGTCAAAAAGCGACTCAGTTCATGGGTTCAGGGGCAGCTAAGGAGATCTCACAGCAGGTAGGGGAACTGGGTGCTCGCATCACTGTTCTCAGGACTGGAGACAGGTGTATCCAACTGAGGCAGTCCCAAGTCAAGGTACTCCTAGAAAAACACACAAATTAATTTAAATTTTAATAGAAAGAAAATATAATAAAAATTATATTAAAAATAATTTATCACTTTAGAAAATAATTTGATGTATTCTTAGCATTTCAGTTAATCATTATAATTAAAAATATCAGGGCTAACCTCATTTGCAGTGATGGTCAGAATTCTGTCCAACTCGTCAACCAGCTCTCCAAAGGTTGGCCGCTCATCCTTATTGTAATTCCAACACTCTCTCATCATCATGTAGCTAAAATAAAAATTAAAAAATCAAATTATCTTTCTATATTAAAGTCAAAACTTACATTTCTGATGAGCAGCAGGGTGGCTTCTCCATTCTGTGACCACTGCGCAGCAGCTGGAAAAGTTTTTCCACGCTCGGCACTGATGGGTACGGTGTTCCTCCCAAGGTCATGATTTCCCACAGAAGAACGCCATAAGACCAACTGATATCATGATTTAAGTCAATATTACAACGAACAAAACTTGAAATATTAATTGACATACACGTCAGACTGCGTGGTGTAGACTCTTTGGAAGAGCGCCTCGGGTGCCATCCATTTCACAGGCAGCCTACCATCGGTCGTTTTTCTGTAATAGTCCTGCTGGTGGACGTCCCTGGCGAGACCAAAATCTGCAATCTTCAGCACCATATCTTCTCCCACCAGGACGTTCCGTGCAGCCAAATCTCGATGAATACACTAAAATAGGAATAATTATATTTTGTTAATTTATTGAAACAATTTTTAATTATAATAAATAATAATTAATTGGAATAAATAAGAACCTCTAAAATTTATTAAATAATGAACTAGATTAACATTTTTTTTAATATCTTCAATTAATTTTTTTAAATTATAAAATCTTACTCGTCTGGAAGCGAGATACTCCATTCCCCTTGCAACCTGGTAGGCAAATGAAACCAAATCCTTTTGGGTCAGGGTGTTGCCTTCCTTGGAGTGGCCGATCGCTGGCTCGTATCCAGACGACTGTCGGTGTTGCCGCAAAAAGTCGCGCATGTTGCCATGGGGTGCGAACTCGACGATCACATAGAGAGGGCCGTCCTGAGTGCAGCAGCCCAGCAGGTTGATGATGTTGATGTGGCTGCCGATCATTTTCATCATCTCCATTTCAGACACCAAGTCCATCATTTCCGTATCGGTGTGGCCCTCTGCGGAAAATTGAATTTATATATATAAAAATAATTTCCTTGAAAAAGCGGATCTCTCACCTTTGAGCATTTTCACGGCAACCACAGTTTTGAGACCGCTGTCCAGAATACCCTGCGCGTCTGCCTGCATTACTTTGCCAAATGCGCCCTCACCAAGAACTTTGCCCAAAGCAAGAAGGTTTCTTGGAAATTCCCATTCCGAATCCAAAGGCAGTTCATACTCGGAAATGGTCATCTGGTCGGCACTTGTTCCTCTCGCAGTAAATGCAGATTTTTGTTTTTCAATTTTGACGACAGGCATCATCTAAAAAAATTGTTAAAAAATCAATACCAGAAAATGTAAAAAAAATTTAATAAAAAACTAGTTGGCTTTATAATAATTCTTACCAGTCCAACATCGTGGTGCGAACCAGAAGCGTCCGCTTGGTTCAAGTTTTGCTTCTCGACGATGACCTTTTTGATCCACTGGGTCACAACAGCAGCTCTCGCGTTTTCAATCGCCAGCAACTTTTTCATTTTCTCTCTGTATTTATTTTCAGAAATTACGTTTGAGGGAATTTTATTTTGAACTTGTAAGCAAACCTCTTGAGCCTCCTTATCATGGCAATGGTGATGATGATCGCGATCAAGAACACAGCGAACATGACGCCCAGCATCATGTTGAGCACCTGCGAGTGCTGAGATCGCATGGGTATAGGGTCAGGTTCAAGGCCTGAAAAGTTTCAACAAGCTTTACTGTAGAGAGAAGCAGAACGGATAAAAAGCAAAATTATTCTTGAATAAAAAATGTTATAATGATTAAATTTAAATTTTATTTTCATGAGACTAAAGCAAAATATTTTCTTACTATCAACAACTCTCAGGTATGCCATGCCCTGAGACCAGCCAATGTTATTTCCAGCTAAACAAGTGTACCATCCCTCATCTTCATAGGTCACATTTGCAAGCTCCAATGAATCTGGAGAACTCGGCTGGACATTTGACTGAAAGTATTAAAAAAATGACAAATTAATTTTTATTTCAAATCAAAAATTATAAGAGACTTGAGTTAATAAAAACTGAATCTCTTCAAATGTAAATTAGCTTACGCGTAAGAATCAAGGAAGCAAGCAGGCTTTTTAGCAGTTAATTTTAAATTCTTGTACAAAGCGAAAATTAAGAAAGCGTGTTATTTTATAATATTCTGGAAATTTGAAGTATGAAGCAATTTTTTAATTATAAACACTTATTTAAATAAGCAAGATTATTTTAAGGAAAAACTAAATTATGCGTTTTACGCAAATCGCCATTCAGGCCTATTGCCGTATTGCCTTAGGCCTGCCGTACGCTATGTAAGCTTGCAGGAGGTAATAAGCTGAATACTTCATAAATGGGTAATATCATATCAATAATATGTATTAAAATTTCAATTCAAAATCGGCGCATAAATAAATAAATATATCCCGCTTATTGAAAAATCTTACTAAAATTTTTAAATTTTTATAGACAGAGATAAAAAATTTAATATAATAAAATTAAATGAATTTGCACCCGCAACTCCCAAGCAAGGTATGTTAAAAACGTTTTGCCAGTCATTAAAACAACAATCAGAAAATAACACACAACACACAAACAAATTTAAAATTATTTTTGTTAAATTTCGTACAATAAATAATAATTTAATAAAAAAAATACATGTAAATCCCACAGTAAAAGATGTTCATGCCAAAACATAAATAGCCATTTGGTAGTACCTGCACCATATTTTTATCGTTGTACGGGTTACTCTCAACCTCCTCCTTGAGCTCTCCAGAAAAGGAGGGCACCCTGTACCAGGCCACGTGGGCCAGGTTGTCTGAGAGCACCTTGCACGTCAGGTTGGCGGTGTCGCCGACTTTTACCGTCGTGTTCTGCGGCCGCTTTGTGAAAATGGGACGGTGCATCAGACGCTCTGCTCGACAGCGCACCACAAACCAAGAGTTTAAAAGTTAGAAAAAAGGTTCACAGAACAAATTTTGGTGGGGGTTAGTCAATTGCAAACATAATTTTTTTTAGAATTAAATTAAAGCACAAAACAAATAAAAATATTACTCTCCAGCACCAACATTTAGCCTGTCACCGCTCCAATAAAATCACATTTTTAAAAGCGAAGTATTATAAAATTTTTGACTCCAATACCAGATTAGCTTTCCGCACCTAAACACAAAAAAGCGACGCATTTTTTTCCGTCACCAGCACGTTTCTCCGTCACCGCCTGAAAGGGCTAAAATAGAGCCCTGATTGAGGACTACCTGAACAATTACGCCCTGGGGAACGGAAGAATCGTCATTAGTGGAGCTTATGTTGACCTTCAGCCACTGGATGTAGGGCTCGAGGTCGGACAGAGTGGGACACTGCAGAACTGCCAAATCTCCGGCGACCACCGTCATGTTTCGCGGAAAGCCCTCTTTGATGTACGGCTTGTGCGGAAACCGCTCTAAAAATTAAATAAATAAAGGATGTAAAATCCTAACAAAAATAATAAAAAAAAACGTATAACATGAAAAAAGCACCGCTCCCAGCAGCCGCAGCTCCGATATCTTCAGAAAAAGCTACAATTTAAGAAATTATATGCAAGAAAAAGTTCGAAAGGATTTTACCTCAATAAAAACATGCTGATCAATGTAAGAGGTTTTGTAATTTTTCTGGTTATATACGGTCATTTAAAATTAAAAAAGAATTAGATCAAAAGTTAAAATTAAAACCTTTTTAATGATATATTTTTGGCAAAATTAGAAATCTATATATTTATAAATCATTTACACACATGAAAATTTTTAAATCTTTCAATTTTCATTGCTTTAACTTTTAACTTAACAAAAGTTCAATATCATGATTTGTAAAAATTGGAGTTTCACGAGTTAAAAGTTACAATTTTATCCTAGGGGTAGTAAATAATCATAAAAAATGAATCTTTAGACTCACCAATGACGTCCAGTTTGAAGGTGTAGTTGATGCAGGCGAGCTGGTTGCATAACACGCAGGTGTAGTTTCCGGAGTCCGCGGTGACCAAGTCCTGGAGCGTCATCGTCCACTGGGTGGGGTTGTACTGGACGCCCCCAAGGGCTCTCTCAGGAACGACACCTTCCTTGTACCAGGTAATGTTGGGCGTTGGGTTTCCGTCGCCCTGGCACTTCATGCGCACCGTGTGGCCAGCAGGCTTCACAATGGACTGGTGCATCCGTTCTGGTCTGCGGAAGGTGGGCGCCCGGAGCTCCTCGGTCTCATTGAAGGAACCGGCCGAGCCATCCAGGGAGTTAGCCTGACCTTCAGGGTCTTCGCCTGGCAGGTCTTCAACCTCGCTGGTGTCGATTGGAGGCGAGGAAACTGCAAAATTGTATAAACCAAAAAATAAATTGTTTATAATTTAACCATTAATAAAATGCAGTTGTTTAAGTAATGCAGAATAACAAAAGCGAAGTTAATTTTTTTAAATGAAAGTCAAATTTTTTAAATATATATGATTATTTTACTAAAAAGAAATGAAGTAAAACAATTTTATATTAAATTATGAGCAAAACATAGATTTTAATTTTTCACAAAATGTATATTTTTATTAAATGAGAAAAGAAATTAAATAGCAAACCTCCAATAACAGTCAATTTTGTAGACGATTCAACCACGACCCCCTTTTCTTTGGGTCCAATTGTCAAACAGTCGTACCAGCCGTTGTCATTTGTTGTCACTTGCTGAATGGCCAAAATCCGGCTGTCGTCCGGATTAACGCCCCTTGACTGAAATCAAGATCGAAGAACCCAAAGCGCATTAAAATTTAAGCTGTGGCACAAATTGTGCTACTCAACACACCTTAACCTGATGCGTGTTGAGCCAGACAGCGTCTGTGACAGCTGAGATCTCTTCGTCGTCGCTCCGCTTCACCCAGATCACCTGCTTTTCTCCTTCGGTCAGGCACGTGAAAACGACAAAGCTGTTCAGCACCGCATTCATCTCCTGGCCCTTCACGTAAATTGGTTCGCGATCTATCGGATAAACCATTCAGAAATACACATTTAAATCTTAATCTTTGAAATTATATTTGGCATTATTTTTTTTAATAGGACCCACTTTTGGCATGGGGTCGGCGGATCTTGTTGAAAATTGGTAGTTTGGTTGCCCTTAGGGTGTAGACAAATAGTTTAGAAGGATTTTTGAAAATTCTCAAAATTGCCTATTTTACAGGGGCTCAAAGTTGGGGATTTTTAAAAAAGGTGTTTTCGAAAATCAAAAATATCTCAGCTCCTGCTGCAGATAGCGCATGTGTGTATATAAACAAAGTTGTAGGAAATTAGACGCCCTACAACTTTGCCATAGTAACCAAGGTCATAGGTCAAAGTTCAGGGTCAACTTTTTAAGCTTGAATTTTTTGATGCGCCACCAAAGTACCTAGTACATAAAAATTTTTGATTCCATTATAGCCAAAAGTTGCTCTAGTTGGTAGTCAACAACATATTAAAAATTGGCGAGACTGTTTTTTTCCGTTTTCGAGATATTTTAGGTCAAAAGCAGAAAAACGTGGTTTTCCGAGCATTTTCCTACACAAATCAACATTTAACCGCCCGTAACTTTTTTCCTGCTAAAGTTACGCAAAAATGTATAATGACAAAAAATGATTGCCTTGACCTGTTCTTTCAAACCATGTATCGCACATAGTGACCAGGTCACAAAAGGTCATTGACCTCGGTGACCTGTGACCTTGCAAGTGCAAACCTGATTTTCAGATACTCTAATGTTTCTTTTCATTGAGGTGAAACATTTCCAGCAAATATTTTTGGAAAGGTCACAGGTCACCGAGGTCAATGACCTTTTGTGACCTGGTCACTATGTGCGATACATGGTTTGAAAGAACAGGTCAAGGCAATCATTTTTTGTCATTATACATTTTTGCGTAACTTTAGCAGGAAAAAAGTTACGGGCGGTTAAATGTTGATTTGTGTAGGAAAATGCTCGGAAAACCACGTTTTTCTGCTTTTGACCTAAAATATCTCGAAAACGGAAAAAAACAGTCTCGCCAATTTTTAATATGTTGTTGACTACCAACTAGAGCAACTTTTGGCTATAATGGAATCAAAAATTTTTATGTACTAGGTACTTTGGTGGCGCATCAAAAAATTCAAGCTTAAAAAGTTGACCCTGAACTTTGACCTATGACCTTGGTTACTATGGCAAAGTTGTAGGGCGTCTAATTTCCTACAACTTTGTTTATATACACACATGCGCTATCTGCAGCAGGAGCTGAGATATTTTTGATTTTCGAAAACACCTTTTTTAAAAATCCCCAACTTTGAGCCCCTGTAAAATAGGCAATTTTGAGAATTTTCAAAAATCCTTCTAAACTATTTGTCTACACCCTAAGGGCAACCAAACTACCAATTTTCAACAAGATCCGCCGACCCCATGCCAAAAGTGGGTCCCATTAAAAAAAATAATGCCATTTTAATTTATTAAAAAAAAATTTATTTTGTATAATATTTGACAGCTTAAAATTCATTTTTAATTTCATTTTTTTTTTTTAAATTAAATATCTTGTCTGAATACCTGAGACGAAGAGGTCAAAGTGTTGAATGACCGTGCCCATCCGGTTGGTGACCTCGCACGTGTACCGCCCCTGGTCTTCCGGAGTGACCACGGGAATGGAGAGCGTCCATGAATCCTGGGCCGTCTGCAGCTCCTTCTCCAACTTGCCGTTCTTGAGCCACGTGATCCTAGGGGTCGGGTGACCCCCGACCGGCGGACACGAGACCTCAAAATTTTGTCCCGGGGTCAAGAAGAAACTTTCCTTGACCGGAGGCTCGAGGCGGGGCTCCTGGTCGTCGCTCTCCTGCTGCAGGGCCAACGCTTCCGGCTGCCGATTTGCGTTCGTGACCACTTTGACGGTGACGTTTCGCCAATCGCCGCCGGCCAACGACTGACACGAGTAACTGCCCGCGTCAGTGTATTGAACTCGTCTTATCCGCAAACTAAAGAAGGAATCGCAAAACAAATTTTAACTCAGCCTCAGCACTCAAAATAAAAATTATCAAATAAAAAACGAAACAAAAAATGTATTGATGTTGAGGATTTGATTTCGATTTTAAATTTTATATTCAGAAAAAAAATAATAATTCACTGACCTCATTTTTGACATTTTGACGCTGTTTCCCTTGACGACAAGAACATTTCCGTTCTTCAACCATTTCACTTTCTGAGCGTTTTCCTCTTGAGATGGATCGCTGTTGTCGGAATCAACATCAATCATTGGTCCGCAGTCAATTCTCAACTTAGATCCAGCTTCCAGAACAATATCCGTGTTTTTAGAAGCTGTAACAGAAAAAACACGTTTTGTAAAAAATCATCAGTCTTTATTATGGCAAAGAGTAATAATTAAATTATATTTTTTAATATATCGACTTTATGACTATTTTATACAACACGTTACACAGTCGTGATGGCCAGATTGCATAACCAGCCGTTCTGCAGGCGCAACGCTTGATATTTTCTCTCGTCTTTTGAACCTCTCTAAGTTCATTCTTAATTAAATGAAATCAGCTCAGAAGTTTCAGAGAGTTTCGAGCATTGAAAATAATCATTTTATGTTTTCCATCTAAAATATTATTTTTCTTTTTTTTTCAATTTAAAATTCACCGTTTCCAAGTGGCATAAATTTAAGAATATCTTTTAATTCATTTACGTTAAAAGCATTCTTTAAAAACTTTCACAAACATAAAAATTTCAACAAGAAGAGTCACATTTCTGGATTTTGCGGTCTTGTTTATAGGTTTATAATAAATTTAGGCAGGCTTCTGCAAAGCTCTGCTGGCGCAGTTTTTAGTTTACTATTCCAGGCATGGTTGGACGGCTGGAGAACGGAGAAAACCTGAGAGAACGACACTGGAACAATGCCAAAGTCAGTTTCTCTCTGGCGAAAACATTGCTCGGAAACATTCTTATTCATTTTTCAAAAATTCTTTGAAGTAACGAAAATTAAAATACCTCTTTTCAGAAGAGAAACACGCTTATGTACAAGATTCATATTTTTAACCACACATTTCATTAAAATTTTTCCTCGAAAATGTAGAATTGCTAATAAACAAGGTTTTTTCAAAGTCAAGTGGACGCTTACGTGGAAAAAAAAGTTTATTTGTGAGAAAAAAGCAGTCTGGGGCTTTTTCGGAGCCACCGTGTTTCTGGTCTGGATTTTGTTAGTGCTCTTTTCGTGTGTTCTTTAGTGGAGAGATTATCGCGCACCCAAAGGTTTATCGCGGCGAACAGGCACCACCTCTCGCCTGGCAATGAGATAGAACATAAGCACTCTCGAGTTTACAACAGAACCAAAACGTATACTTTACTCTTCACCGCCAAAGCAGACCAGCCAGAGCGGTTCCAAAACACAAAATCTTCCAGAAAACCTGGTCTGTTAATTTTTACTTAGAAATTTCAAAAAGAAAATAGTTACAAAAATACTAAAAATTTCCAATGAAATCCATTATAATGATAACAAAAATTAGTTGATTGTTTAATAAAAATTAAGTGTATAAACAAATTAGCCCTGGATCTCTATAAAAGTAAAGCTTCATGGGATGAAGAGAAATGGCTTGCCAATCATCTTCACAGATATGATTGACTCGTTTGCACATAAAGTAGTGCGGTATAAGAAAAGTAGACGGAGCCTTGAGTGAATGGTTTGCTTATGGTCAATGTTGTCTTTCGGCGCCGCTTCAAACCAGCAGCATCAAAGCCCCGGACTTGTGTATGCAGCGTATACGGCTTAAGCCGAATTTAAAATGTATTTTGCAAGGCCACTAACCAACTGATGTAAGCAAGCGCAGGTTTCGAAACGCAGCTCGCTCGCCGGCCGTTTTTATGCGCGTCTTGTTGAATTTAGCCCGGCGGGGCTGCGTTGCTTATGTTTTTCCTAGAGGTGATTGGCGCGGGGATGAACAAGTTCGTTCCGAGCCATGTGTTTGCCAGATACGCTGCACGTGCACCGTACGCATTGATGGCAAAGCCGGCTCAGGAAAACTTTTAACCAAATCTCCCGGGGCCGCTCGCTCATATAATAATAACACATGAGCCAGAGAGATACTGCACCAGGGAAAATCATGAAATTATATCTCTCCGTGAACCGCCATTAGCGCGGTGCCTGCTTGCATGCCTGTTCATTAACAGAAGGGCATCGAAAACTGCCTGTGAAGGTCAAGTTTCCAGGGGTGTGAGTTAATAAATTCAAACTAGTCCACAAAACGCACCCCCAAAAAGAAGGACTGCTGACGACAAAAGCGGGGGAGAGAGAAAAATAAATGAAAAATAAACAGTAAAAATTTAATAGCAAAATTTATGAGGAGCAGTAAAAATGTTTGTGGGTAATTAGAGATTAAGAAATACTAATTAGGTCCAATTTATTGTTTAAAAATTATTACGTTTGTGTTTCACATTGTTTTTTTATCTTATTTAATAAAAGAATAATAAACTAGGTTATCCAATTTCATCAGATTGATAACAATTATTATGGAAATTGAAAATTTTTAATAATTTTATTAATTTCTCAAGTGCTTCACTCATACAACTGAAAAGGTTCATTATTTATATCTTTGTAAATGTGACATTAAGAAATATTAAACCAAATCTTTAATAAATTTCAATCATTGATTACGGTGGTTTAAAAAATTTAATATATTAAATTAAATAAATTGAAATTTTATATTAAATTTAAATTAATTATAATTCAAATAAAAAAATATATATAATAACAAAAATGATTCTTGTTTAATTATATTTACATTTTTATATTACTACGTCTACTAAACTGTCGTCAAATTTTATTTTTGAATCTGCTCTTATAAAGAAAACAAACTGTTATCAAATTTAAAATGTAAATCACGTCTTTTCCGCACCCCATAAATTTGCCCGAGGCCCCTGCAGCTCCTCACCTAGCCAGCAAGACGTGGAGATTATTTTTTGGTACTAACACATCTTGTAAGTCCACGAGCTCATTTTTCCGCAGCTCTCTCGGTTAAAGCACATAAGCGGAAGCCTCTCTTCTCTCTCGCGCGCTCTAACTTGACAAATTCAATGGCTGGTGGTGCTCGGGTGTTTGAAAGCGGCCGTTGTAAACACAGTAGTCGCGCGCCGTGCATCTTTCATCTCGCGCGATCATCTGCCTTCTTCGGCTCAAAGGAAACGCGTTCTGAATGTGCTATTTGTGTGGCGACCGACGACTTTATTAATTTTTTTTTTTCATGCCCGCGCAGAGACGAACGAGAGAGATGCGATATATAAAAATAAACAGCCCGGTCAAGGAAACGAGAGCGAAAAAATGAAAGTGAATTTAACGAGACGTGAAATCGAAAATGATTTTCGGGCCGTCCAAAATAAGTAACTGACATATTAAATAGTAATCTCTCATTTCCTCCCTTTCGCTCGACGTCCCTTGCTTGAAACTGAATCATCTATTTGTCTGATGGATTTCCGCGTCTCAGAATAGAGCAGCCGCCGCACTAATATATCCAGCAGATTGATTGTTGAAGCTACGGAGAGTTGGATCTGCTCCCGATGCCTTTGCTTATTTCTCTCTCTCTTGCTTTGCCGCTGCCTAATTATAGCAGCTCCGGCAGCACCACATCTTTTCACTTGCTGCGCAATTTTTTGGCGTATCCCGCACAAATTTCACGGGTTTTTACTCATTTGTCTGGCTTTTGTATAAAAATAGCCGAGACGAATGTAAAAAAGAGAGCAGGGACAATTCTTCAAGTTAGACAAAGGACGACGAACAAAAATACGATTTGCACAAAAAATTGTTGAAAATTTTAAAGGAAGTGAAAAAAGTTCCCCCTTTGATGTTATATTTGGCTCAGAAATCGATCGTTGTTGAATATCAAGTTCTCATTTAATTTGTTTAGAAGTTCGATTTTCATTAAGTATGAAGATTTTTTTTCAAATTAAATTTTGAAGGTTAATTTAAAATTAATTTAAAACTGAAAAGCAGTGATCAGATTTTTTTTTGCTAAAGTTTAAACTTCTAATTCAAAATTAATCCTTAACGGAGAAAACAATTTTCCTTGCTCTCAGTAGAAAATCAAAACTTTCATTAAATTTCCATAATTAAGGCAAAACTGCAACATAATGGTCAAGATTGATTTCACCTAATTAAAAATTTAAATACAAACTTTTTTTAAATAGTAAAAATAATCTGAAGTTAATTGAATTTAATGAAACGAAAACTTTGAAGCTTGATTGTCGTTTTTAATTTGTGAAATATATACAGAGTGCTGAATGTGGGGTGCGGAATATTATAAAGTGACAGTCAAGAAAGCTCTGCCAGTTGCTGCCGTAAATTATACAGTTTCACATGTGTGAATTCGAGGATAACCACACAAATGCGCACGTTGTAAGGAAAAATAAAAAGATGGTTCAGTCAAATAGCATCAGTGTTACGTAAAGGCGGCAAAGCAGGGATGACAGATGACACAGTTCTGCGCGGCACACGAGGAACAGCTGCTGTGCCCAATTCATCTCAACTTTTCAAAACAATTTTTTAGCCTATACTCGAAGTGAGTCTGAATGAAACGCTTTTTTACTCAATTTAAATCAACTCGAAATGTCCAAATTAAATTAATTGCATCCGACAGTATAACAATTTTCAACCCTTTCAGAAACACAGCTTTTAATAGTGCTCATTAACCGGCCAATTAAATCAAGACAAGGGATAAAAAAGCTTTCATCCGAAATAGAATGGGGGGCTTTAATAAAAGCGAACGATGCGCTCAAGGGTGTTATTTTATCAAGAGTGCATAATATAGGTGAGTGAAACTTATTTAGACAAACGGGCGGGCGCGAGACAATCACCGCCGATGTCTTTGGCGTGCCAAACAAATAACCCGTTTTATGGTTTTGTGATGAGTTTTATTTTTAAACATTGCTGAGCAAACAGAGGAGAATATTTATCTTGTGCCGGGCTTAAAACCTTTTGGTCATTACCTCTCCAAGGTGTTTATAAAGTTTCCACACACACGCAGCTCCGACGCATACAGAGCACCGTTCTTGTTCTTTTTATTTTATTGTGCTGCCGAGCATCTTCTTCTTTTCACTATTCCTATATCCGTTGGTTTTAATGCCGAGCTGCCCTCGCAATATATATAAAACTTAATAGCACGCCCTGTAGAGATGCATCAGGAGCAAAAACGCTGCTCGTTGTAATCGAATAGCTTTGAATGACAGCACTTTGTTCTGGGCCTCGCAGAGTGTGCCTGAAATTACACGCTCTTTCGTATATATTCTATTTGATATGCTTGTGCGCGCGCCATTTTTATGGCTTTATGATATTATGAGGCATCAGTTCATTTTGAAATGAAGTTTTATCTTGAAAAATGAACCAGCGCCGGACGGGGAAATAACCAGACTGAAAACGGAAACTTGTGGGTGTTAATTTTTATTATTCATGTGGTAGAATTTCAATATCAAGGGTTGATTCGTGGTGATTTGAATTTAAAGTCGGCTTTTCCTCAACAGGGTATTTTTTGTCGCTTCATAGTTAAAATGAAAAACAATATTCATTTTATCCACGAGCCTGCCATGAGCTGTGAAATTTTTGATAAGGATTTATTAATTAATTACTTTCCAAAATATTAAAATTAAATATCAAATTAAAAAAAAATACTTGAAAAATAGATTTTTTTTCATGAAAATCACCTCGAATGTTACCATTCAAATAAATTCTTAATTACAATAATTATTACTGAACAAAATAAGTAAACTATTTTTTGATTATGTATTAAGTTAGATTAAAACAATTAGAAGGATATTAATTTTTTCAATGCAAAACTGCTATATTTATCTGAAACTAATTTATTACTATTTATATATTACTTTATATATATTTATCAAAGAAGTAAATTTTACTTCAAAACTTCAAAGAGTACATATTCAATTTTATAAATTCTTATAATAAAAGACAAGAATTAATTTGCCATTATATTCCGCTATCTGCTACTTTAATTCGTAATTTTTTTTCTTCAATGCCATGGCTATAGAAAGAAACAACGGAAATTAAATTCAAAGCAAAAATGACCAAAAACTTTCGACTGCTGAGATGCGCCTCTCTGTAATCTTTACTTCTATTTGAAATAGATTATTTGTAGGCTCGTCAATATTATAGAACATTCGTGCAGGAAGTTTTAGTTCTAGGTGTGGTCGATCCTTAGGAAAGCAACCCTTTTTGTCTTTGTCACCTAACTAACGCTGCACGCACATTATAAACTATGAACGCGGACGCCGCGAGAGCACACGCAAAGTGGCCGCGCGCTGTCTATTTCCGATTTTAATGCGTCCTATTTTCAGCTCGCCCGCCTACTTCACCTGCAAACATTGACGTCACTTGCCAAACACACCACTTGGACCGGAAATTCTGCGTGTGATTCTGGCAAAAAACGAATCGGCTCTTGGCACCGATAGATAAATTCCTCCTATTTTCTTAAAAAAAATTATATACCATTTTTTTTTCAAACCTGATTTTGATTGGTCAAGTTTGAATGGGGTTTTTTTTCATGCCACGTGTGGCGCTTTAATCGTGTTATTCCGGCCGTTTATCAATTTCGTGTCATGCTGCATGAAAATATTTACTTTTATCATATCATAAACTTCCTGTTGGTCTGCTTCTGGCGCATTCAAGCAACACCAGGCGCCACTTCACCCGCGCACCATAGTCATTTTTATTATAATTTATCATCGTCGAATAAATAAAACAGCAGGCACTTGAGAGAGTGAATGCGTAAGTCTAGCCGACGGCATTAGTCTTTCATTTATTTTAAAAACGATGACAGCCGCCGCCATCAAGATTATTCCACATGTCAAAGGTGAAATAAATTCAATATAAAACAACAGCAGAACGCGATACCCCTGTGGAGAAAAAATTTGCCAATCTTTCATCAAGGTGAATAAATATTTCAAAGCACTTTTTTTTTGTATTTACGAGAAGACATTTGATAGGAAACTATCAAGAGCTCTTAACGATATATGCGTGGAAGACTTTTGAGTTTCAGTTACAAAGCAAGCAGCGTGATTTTTCTCAACGGCTGCTGGCAACATATCGAAGGTTTTCCAGCGCAGGGGCCATTCGATACTCGCAGTTTGGCTTGGCGCGTTAATTCTTTCTTTCGCCAGGAATAATAGAAAAGGACCGTGGCACTTTCCCAAGCCTGCAGAGTTTCGGGCTGATCGTTTTACTCAACAAAGCGGAGGCGCGCACATGTGTTCAGCAGACCTAGGCACCGGCCGGGTTTTTCTTTTTCATCCGAGCCATGAATTGTGAGCGCAGACAAAAATCTAGCGCCTTTTTGGCCGCTGGGGGGGGAGCGGGAGACCCAAACTCGGATTTTCCCAGGCAAAAAACATTAGTTTTCGATACACGGTTCTTACTCCTGACCTTCTTTGGCGTCAAAACTAGACCATGTAGACCATGCATTTGAAGAAACGAGAAAATATAATAAAATTCACTCTAATTTTGGTAAAAAAAATTAAAAATAAAAATTTATAACAATAATTTTTCGTGGTATTTTTTTAGAGGTTACATTGGTTTTGCTCCGTTTAAACAATTAAAAAATATAAAATTTAATAAATTAAAAAAAAAATAATTTTTGTGTTGTTTTTATGAAATAATTATATTTTATCAACACAAATTGTTATCATAAATTTTTTTACTTTCCTGTTTCTTAAGTTGTTTGATTTCATTTAAAATAATTTTTATATATTTTATTTAATTATATTGTATTTTTATTATATTACTGTTTTCATTCATATTGGTACTACTTCTTTTTAATTAAATAATAAAAAAATAAACAAAATTTTGTAGCTAAATGTAATGAAAAAACAGAAAAAAAGTAATTAAAAAAAAAAAATTACTTACCGAGTAATTGCACCACCCTGGACGTCTTCAGCGCGGCGGCGCATTGAAGGAAAGAGGCGGCCAACAGCAAAATGAGAAAAGAGCAACGTTTGACTTCCATGATGAGGACGAGCTTCCAATTTCACCACTGCTTGTTGCCAATTATAAGCGACTGCATTCTCACAAGTGGCCTGCCTGCAACACGGAAAGAAGAAAGCCAAATTTTATTCGAAGCAGATGACTTTGAGCTTGCAAGTTTCAGATGTCCCCATTCTTAAAAAAGCATGAGCTAACATCACTCATTACATTTTTTTCCACTAATGAACATTCAAGTACAAGGCATAAATTGTTTGCTCGACTTTTTGTCAAACAAAGTAATTAAGATGCTCAACCGCATTTAATTTTTATTTATTTCTAAAATTTTCAATCGAGTTAAATTTTACAAAAAAAAGGAACGAAGAATAATTTTATTTTCGTTTGATGGTGATTTTTTTTGTCCTTTGTGTTTTTCAATTATAAACGAGCGAACGACTGACTCTGTTTTCAGAGGCAAGAATGACAAGAATTTTTAGTGGTTTCGTCGGCACAGAGGAATTTGTGAGCTAAAGTACTTTTTAAAGAGTCTCTTAGTTTAATTTATTAGGTTAAAAAACGAGTATTTTTTGTTAAGTTTGCCTTATTTTTTATTCATATGAAATAACTAATTGTATGCTATAATTGTTTGTTAATTTATATTTGGGGCGGTATATTTTTGTATCGCGTGTCGAAAGGGCCTCGCCGGATATTTTAAACTGTGTCGCCAATCATAAGCTGTCAAAGAGAGCATGTGCCGGTGACAAATTTAAATAATTCTGACACGTCTCGGATTTTCTTATAATTTCATTTTTCACGCCATCGCGGAGAAAAAAGTAGCTGACATATTTGGTCTATTTCCAGCACGGAGATTTTGAGCGTCTGCATCTCGAGTTCAAATCTAGAAATGCGACAAAAATATACTGCGGAGGAAGTTAGGCGCGGTGATTAGTTAGTGCGAGGAGCATCTTTTGGCTCCGGCGCGCGCTTTTTGAGCAACCTTGTCATGAGGACCATCTTCTCTGCGTGCACGAGCCGCGCAGCTTTGACACAGGAAGTGTCACGGGAAGCGTGTATCCTCCTCCTCCTCCTGCTTCTCTCCTGTCGAAACTCATCGGCGGTGTTTTATTTCTTCCCTCTGTCACTAAATTCGAGGCCCCCTTGATGTTTCTAATTATTTTCCTTTCGGTATTTGCGGTGATGCATTTTTCATTAGACTCCGACGGTTGGGCGGGAGACGTCATTAGAATTTGTATACACTCACCCCCGTCTTCTATTTTATTACCTTGTTACCAAACAATGGAGCGGAACACACGAAGCTCGAATAAAAATTTATATCCGTTTTTATCCTTTGAATAAACAAACTGTCGCCGGCTCGTATATATTCACTGCAGCGTCGGTTTATTTTTAAACAGATAAAATCTGCCTTTGTGCAAGAAGCAAAAAAAGTTGGTGCGGATTTTTTTTTTGCCCATAGCCATTTCCGAAACCGCAGCTGACGAAAATGAGCCTAAATGAAAAACCGCAGCTGTTGTCTGTTAAGTGTGTTAAGCCGACCGCAACTTTTTACCCCCAAATATTTGTGCTCCAAGGGCTCAAATAACGGCTTAACCGGGGTGGAAAATATTGAAACACATAAAAATTGTAACCGTATATTGTTGAGAAGAAGAAAGTTGAAGCTTTTTCAATATAAAGTGTGTGCGCCTCGCTAATCATCCCTATTGACCCCGAGCCGCGTGTTTTGTTATTCACAGACCTACTTGAATCATTGACCTTGTCAGTCTCATATTGATCGTCGAAATAGGGCTTAAATCAAGCGCGCATAACGATTGTGGTCATCGGCAGTTCACGCACAAAACAAACCGATTGTCTGCTCATTTTGATGGCGGGCGGCAGATTAAAAATTTGGCAATTGTTTCTACCGCCGCTTTCACTCTATTGTCTCTGACTTCAGCGGACAAGCGAATAAAGTGAGCGAAAATTAATTTTTCGACTTTTGGAAATCGTATTTGCTGTTAAGGTTGTTCAAAATCAAATAAATAATAATGTACCAAGAGGGCAAACTATTTCGCATTAGAAGAATAAAAAAAATATTATTTTCAAATTAAAAAATAAGAGTAAGTAAAATTAATAATAATTTAATACACACTTTTCAATAATTGGAAGTGGGATTTAACTAACAGAGGGATATAATCTGAGTCTCATCTCAAACCAATGATAATAAAGACCTTGTGTGTGGAAGTGCTACGTGGAAATGTTTACTCAATTGAGTTTTGAATAAAGACTATAAATATTAATACACTTTTTCAAACATATTTAAATTCTATTATAATCGATTATAAGTATATTTTTTAATTTTAATAATTCTATGTATTTTACCATTTTAATTTCCAATGTGAATAGTTGAATTTTTAGTATTTTTATTGTGGGAAAAATTAATATGTTATTAATTTGTCTGTTTTTAAGATGAGATACCCTCATTTTGATGCAATTTGGTAAGCAACAGTTAAGCAACGCACTTTTCCTTTGGGGACTTGGTAACGGCTATTTATAATTTTTGCCTCTTCTTGAGGGTTCACTTCCCAATTCACCCTATAGAATGCTAATTTATATTAAAAAAAATACATATTTAAGTCCTATGTGTAAGTATTTTACCCACTTAACGCATCCCAATTTAATTCAAATTATACATTTACGAACGAAGAAACAATTGAGAAAACATTGTTGGCTTTTCTGAAACATCCAAAGGTACATTAAAAGTTGTACCCATCAATTAATTCATTGAAATTGCGAATATCAAACCAATATTTTGTAAGGAATAAACTTTCATCTGCTCAGAGTGAAATAATTTTCCGATTTTTATTCACCACATTTCACTGAATAGAAAAAATGAATTATTGTACATGCAATAGTTGTCTATTTGTTTTTAGCAAGGGCCAATTACCGACTGATTTATTTTGACAGGCAGCAGCTAAATCAAATTTACATGACAGTAGTGCACATAATAGTAACCGTAATAGTCGTTTCATTGTTCTCAGAGTATGTGCTCGTACTCGCCATTCATTTGAATTAAACAATATTATATAATACGAAAAAAGAAAATCAGAGAGGACAGGAAGTGGGTTCACCACATTTTCAAAGCTGCTTTGTGTCTACGTGCCAAAAAGAGCCGAATCAATATGCATTGGGACCCGTCGTAAAACCCGCGGCGCCATGTTTATGTCTTTCTGATTTGTATTTCCGAGGCGACGCCGACGTTGAGAGTTGATTGAAATGCACCGCGAGTGGTGCGCGCCTCGCGTGCATACAGTTTGTTTTAAGCCCCTCGATCGTTCCCAGCGGCCGTTTTTTGCGCCTTATAAAGCACCAAAGCTATCTTTCTATCTCCTTAACGGTGGCTAATCTGAATGTGCAGCACACACGTCGACAGGTTGGTGCCAAATTTTGAAAGCACCACACGTTATTATTATAATGTGTGTGTACCTGCAGGGGAAGGGGACCCTTAAGGACACGCGAACCATATTACATTAGCAGCTCCTGAGAGAGAATTACTCGCTGTTATTGTTTGGAAATGATTTTTATTTGAATTCGTTGCTCTTTAAAATTATTATTTTTAAATTTTGTGCTCATTTAAGAAAATAATCAGCTAAACAATTTAATTAATAAAACAAAAACATTTTGCAATTATTTCACATTGTAAATAGTAGTTGTACAAGTAGTTAATAATTTATTTAAGATACATCCAATTGATTTTATTTTATTTTTCTTCTATGAATCATAAATAAAATAAAGATTTAGAAAATTTAAGTTTAAATGAGGAAAACAAACACACAGAGTAGGTTAAAAACTTGCTGAAACTAATAACCAGATTAATTAATGCCTATAATTCTCACCATTTTTCACGAATAACTTTCTTATTGAAACTCTCAACTAATTTTTAAATAATTAATCTGTATCCCCATTTAAAGCAACTAAATAGATTGAATATGATATTTAATTTTTTATTAAAAAAATTACATTACAATTTTCACGCTTTGTAATTATACGCATCTTCAAAACATCAAAAATCTTTTAGAACATGGGCCTAAAAAATCACCTAGCCTCTGGCAGGTTGTCCAGCCCAACCTGATATTTAAGTGTTTCAAGATGCCAAAAGTGATTGCTTTTCAAAAACAATTTGGCTTCTACGCTGTAATCGATGGCAAAGATAAAAATACCAACGGTAAGTGTTTATTTTTATACTAGAAATTTCTCCATTGACGTCATATATAATGTCGTCTGAAAATCAGTAAGCGCACTGAATTTGCATGATTGAACCGCTATTCTAGGAAAAATCCTCTGTATAATCAAAAGTTAATCGTTCCGTTTTTGGAGCACAAAACATAATAAATCATTAATTGGAAACGCCTCTTCTGATTATGAATAAGAAAGATGCTGCGAACAGTAAGAGCATTGACGCCGAACAAAAGTTCAAAAACTCGTTTTTGGGCCCTCCAATTAAATGCAAATTCGGCGTGAGGAATTTTTCCTTTTTGGCACACGCTCGCGTAAGAATCGCGTGCGTTTTTATTAATCAGCGCAGACAGCACGGAACCGCCGCGCGGGCACCACAATTTCTTTCAAGTGGGCCTCTCAATGCATAATAATAACTTGTTAATGTAATTATCTCCCGATTTAATTGAACCTCCAGACTCGTCGCTCAACTTTTTTGTTCGGAGCAAACTTACTTCTAGACATGCAAGTGCTATTTTCTATCCAAACCGATATTTAGGAGAGTTTAATTTTCTCTGACGTTCGTAGAATTCGAAGAGAGAAATAAGAAGTTTGTTTTCTCGCGGAGACCCCTGCTTATTTATATATTTTCCCTCGACTGTAACTTAACTAAATGCCGAGGGGTTTTCTTTGTATAGCAAATTGATGTTGATTATACTTGAAGACGCGCAGCCTTCAATTGAGCTAATCAAAGAAATTGGGCTTCAATTGAGTAATGAAACAAGACAATCACCGTCTCGAGAGGGCTGAAAGAGAGGAGAGCGTAAATTAGGGATTCTCTCAATGCCGCGCGCTGGAGGGTAATGTGGGACGATAGAGATTGATTAGATCCATTTCGAGAAGAGCGTAGT